AAGCCATGCTCAACACTTATGCTCTCTGCACCGGGCTGAAAATCAATTTCCATAAATCTTGCATGATCTTTTTAGCAGGAACTTTTGGTTGCTCAATAGGCAAAAGGCCGTTTACCTATCTTGGACTACCTATGGGAGAGTGACTTTGCTCCCCTAATCGACAGAGTAGAGAGAAGGCTTCCCTCCACAACAATTTTTCTAAATCATGGACAAAGACTCTCAATGATAAACTCAGTTCTATCATCTCTGCCAACTTACTATATGTGCACATTAAAGCTTCCAAAAAAGGTTATTCAACACATTGACCATGCTCGAAGACATTGCTTATGGAGGAAAAACTCTAAAATGGAGACTAAGACACACTCTTTGGCAGCTTGGGATATAGTCTGCCAACCAAAGAAAAAAAGGGGGACTGGGGATAATAAATCTAGAATTTCAGAACATTGCCTTGCTCATCAAACATCTGGATAAATTCTATAACAAAAAAGATTTACCTTGGGTACATCTCATTTGGAACAAACATTATCTTGAGTCAGACAAACCCCCTCATGCTCACAAAGAAAAATGATCCTTCTGGTGGAAAGACACTTTCAGATTAGTACCCTTGTTTAGAGCTTTTTCTCAGGTTAATATGGGTCAAGGTGACACTGCTCTATTGTGGAAAGACAAATGGACTGACAATTCCCCATCTTGTTCTCATATGCAAAAAAACTAGGATACCTCAATTCAGAATTTCACTATGGCATCTGATTTGGATATGCACTTTCATCTTCCTCTCTCAAACCAAGCTATGCACGAATGGGAAGCTTTACAGGATAAATTGCAAAGTGTACAGCAAAACAATGAGCCAGACAAATGGACATTTATATGGAATTCGGATTAGTATCAATCCAAAAAAGTATATGTTTTTTTTGATCATTTGCAACCGGATAAACCTCTAACCCTACTCTTGGTTAGGCCAAACCAAGAGTTCAGCTGACCCCTAGGCCCCACCTCTCACCACCAACTTTCATCGGGGGATGCCATGTGGGCCCTTATGGCGGTTGAGGATGGTTTGGCCCCACTTTAGGTCGGTTTAATCTAATTTGTGGGCCTATCGATTTGTGTGGTCGCACGTTATTCACTGAAGGCATGTTTCTTTGCATGTCGGCTAATTTCTTCTTCACTTTTGTGTATGCTCTCTGCATACAAGATATTTCTCCAAGACAAGTGGAATTATATTATTTATAACTAATATATGTGTAAAAAAATGTTAGTTCTCATTTTATTTATTGAGGTAGTTGACGGTCAAAATCGGTACTTGATGACCGTCAATAATGACCATGGTAGTTATATACTTCCTTTGCTTTTAATATATTATACTGGATACATTTAACCATTCATCTTATTTAAAAAAATATGTAATTGTTATTTATGTTACTGTGACTTGATTTATCATTAAATTTTCATTAAGCATGAGTTATATTTTTCTAGGCAAATTGGTTTTGTATTATCGAAAGTTTTCTTTTTTATTTTTATAGGGTGAAAAGTTTGTTTTTCACTTTAATATCATCGAAGTTATCTGTATTACTTTTTTCAGCACTCTTTAGAACTTCTGTCACTTTAAAAAGCGAATGGTCAAATGTATCAAAATATCACGATGTCATATATTAAAAAAACGAAGATAGTATATGGGAAACTCTTGACCTGTATGCACCAGCCGTATTGCTTCTTCCTCCGTAATGCCATGAGCCATGCAGTATCATGGGCTAACATATTTTTGGGAAACTCTTCACCTGTATGCGCAAGCCCTATTGCTTCTTTGTCTTTCAGTTGTCTTGCACTGTAATATACTCTAGTTTTAGAACAATAATTTGCAAGTTTTCAGAGACACTTTAGTGAATCTGAATTTACTGTCAGCTGTAACTCTGTTTAAATGTCCATGTAAAGAAAGGAACTTGATGAAGAAAACATCCGGTACACAAAAATCCAACCAAAACAAATGACTAAATGAGTACTGGTACTATGCAATCAAGCTGCAAGTAGTAGGATCAAGATGCAATGTCAAATCAAAAGCTCACAGCGCCTAGAGCAAATGTGACGTCAAAATTATGAAATTTCTCATCAACGACACAGTCTCCTTCCTCAACCACAGCGGCTACTACGACGCGTCGAGCAGCGCCTTGCTGACGGCGCCCAGCCACCTCCTCGCTGTGCACGCGTGGCTATGCATCCCCCGCTGCCGCCACTGGCTACCGTGGTAGAGAGCGCCGCCGCGCCATTGTCATCTGCGGTGCTCGCCTGCCGCTCCAGCTCCGGTGCCCACCCTCCCTCCCGCCGCCGCTTCAGGTCTCCCCGCAGACGTCTGAAGAGGGATATGGGAGAGAGAGAAAGATAAAGAAGGTAGAAGGGAAGGGAAGGAGAAAGGGAGAATGATACGTGGGTCCTACAATATTCCTTTTTCAATGATAAATTATATATATATATATATATATATATATATATATATATATATATATATATATATATATATATATATATATATATATATATATGGACCATCCATACATGCCAAGATGTATGCGGGATAAATGTTCCTTACTCATCATAAATGAAGTACTACCATAGGAAAAGGCTGCATGAAGGTACACAATGCTACGGTTGCTCCTCCCTTACTTTTTCAGCATTCCAAATTTACCCTTGACATGGATTCTGGTTCATTTATCCAACTTTTTGTTCACGGTTCATCACATCAACAAATCTCATCTGAGTATGTAAAGTCTACAGTACTCATTATACCAATAAGATGTTTGGTATAACCCGCACGATACTTTTGTGCTCTTATTTAAATTTTGTACACATTCCAAATGACATTTCACAAATGTTATCTATTTAAAATACTAATATTACCTCATTTCTTTTAATTTGCCAACAATATAACTCTAGACGACAATAAGAGCATGATATATCTATAAATGACACTCTGGGTTTGATATTACCTGTAAAAATGAGGGCCACAAACGATATATCATATAATGAACTTGAAACCCAAAGATTTGCAGAGTATATGCAAAAAAAAAGATATATGCCCCAATCAGAAATCAGGTGACAGAAATTAAAAAATAGATATATGGAAAAAAAAGCACATATACTGAGATTTTTACTCATGGAGCTGACAGGTGAGAGAGACCAGAAATTAGTATGACTAATCACCAATCATAAATCAACAATCCGAGCTCACTTGATCTGTTCCTCTCGATTGAATCAAGAATCCTTACTAATCCCCAAATTACCAATCATAAATCATAAATTCATGCTCCTTTGCATGTAGCTCAATATTTTGAAAATAAGTTCACGACAGCATGCACTTGCAAGATGGAAGAAATATAATATGCAATATTGCTTTCCAAAAATAATAAAGAAAAAGGTTGAGCGGATGTCTACCTGCTTTCCTTAGAGACGAACAAGCATTCCAAATCAGAGAACTTAAAAAACCAAAAAAGAAAATCAAATAAGACAGTAGCAACAACCTCCACTGCCGTCATCTGTACTCTAGCACAAATCACCAACCAAAAATCCAAGAATCAAACATCACAAATCACAAATCACCATCCAAATCCTTGTTAATTATCTTGCAGGTATGCAGCTCCTGCTCACCTCCCCACCTGGCCGCATCAAAGTCGCACAGACGTGGCCGGCCATTGGTAGGGTTTATTGCTACCTACTTTTAAGAAGTATAATGTGCATTTTGTTTTATTAGGATGTCTCGATACAGTAGCATTTTCTACGTTTGAAAAAAAAAATCTCATTTTAAGACATGATGTGATCTATCTTGATACAACAAATCTGAATAAAAGCTCATTCAGATTTTTAACCAAATTTTCATAATATGTTAACGTAGTGTTTGATATTTTAAAGTACGACTATATATATTTTTATGCAAAGATCATACTCCCTTAGTTTTTTAATATATGATGTTATTTGCTTTCTAAAATACGTTTGACTATTCGTCTTTTTCAAATAATTCAAATCATTATCATTTATTTTATTATGATATGATTTATCATCAAATGTTCTTTAATCATGACATTTTTTTAATATTTGTTCAAATATTTTGAATAAAACGAATGGTTAAACTCTTGTAAAAAAAATCAACGGCATCATATATTAAAAGACGAAGGTATTATATCCACATTTTAAAATAGATAGAGTATTTTGCGATATTCTTTTTATGCAAAGAGGCATGCCGCAATGCATATGGAATGGACACTTCGATATGCCATCCTCACTTAACATGGATGTGACAAATGGTTTGATGGAGCAATGTAACCTCTTTTTTTGTCAGAGCAATTAAAACACTCAATGCTATAAATAATCAAGACCACTTTTTGAAATGGGAGGAGGCAGGATGTCAGAGGGAGCACGATGTGCTAGTTGAATGGGAAAGAAGAGTACTACTGTACTAGTAGCTGAATGGGAAAGAGGAATACTAGTTGGGGGGCATATCAGGGAACGTGTTTTGCAAAATGTACCTTGCCCTCCAGGGTCTATAGAGAAAAAAGCAAGGTTTGGTGCATATTAGTATGGTTGAAAATGTACCTGCCTAAGAAATCGTTGGCACACGTGTAGAGCATAGGATTTGGGTGCATATGAACCGAGGTTCATATTATCCAGCTCCTATATATATATATATATTCTAATACCACATAAGCGTCACGTCAACACCACGTAGGACTAAGATCATATCAACGCTGCCAAGTAGTTGTCACGTCAATGTAACCATCCTCCAAAGCCATCGAAAGAGTTAAGCTGGATCAGTTTTAATATTCGGAGTCGAGATATCCGGTACCGTTGTTTAGGCATACGAATCATATTCCGCCACTAGCTAAGGGAGCCAAAGTAAACTTATTTCGTGGAGAAATAGGCCCGGGCTATGTGATCCAATGGGCCAGACCCCATCCGGCTCATGGGCCTTCTCTGATTTCGGATCGGGTGAAAATGGGATCAACCCATGCCATTGCCTGCCAAGAAGAGCTGCGATTGCGAAAGCGCAGCCGCAGTGGAATCCGAGCTCCAAGCTGAAGCTGCAAATCCAGAGCGAGAGGGGAAGGGGAGGGGCCGATCCACCGAGGCCTCTCACCTCCGCGGGGCTCCATGGCCGCCTCTCACCCTAAGCCGGCGGAAGCAGTCCCGCCACCGGAGGATGCTGCCACGGCCGCCGCCGCTGCCGCCACCGAAGAAGAAGAAGACGAGTGGGGTAAAGTTAACAAAAGAGCCTATCTCATCTCGCCACTTCCGTACAACTGTTGCTTCTTGCTTGTGCCCATCGGGGGCACCCGCTTGGAATTGTAGTTATCTAGGACTTTGCTTGAGGCGCCGCGAGCGTGTTATATATCTGTAGAATTGCAGAGTTCGTGGCAATCTGACATTCTTGGTTAGGGGGATGTTATTGCGAGATTGCGACAAACAGACTAGGGTTCAGGGGTTGTTGATGTGTATCTTTTTTTCCATATCAGTGTCAGGAGTCCACAAATTAGCTAGCACTTGTAGTATGTTAGAACACAACTTCGACAAATTAGCTGGCACTGGTAGTATGTTGGAACAACTTCGATAATTTTGAGGTGGGGAAGCATGCAGCTTTTTGTCCATGTTGTGCTTTCGGGAGATAATCTATCAGTCTAAGAATCTGACTTGTAACATTTCATCCAAAATTTCACTTGAAATGCAATTGTTTGGTGCGTTGGGTGCCAAACAAGTTCAAACTCAAACTGCAATTTTATAGCATTTGGCACTTGATTCTTGATCTTCCAAATTCAATGTTACAACCTTATTTTTTTACAAACAGGACTCTTGCATTTTTAAGTTGCTCAACTAAATAACAACTCACAAGGATATGTAGGCCAGGTTTCTGTGTCAATCTTTTTTCTTACTAAGTGATGCTTTTGCTTACATATTAAGCTTTTTTGAACTTTTCTAGTGTCTAAAAATGTATATAATACACAAATGCATCATATACTATTAGCTAGCTCTACAACCAGTGGATCAGGAAAAAAAAAAGAATCACTCAGTATACTAGTGATTTCCAGTGTTTACATATCAAAAACTGAGCACCTACTATTTACCAAATTGCAGTTTTAATTCCTTGAATTTGAGTACCATGCTGAGTTTTGCTAAAGGTGGTGCCATTTTTCACTAGGTTAATTTTATCATCCTTGAGAAAGTACCGGGATGTATCATATTTTTTAGTGTAAAACTTGGTTTCTGGAGGTACACGTGTACTAGATACCTCCAGGTACCAAAACTTTTAGTGTAAAATTTTGGTACCTTAGAGATACTTTCTCAAGGACTGTAAAATTTCTCTTTTCACAAAGTTTTATGGTACACTTGCAGATGCTGATGGATTTGTTATTCCTAATTTGACCACTCAAGAAGATGACGTTACTGAGCATACTGCCCCTAAACCTAAGGATCCTGAACCTCTGAAGGTAAGTTCTAGAATGTCCTTAGATCTCTATGACTCTATCATGTATTTATATGTTAGTAATTTTATCTTCATTAAAAACTGTACTGCAGTTGATCATACTTCATTCGGATGTAAATTCAATTTGAACAGGAGAAAGAGGAGAAGATATACTTGGGACCTCATGGCGCTCCACCATCTCAAGCAAAGCAGCAGGAGATCAACATAGTTGGCCGTAAGCAGCGATTCAGAAACAAGCTGAAGGAAGCAGATAACAAATTCACTGGCAATGCTCAGGAGAACAAGGTGGAAACCCTGAGGGAGCTCATGGGAGCTAGAACACATAGCAAGGGCGTGCCAAAGAGCTCTCCTCGTGATTGGCTTGATCCTCACTGTCATGAGTCTGAATTTGATAGGAAACCACACTAGGCAACCTCCAAATGATGACCACCGTTACTTCAAACATTGATAAAATGTATATCTGTGGGTGTTATTGCTCAACAATATATATATACACATGGTCGTCTGATATGCGAAAGAAAAATGTTTATGTGGTGTAACCCGCCGAGCCGAAATTCTATGGCTTCTTTCACCAAATCAGATATATCTACTGAAATTGCGTTGACAGGTGTGTTTTTAGGTGTATAACCGTGGAGAGAAATGGGGGAAATAAGCTGTTGAAGCAGCTGTTATATCCGTAACCTGGAAGATATATCTACTGAAAATTTAGTATTTCAGGTTTGCTTCAAATGATTCATAGATGATACTGAGATTTGCATTTATGCTTTTGCATTATTGGCCTGTCTGGCTGGTTTCTATATTTCACGGCTGTATGTCTGTAGTTTGATCGGCAGTTCAGCATAGTCCTTGTTCTCTTTTTTTGGCAATCCGTTGGTTATGTAATAACTGCACATAAGCTGTTTTTACTGCAGACCGAATTGAGATTTGAAAGACCGTAATCAAAGAAAAGAGAAGCTGTTTTACTGCAGACCTTGTTGAGATTTGTAAACTGTAATCTAGTTCAGATTCTGCAACTTGCACGTTAACTGAATATCAACTGACAAAGCTGATGCCATAAAAACCTCCTCTTGTACATGACAAAACCTCCTTGGATCAGAAGCAGGAAGGATGTTAATATGAACTGTAATTACTTACAGATTTACAGTACTGGGAAAAAAGGTACTTGTTTATCACATACATTACGTACTGGTATGCTCAAGATCTCTATGAAATTTTACTCTTCAGGGCTCCCGGTAGGAGTGCAGTGGTCGCAGTGAGGAGTTTCTTGGCAGCAAGTAGCAACCTTCCAAGATTTGCTGATGTGATGAACTGATGATGATGCGACATGGACGGGAGGAGGTTCACCGGACGGGGACCTTGATCCAGCCATTAGCGAAGGCGATGGCGAGGATGACGAAGGGCGTCGACATGCCAAAGATGATGATGTAGGGCAGCGGCGTCTTCATCGGGTTCTCGCCCTTCCTCTCCCCTGCCGCCTGCCAATACCTGCATTTCCATCAGTTAGCAAGATCACAGTTTTTTTCTCTCATGTTTATTTCTCTCAACCACACATCTCTCTGAGAAGAACATAGTTCAGATTTTTTTTTCTTTATGTTTCAGGGAAGAAGGGTAAACAAAAATGCAGAGCTGAGTTGAGTTGAGTTGAGTTGCTTACTGCTCTGGCTCCTCTTCTCTGGTGATGAACTTCTTCTTGTTACCTGCAGGCTTCACCTCCCCATCTCCACCTGTACGCATCACTCAAAATCTTAGGAGTTGTTCAGATTAATATCATTTTAAACCATACCAATTTTTGGTAAAATTGTTAAAGATGTGTAACTATTTAGTTTTTTTTTTTACCAAACTTTGGTAAATACATAAGCAATACTGCCAAAACTTGGCAATATTGCCAAATAAATTTGGTAAGATTATTTAAGTATACTTCAAAGTTCAAACAGCTTGCACAGAAAATGGAAGGATACAAAGAGGAATTCAGGAGACCATTATTACCGAGATTGGCTGAAATCCTGGGCCGCCTGACGGTGATGACGCGATTGCGAAACAAACCGGAGCCGGTTTTCTTCGACGGCTGAACGGCGAAGGCGGCGGCGCCACCGACGGCGAGGAGGGAGCTGAGAGCTACCTTAGCCATGGCCGGCTTGGTGTGGAATGGAGGAGGACGAAAGCTCTCAGACTGTCACACATGTCACATGATATGAGCCAGAAACACAGAGATTATTTTGGATAAGATGGCTGCATCCCTGGCTCATTCTCTTCCATAGCAGAAGGCCATGGCTCATAGGATGTTAGTGACGTGGACCAGCTACATGCTGCCACGTCAGGCTCCATTCTGCAATGCTACTTAACTTGATATCAATAGTTTCGATTTTGATACAGCAAGAGCAGCTAACATAGTTGAGTTCAGTGCAGGTGAAAGCTAAGCTATGTTTGAATGGAATTTCATAAGGAATCGATCACAAACTTTCACAACAGATTTTACTTTTCAAAAATGTCTTCACAATCAAGTTTCCATTTCGACAAATAATGATGGATATGGGACTATTACCTATCACTGGTGGAGAAACCATATTTGGTCGGTCGACCCACCGGGACTAAAAACAATTTTCAGTCCCGGTTCCATTAAAAACCGGGACTAAAATTTTCAGTCCCGGTTCCATTAAAAACCGGGACTAAAAATAATTTTCAGTCCCGGTTTATAAGAACAACATGACTGATGATCTTTACTCTAAAGATGATTTTTAGTCCCGGTTTGTAACACTAACCGGGACTAAAGATCTAACTTTAGTCCCGGTTGGTGTTACTAACCGGCAATAAAAATCAACACGTACTATATAATCCCTATTACTTATCCTCTTCTCTCGTCCACATAACAAACTCTCTCTCTCTATCTCTTTTTTTCCTCTCTAACTCCCTATCTCTTTGCTGCTATCTCTTTCTTTTTTGGATCGATCGAGATCGAGCAAGAGCGAGAGCTGGCCGGCCGGGCGGCGGCCGTCATGGCAGCGGGCGGCGGCGCGGCGGTGGGCAGCGCCGCGGAGGGCCGCGCGACGGTGGCCGGCCGGCGCCTATGTGAATTTTTTTTTAGAATTTGTGATTTATTGCATGATCCTGTGATGTATTTGATTTGTGTGTGATGTGAACTTGTGATGTATTTGCGATGAATTTTGTAGAATGTAATTTGATTTGCTGAAATTTTTACATTTTAGTCTTTTTTGAAAACTTATTTTACAAATGGACCCCTAAGAAAACTTAAACCGGAAATGGTCCTTTTTAGGGCGCCAGAGTGGTTGGCACCGTCTCCCAACATGGTGGCGCCAGCCACCATGGCGTCATGCCCGTGCCACCGTGGCACTACGGCGTATGTGGCCGTGCTGACTAGGCAGAGGGGGGGCGCCAGCCACACTGTGCCGCCCCACGCACCACGGCGCCAGCCATGCTGGCGCACCCCTTCAGCGTGGGCCACCCTCTTTAACCCGCGTGGACCCCACCATCTTCTTCTCCCCACCCTCATTCGCACCCATCTCCAGCCCGAGCAGAGGAGCAGCAGCTCTCCCCCTCTCTCCCCCTCACCTCTCCACCTCAAATCCACTCCATTTGAACTCGTTTTTCGCGGGATTTTTTGTGAAAATCGAAGAGAAAGGTAGACTCCTCCATTCCCCCCTCTTTTTTTCATTTTTATTGGTTGAATTTGTAGATCGGAGGGTAACCCTAGAACCCCTTTTTTCCCAAATTTGTGATTTTTAGCATTTGTTCTTGGGATTAGCTTGTTGTAGTGCTACATGTTTGCAATGTACTCATTACGAATTTTTGAACCATATATGTGGTAGTGTTAATTTTTGGATGGTTTGGTTGGATGGATGGATGAAAAATTAGGGTTGAGGCATGAAAGTAAATTTAATTTGATGGACTTGATGCTATAGCCTATAGGTTAAACTTTTAACCATTAATTATACGAAGGGGAGACAAATTTGGTTGCATATAGAAATTGATTGTAGTTAATTAGAACTAGGTTGGGTTGTATGACAGAGTATTTGTAATATTTTGATGTGTAATGCACTAGTAAACTTGTTGATATTTGTACGTGGATTAAATATTTTTTGTGGAGTACTAGCTTTGGGACAATTTAAGTTATGCATTGGTTATAATATGTCGGTTTGGACTACATTTAGGAAGGAAGATTTAATTTTTGTTGTAAAGTTACATTTGATTTTTTGGTGTAGATGGATAGACTTGTTCGTGTTTACTACGGTGGTAGAGTGGTGGAACCTTACGTTGGTGCACATGTTGAGTTTGAGGATATGTCATTAAAGACCATTTTGTTTCCCACCCACTCAACTCTTGATGAACTAAGGTCACGAGTGAAAGAAGTTCTTGGATGGACCGAGGATAATGTAGAGATTCGTTTTTATGGGAGATACGATGTTGGTCAAGGGCATAAGTATATATTAAATGTGATAGGTCAGTTGGAATGGGAAGTTTATTTTGATTTGATAAAAGAGTCTCAGTTTAGATCTCTAGAGGTGTTTGCATCAAAGTTGGTACGTACCGTAGAAATTTTGGATCTAAACAAATCTCCTTATCATTACGTTGAGAAGAATTTTGTGACATATTCTTCTCGTCGTGGAGGGGGTGCAAGTAAGACTGAGTTGGTACGAGAAGACTTGGAGGGGAAAGGAGAGAAGAAGAGACCTTTGTTTGGAAATGATTTAGGGGAGGCAGGACCATCAAAGAGACATTGCGGTAGTGATGATATGGACGCAGCGAGGGAGATGAAAAGGGAGTTAGTACAAGAGGGGCTTGATCTAAGTGAATATTTGTCGGAGAGTGTACATTGGTCGTCGTACGGAGGCAACCCTGAATACCCGACGCAAGTAGCAGGCCAATATGTGAATCCAAATGATTACTTTATTGTCGAATTGAGTGGTGGTCACGATTCTGTCTCAGTAGAAGTCAATAGAGAGGAGGTTGACGAGGAGGCAAGTGTTGAGCAATATGATGTTGAATTTGCTGAAGACTCCGATGATGACCGTCCATTCCCTCCACTAACTAACAATGACAAGTTAGCATTAGAGGAATGTCGTGCGTTTGAGAAGGTGTTTGGGAGGAAGCCGGACATTCCTGAGTTTAGGGACCTAACACATGCCCATGGTGCAATACTAGATGGCGGCATCAACCTAGATCAGTTGCCAGAACCATTCCAGGTGGATGGTCTCAAAAAGGGTTTAGAGTTCCCATCCATGGTCGCATTGAAGCTATGGCTCAAGGAGTATGCCATCGTGCACCATCGTCCATATCGTGTTGTCAATTCTGCCGCAAATAGGAGGTACACTGTTAAATGTGAAAACCCACGGTGCAAATGGAAGGTCCATGCAACTAAGAGGTCTAGTGGCACGTGGAGGATATCACAGGTTGGTAAGGCACATAGTTGTGCTGCTGCCGAAGGTTCAAGGAGCCACCGGCAGCTGACATCTAAGTTCATAGCAAATAGATTATGCAATGCCATAAAATTGCAACATACACTCTCTGCTTCTGCGTTAGCTTTGTATATATTTGAGGTTTTCCAGTATAGGGTGAAGTATGGCAAGGCTTGGAGGGCACGAGAAGAGGCTATGAAGCTCATTTACGGAGAATGGGGTGAAGCGTACGTCCATTTGCCCACTTTGCTACAAGCCATTAAGCAGAGAAATCCCAGTATGGTCTACCACATCGATACTCATCCTGATAGGGTTGTCAACATTGATGGAGTGACCAAAAAAATTTTTATGCGTGCATTCTGGTGCTTCGGTCCTTCCATTGAGGCTTTTAAGCATTGCAGGCCAGTACTAGCTATAGATGCAACCTTCCTAACTGGGAAATACAGTGATGCCTTTATGACTGCATTATCAGCTGATGCGGAGGACCAACTTGTACCTTTAGCTTTTGCCTCGGTAGAGAAAGAGAATTCACGAGACTGGTGCTGGTTTATCGATCTTGTCCGACAGGTTGTGGTTGGGCCGCACAGGGAGGTTTGTATTATCTCAGATCGACATGCTGGTATAATGAATGCCATGAGGGCTCCTGTTCCAGGATTGTCACCGATTCACCACCGATGGTGCATGAGGCACTTCAGTGCTAATTTTCACAAGGCCGGTGCGGATAAGCATCAGACAGAAGAGCTCCTAAGGATATGTAAGATTGACAAGAAGTGGATATTTGAGAGGGATGTTGAGGCACTAAGACAGCGTATTCCTGAAGGTCCTCGTAAATGGCTTGAAGATGAGTTGTTGGACAAAGATAAGTGGTCTCGTGCATATGATAGAAATAGCTGCCGGTGGGGTTACATGACAACCAACATGGCCGAACAGTTCAATAGCGTGCTAGTTGGTGTTCGTAAGCTTCCAGTGACGGCCATAGTGGCATTTACCTTCATGAAGTGCAATCATTACTTTGTGAACAGACAAAATGAAGCAGTGAAGCGAGTCCAGTCAGGGGAGCGCTGGTCTGCCAAGGTCGCTAGTAAGATGAAGGTGCAAAAAAGCAAGGCGAACAAACACACTTCAAGGTGTTTCGATAAGCAGAAAAAGACATACGAGGTCACAGAGAAGGGTGGTATAACGCGTAGTGGTGTTAGATTCGGCGCAAGAGCCTTCAAAGTTGAAGGTGAGGGGAACTCATGTTCTTGCCAAAGGCCATTGCTCTACCATATGCCTTGCTCACATCTCGTCCACGTTTATCTAATTCATGCAATTGATGAGGAATCTCCCAACCGAATATCGTATCAGTTCTCTTCAAGAGCCGTTGTGAACACATGGGCAAGTCGCTTTGAGCCATACCTCGACCCCACACAGTGGCCACCGTACGATGGTGAAGAATTTGTTGCTGACCCAGATTTGAAGATTAAAACAAGAGGGAAGAGGAGATTGAAGCGATTCAAGAACGAATGGACTCGGGTCTTGGTGGTTCTAGAAGGAAACCACCTTCAGGTGTTCAACTTGATGCTGTGCTAGTGCAAAATAGATGCTCGTTATGTCACCAGGAGGGTCACAAGAAACCTAAGTGTCCTAAGCATCCAAAAAAGAAGAAGTCCAAAAAAAATAGAAGTGTTAGGGAGGCTTTTGTTTTCCTACTTAAGTCAATGCATGTTTTATTCTTGTCTATTTAATGTCTATTTATTTATTTTGGATTCTCACATTCATTTTATTTTAAGTTATGTCATGTTGGTAACTAACGGTGAATTTATTACTTTTTCATGTAGGATGGCCGAGGAGGGACAACCGCCGACTTACCTAGCCTTGGAGGAGTACTACGAGGCCCGTCATCGCGGGGCTGCGATCGAGGCGGGGAGGGTATGAATCGGCATCGATTCACTTGTATCTAAGTATCGGTAGCGTGTGTTTGATATTATATTCACTAATTGATTTACAATTGCTAATGCAGGTACTTCAACCGCTCCGAGTTAGAGCTCATGCCCCCCCAGTGTTCGACGATAGGTACATCCCGTACCTAAGGGCGGCCGGGTTGCTCGGGGTGGCCTTGGTCATGAACAGAGGAATGCCAGTGTTCAACACTCCTGCGTTGACAACACTTGTGGGCAGATGGAGGCCTGAGACACACAGCTTCCACCTCACCAGTGGTGAGATGACCATCACTCTTCAGGATGTGGCTATGATCTTGGCCCTCCCATTACGGGGGCATGCAGTGACGGGCAGGACAAAGAATCCTGGATGGCGTGCACAAGTGGAGCAGCTGCTTGGCATTTCACTCAACATTGAGCAGGGGCAAGGGGGCAAGAAGAAGCAGAATGGAATACCCCTGTCTTGGCTGAGCCAGAACTTCTCACATCGTGACGACAACGCTGAGCCATGGCGTGTTGAGTGCTATGCCCGTGCATACATCTTGCTCTTGTTGGGAGGAGTTCTGTTTCCAGATGCTAGGGGTGACATTGCTTCGGCGATATGGATTCCTTTGGTCGCCAACCTTGGCATACAAGCATTATGTCAATGAGATGGACTGCTTACAACCTCAACATGTAAGTACTTCCAATATCACTTCTAGTTAGACATTTACTTCTATAATTGAGATACTAACCTACGACATCTCTTCAACTTTTGTAGATTGGGTGGTTACCATACCACACAATGAGGCTTCAAGTCTGACCCTGAACTCGCTGTGCAATCGAGACTCCGATTACTTCATGTACCAGTGCCCATTGATTTGTTTCTGGGCAGTTGAGTACCACCTTCCGCACCGTGTCATGCGACAGTTCGGGAAGAAACAAGATTGGCCGGTTGAGAACATCTCAACTAGAGTTGAATTGGACAAGTAAATATTTCTTATCTTTGTTTGCTTTCATTGTCAATGTTCAATTTTGTACCATTTGACCCTTGTCGATGCTCACTTTGCTTTCATCACCTTCCACTTGTCAAGGTACGACAGGGTGAGAACAAAGAAAGTGAAAGACTGGGGGCTAGAGCATAATAGATACATTGATGAATGGAGGACAGCGGGAAGGAACGACAGGTACATCGAGACAATACACCAAATCATCTTTTCTCAGAGTACCTTCATTGGCTGCATAGGACATATAGACTATTCCTATGCCCTACATGGACGGAAGCCGACATAGAGGAAGACCGCGATTCTAATGAGGGGCGGAATCCCTACGACGTCTAGACTAGGGTCGGTTATCAAATGGAGCACGCCCCACTTAGAGATAGAGTCGTAAGTTTTCTTGCATTTGTCAAAGTGATTTCCATTTGCACCCTAAACCCTAACATACATCTTCTCACGCTTTCAGTCCAGAGAGCTCTTTAGGAGTGTGAACAAAATGGGGCATGCCCTCCAATCTTCGAGGGGTGGTGAGGAAACGGAGAACACACTCCGCAATATCTTAGAGGTAAAATTGATTTAACACTTCGCATTACTTGAGTTATACCTAACAAACTTCTTTTTTTAAAATGCAGAAAGTTCGTCAAAGATGCCGGAAACTTGTTGCAAGATTAGGTTGCGGGTCGGTTGGATTGGAAGACGTGTACCAACCGCGGAGAGTACCACCACCACTACCTCAATCCGCACCTATCTCCGCGCGTACAAGTATCGCTCGACACTCCATCAGGATAGAAGAGCGTGAAGAAGTTGGTGGTTCGTCGTCGTCACGCATTCCACAAGGGAGGGGAAAGGGGAAGGCGCCGGCTCCACCTAGCGACGACAATGACGACGACAATGACTCGACGAGGAGGATGAGGACTACGTCGCACCAGACGCTGAGGAGATAGACATGTCGCAGCTTCCCGATGCGCCTCAGGGGACGCAACCCACCCAATACAACTTGCGATCCACTCAGGCAGCGAAAAAGAGGTAAAATGAGCTTACCATTCTCAAATGTTATTTGATTTCACTCATTTTGTTTTTTAAATGTTTTAAACATTGGATTTTTAAATGTAGATACACTCCGGGCTCGCAAGCTATTCGGCGCCAACGGAAGAAGTGATTTGTATGAAGTTAATCTATTTGTTGGTAGTATGACGTATGTGGTGCACTATGTGATAGAAAATGTGATGGACTATGTGAGGACTATGTAATGGACTTTTGACATTGTTTGATGTGTGGAATATGTGATGGACTTTTGGCATTGTTTCATGTGTGGAATATGTGATGGACTATGTGATGGACTTTTGGCATTGTGATTTGTGCAATTGGAACTTATTTTAGTCTGTATGAAACTGTCAATTGTGATTTGAATTGCGAACGGTGAATTGGTATATTTGTGCAATATAGATTTTCGATTTGCAGGGAGGCAGAGGGTGGTGCCAGCCACCCTAGCGCCACAGTACGTGAGGGCGGCGCCAGCCGCGGCCCGGAGGTAGAAGGTCCTCGGAGGAGAGGGGGCGGCGCTAGCCGTTGCCCGGAGGTAGAAGAGACTTGACAAAAATGGGAGTGGGAGGAGAAAGTTGGTGGGGCCCACAGAGGAGGGGTGCGCCATACATGCTGGCGCCGTCGTATGCGGTGCGGCGCTAGTGTGGCTGGTGCCCCGCTCTGCCGAGTCAGCAACGCCACGTAAGCCCTGGTGCCACGGTGGCATGGGCAAGGCGCCAGTTTGGCTGGCGCCGCCATGTTGGGGGATGGCGCCAGCCACTCTGGCGTCCCAAAAAGGACCGTTTCCGGTTTAAGTTTTTCCAGGGGTCCATTTGTAAAATAAGTTTTCAAAAAGGACCAAAATGTAAAAATTTCAGATTTGATTTGTGTGTAATTTTTTTTAGGATTTGTGATGTATTTGATTTGTGTGTGGATTTGGATGTTACTTTGATTTGGGATTTGGGGTTTAATTTAGGGATATGCATACCACTTGATTCGGGAGAAAATAAAAAAGAAAAAAAGAAGAAGAAAGGGGACCATCTGTTATCCCTCTTTAGTCCCTCACCAACCGGGACTAAAGATACCGGGACTAAAGATCGATCTGGTTATTTCACCCGGGATTAAATATAGTGATCTTTAGTCCTGAATTCGTAGTCCCGGTTGGATAATCGGGACTAAAAGGGGTTACGAACCGGGAGAAAAGATAGTTTCCACCAGTGTATGAAAAGTAATGCAATTGCTATGTAGGTTTGTTGGTTTGTGTATGCCAACTGAAGCTGATTAAATTAACGTGTCCACTAAGTTAATGCAAGTTTGCAATATTTTTTTATAATCTAGCAGCGATATGGTAAAAGAATGACTTAGGTTGCTCTTGATCTTTGATAATTTTTGAGAAATACGTTGCGGACGTTTTTCTAATGGGTAACTTTTACCAACCTTGAAAAGATATCGATAGATACCACATTTTCTAAAATTTGGTACTTAAAAAATTAATTTTCTGACTGACTTACTAATAAGAAAACTGATCTATAGGTGTAATTAATTTTCTTGTCCATATTCAGACTCCATTTTATTCAAGAAATACCATATAGTACTCACTGACATACAACATATTAATTTATTAATCATACGGAAAGAGATGATCAAGAGGTCTACTCCTACATGGCACTCACAGAAATAGAGGAATATTGATCTGTTCATCATGCAGTCCGAATAAAAATCACTGCTGCCGCAGCATCGCCCTGGCCATAATCTTGTACTTGTCCTTTGGCGTGAAGAAGGCGGCGATGCGCTCTCTGTTGGGCAAACACAGCTTCACGGCATCGTTGGCCGTGTACTCGTTGGTCCACCGGCGCAGAGCGGGATACTCGTCATCGCCATCGTCGCCGGCGACCAAGCTCACTCCGGTAACCTCCTCCAGCACGCCGACCCAGTGAGCCAGCCCACCGGCGGCGATGTCCAGGTAGCCGATGGAGTCACCTGCAAAGAACCTCTTCCCCCCGAGCTGCGCTTCCAGGAGAGCCAGGTTCTCCTTGGTCTCCTTCAAGAACCCCTTCTGCTCCTCGCCCTCCAACCACAGCGCCAGCCATGACGGCCTCGTGCTCTGCACACGAACGATCAATATGGTAACAAACGGGAAAAATATGTAGTAAAATTTAAAAATTAATCTCATATCTAAGTGCAACCTAGAGATTTGTCACGTCACAGTAATCAGGAGTAAAAGTTTAACTAAAAGTAAAGATTTTACTCATGGACTTAGTGTGACATGGATAAATTTCGAACGTCCATTTAAAAAAAAAATCTATGATCATCTAGGGTTACATTACATATCGAATTCGCGTCGCATATTTTTCTAAAAGAAAAACATAAAATGTGTAAATGATATTACGTCCATCTTAAAATAAACCGACGACATACATAGGATTTAAAACTATGACAAGAAAATATTGCCTTGTGGTCGATGAAGTGAGCCCAAAAGCGAGCCATGGCGCGGTGGTAGGGGTCGGCTGGCAGGAGGGGCGGGCCGTTGAACGCCTCGTCGATGTACTCGACGATGACGAGCGATTCGCAGACGGCGCGGTCGCCATGGAGGAGAACGGGAACCTTCTTGTGGATGGGGTTCTTGGCGAGGAGCAGGTCGCTCTTGTTGTTGAGGTCCTCGTGGATGAACTCATAAGCTACTCCCTTGAGCCGTAGAGCCACCTCAGCTCGGTGCACGAATGGGCTGCCAAAAGCGCCGATGAGCTTAACCAGATTGGCCATATATGTGCTTGCTTCCAAATATTGTGTTCTTGTTTTGTATCATGGCCAAATCGTGTACCATTGGTATTTATAGGGGTACGAGGGGTATTCGATCTGCTTGCCTCAAATCTTTAATAAATTTCAAATGGTGTACTTCTGCTTCTCCTAAAAAAATGTATGTTTTTTTAAGAACAACCCGTACAAGATAGTGCGACGTTTCTATATATTGATATAACAAAAAAAAAGGGTATAAGGGTATAGTCCTTAGAGACTATAATCAAAAAAGAAAAAAGACAACAACAACACGCGTTTATGTCTGATCCTGCCACTGAAAAACAAAGTAAGGACACAACACCCCTAAGGAATGGATCTTCTGAACAATGTCTCCAAGGAGGAAAACAACGCCAAGAGCGCCGCCGCCGCCTGTCCTAAAGAATCAAGACATGGGTTTCACCTGAAGAAACCATTGTGGGAGGGGAAAAAATGTAACAATACCCCAAAGGGAATGCGGCGCCCGTTGCTAGCTCGCAAGCTAGGCCTTTGCCCGTAGTTTTCCTACTCACCCACCATCACCATCGCCTTCGTCCTTCCACTGTGGAAGCCTTGCCGCTGCACCACCCTAGCCTTGTCGTGCTCCCACCATGGTAGGCTCGCCACCACACCGCTCCAGCCTCCACGCCGGCCTCATCACCTCGCGTCATCGGCCTTCTACCTACGCATTGCGGCCTTCACCTCGAGACGTCAGCATCCTCCTCATGCACCGCCAGCCACAGCCTCCACGTATGGTTATAACACTGGCGATTGCCTCTCTCCACTAGCTCCGGCAATGGCCACAACCTTGTGCGCCACCTGTACGCCGCCAACCTACTCGTGCATTGCCTGCCATGGCCTTGCATGTCGTCGGCCTCCTTTCACGCTCTCTGCGCCGGCCACACGCAGATATCACTGCCCATGCGGCACTCCTGCACGTCGCACCTCTACTGATGCTTCCGCGCTCCTCGCTGGACCGCCGCACATCATTCCCATCACCACCGGCGTGACGCTAGATCCGGCTACGTGGGGACCGGATCCGGCCTCACCGACGTCGGATCTAACCGTCACTCGAGGTCCTTCCTCCGGTCTTGGCAACGCCCCGGCCGCCTCGTCTGCGGGAGGAGGTAGGGAGTCTTGCTGCCGCCATCCTTGCATCCACCCAACTTTGCCTGCGGCTGCTCGAGCGGCGGTGAGACAGAGGGGAGGAGAGGAGGGGCTGGTTGCCGCTCGTGCTGTTCTGGGGCTGGGCGGCACTAGCGCTTTTTTTTTAAAGGTATGTGTTTTTATTTTGTCTGGGTTCTTTCTATCAGCCTAGTCGGCCATTCTGCTGTCAGTTACTTCGCTTGGTTCTAATAAGCATTGATGAAGGCGTCACTGTACATGTTTGGGCACAATAATAGGATGCTTTTGGTAAACCATTGATGGAAACGATAATCTATTCTATGTTACCATCATCTTCATGCGCACTTAGACTAATGCAAGTGTGTGCATCTTAAAACATCAAGATCAGATTTACCAAAAGATATGTACTTATGTACATGAGTAGGTCGGAACGATAATGTACTATGTACATGCAAAAGGTCAGAATGATAGCTTACTGGCATGATAGTGATTTACTACCTCCGATTTAATGTTTAACGCTGTTAACTTTTAAACATATTTTTGATATTCTTTTTATTTAAAAATTTATGAAAATATGTAAAATATAAGTCATTTAAAGTATGAAAATATGTAAATTAATAATAATGATATACATTTTTTAATAAGATGAATGATTAAATAAAGGTATAAAAGTCAGCGACATTAAAAACTCGAGGTATTATTACTGTAACGTGACAGTACTGTACGCTGTTTATGAGTAATGCTATCCCAAGTCAAAATTTCTTGATGAGCAAGCTGGAAAGGAAAGAAAAGTATGACCACATGCAATGTAAATGGGCTTATCCTTATCTGTGGTGAGGACAAAAGCGAAATATTCTCTCCGTTCCTAAATATTTGACGCGTTGACTTTTTTAAATATGTTTGACCGTTCGTCTTATTTGATTCATTGTTAAATATACTTATATGGATACATATAGTTTGATATATTTCACAAAAGTTTTCGAATGAGATGAACGGTATACGCTAAAAAGTCAACGATGTCAAATATTTAGAAACGGATGGAGTACTCGTGTATGCAAATCAAAATTAATTAATGCATACATGAGGTATAACCCAAATAATGATCATAATTTCCATTCTAGGAATATCATGATAATTATTTCTGACGTACTGTATGTTTGAATCATTTGTCTCGTGGTTGACGTACGCCTCTCCTCTACCGGCCGTATAGCAATTTACCTTTGACTAGCTAAAATAACAGTCTATTAAGAGAATGAGGGAGTATAATAATTGCATTTCACCATCACCATGATTCAGGTTTCAGCGATCGATAATACTGGTAACCGCACACAGGTTTCAGCGATGGCCAATCCGCCAAACTTCAGTCTTGCATTGGCCATGCATACAGCCAGCCGGCACATAAAAAATACTTGTACAGTGTCTACTGTCTAGTAAAAGATCAAACAGATACTTCTCGCCCGGAATGTGTTACGACAAACACCAGTTTACATGTGGAGAAAACCTGATATTATTAATTTCAAAATTCTCCACAGCACATTGATCGACATGGAAGAAAGTCCATTAGTCACAAGCTAAGCTGAGGTTAATAGTTCATTTATTGTTGTACGAGGCCCTTAATGAGAATGAATTAAAGTGTATTCGGGCTTGCAAAAGCTGTTTGAATTAATGGATGGGCTAAGGCCCACTCGAAGATTAATTATTTGAAAAATCACAAAAGCATGGCATGCATGGAGAGTTTAGTATCACATTGTTTATTCTCAAATAGAGGGACCTTCTTAAAAGAGAGAATGTCCTCCTAGCCACTTAAAGCATGTGTGGTGGAGAGAAGAGGGGAACACATGCGCTCGCCTCGCCTGGCAGGGCAGGCATACGTGGAATAACATAATACATCGTCCACCGGCGCAGGCAAGGGCACTCCTCATCATTCAGAACGCACCAGACTAGTTTCCTGTTCTCTGATAAAGAGATAACACTAACTTAAAAGGCTCAAATTCAGTTAAGTTGCCCGCTAAACTCAATTTGCTACTAAAGTTATAATAAACATCAACCATGATTAACGGTTGAAACCTTGCATATAACAAGTATCAGTAATTCAGTCATCGACAAATATTCTCACTACATAAAGCTCTGATGCATTTGACTTGATAGTTGGAGCTACAACATAATCAAAAATGGCAACAAAAGTTCCCTTTGTGGCATTATCTAAAATAGAAATGCCGTTTGTGGCTGAGATTCAAGGGGCGCAAAAAATCTGCTTTGTGATGGCTTGCAATTTAAATGCTCCCAGCGTTACTTTTGTTGGATTGGGATTCAGATATGATGTATTTTGCAACATCAGCGCAGCAGGAAAGCTTGTCGGCTTTGTCATCAGGAATTTCAACGGAGAATTCTTGCTCAAAGGCCATGACGAGTTCCACCCGATCTAAGCTGTCCAAACTCAGGTCCCTTTGGAAATCTGCTGTCTCAGTTACCTGCAGCCATTTGAATGGTAAATGTGTGTCACATTCCTTGTGCTGACACATGCAGATGCAAATAGGTACAAATTCTAAAGGAGAACATATCATATGCACATAAGTTTCTGTGCACACTCCGCGTATATCAAATAGCAAATGTCACGGAAAATTCTAGAAAAAATTGGACATGTACTGATAATATTATTACACATATCTGCAAAATCTCATATTCAAATTCATTATTGTCTAGCCATAACAAAAAAGTGAAAAAATCTGACTGTTTTAAGAGTAAAAATCTGTCAGAATTTTATCTTTTTTTGTTACGGCTAAAATATAATGAATTTGAAGATAAGATTTCACAGATAGGTGTAATACTATTGGAAGTATGTGTCAATTGTTTTTATAAAATTTTCTATGATATTTGCTAGTTTGTGTGCATTGAAAATTTGTGTGCATAGGATATGTTCCCATTCTATTCTTAAAAATACTTGATAAGCAAACATCGTAAATAGACATTTTCACTTCTCAAGGTGAGTAATTTTGGACTGGAATCAACATAAGATCTAGTTCGCCCTCATCTAAAGAGGAAACTAGGCTTGACAGTTCAACTGTGACTTGGGAGTTACTTTTTAATGTAACTCCATAGCTGTACAAGATTTCTAAGCAACTAAACAGAAAATTCAGTAACCTACAAGTATTGTATTGTTAAATTGGACATGTTATGCATCAATCAATTTTGGGAATACAACTGTTCAGTGTTCACCTAATTGCCTTCATCTGGATGAACTCCTCTGCCTTCCTCTTCCCATTTCATTTTACACCATTTTAGATCAATGAGAACACACTACACATTTTGGGCCAGTGAATCAGTGTTGTAGATTTGATAGTGTCTTCCAATTTTCCATATAAAATGATGAATTATATGATCATAGAAGCTTAAACAATATTATTCTGCTAAACTTTTGTTTCCATGTTATATTCTAGTACCTACTCAAAATTGTCTTCAAATTTTGTATTTATCACAGATCTAAGTATCACCGTACCTAAAATGATTTTGTCTTGTAACAAATTATTTCAATTTCCTTCTGCTAATCTCAGGCTGCAAACAGTGAATTTGCATAAAGCAGCCATGATGTGCACAATAAAATGTCCAACGTACTTTTACTTAAAGCTGTAAATCATGCAGGTAAAAAGAAGAAAGAATACTAATCAAATAGGTGCTATTTTCAATGCAATCATCAAGAACAGCAGAAAAGTACTTCTCTGTGTATGAATGCATATTGATACTTCCTAGTTAACATTATGATGATATCTGGTAAATTGTACAAATTTTACTTCAAGGAGCTATCAGTTCTCAAATATGCAACGTAGAGCTCCATTTTCCCCATTCTTGGGAGGCGTTGACTTTCAACAGTCTGAAATAGTTTAGCTGTCAAATCAACTGGAATGACGCTTCTTCCTCTACACCATCACTAGCTAAGGCAGTTCTCTAATATGTCTTTCAATTACTCAGTTAAACATAGCACTCTACTTTGACAACATAAATATGTACCAATCCAAAGATAACAAAGTGGATGAGCTCATAGGTGGTAACAGTGTATTTTTCATGAATTCATAACTATGATGGATAGCAGTTTTGCTCCACTGTACATGAAAGCCACATGTTGCTATAGTTTTTCGGGTTTGTTGCAACAGGATTATGGTACGAATGAAACACCTGTCATCTGGCAACATATACCACATTTTATTATTTTACATGCTACCAAAGCTAAAGAGAGTATTGTAAATATCGTATTTATGAAACAGATCCTGAAGCAAATACTTGCAAAACAGACCAACAGCCTAGGCAGAAACTAAGTTTAAAGAGGAGAAATCATGCATGTTGTGGGGCAATACTTGCCAGACAAAACAATCCTTCTACAGAAAGAGAACATCTTGGCATCTTGTTTTCTGGAGAAAAGCATCAGGCAGCATGCTGAAAATTTTGGTAAGCTCTTTCTTATAAAGCTATATGTACTTACTCACCACAACTCCATCTTATTAAATTGATATTAAATATATTTTTTATATTACTGATAATTGGTAATATCGGCTGTGTTTTGACAGCATACAAAAAAAAAGTGTAATAATCAGAGCACCAATGGTCTATGACTGTCAATTCATCATCTGGACCATACAATGGATTGTGCAACTTGAGATCTTGCAGAAGGCCATACCAAAAGGGGACACAGGAGTCTAAATTTCACTAGATTAATAAGTTTGCATTAGTGATTAGGTTGCATTTTAAGTGCCGCCACCGGGTGCTTGTGCTTCATGATGGTCATTAGTTTTAGTTATTTTTCTTGCGTCAGGGTTATGCTGAGCAGGGCTACTGATGCGTAAATGCTAGAGCTAGCTATATCACAAGTGTTACTGGATCCTAACCTGAGAAAGGGCCCTTTAGATGTTGATCAACATGAACGTATTACACCAATGAATTATTTAATCCTAACACAAAAGGTGCACTAAATGTTCCTATGCAAACAAGAGACTTTATTTCCAGTAATAAATTCACTGAAAACAACAGAAGTACCTATTGAACAATGAACATCACCCTGAATGTCCCATTGTTAAGGATTAGTTTACAACGAGAAAGTTCCTCCGAGTCCAAGATAAACCCAAAAAAGGGCCATTTTATCAGATAAACCATACCAACAATGCTAAATGCTACATCGATGTATCATCACTGAGTGAAGAGCTGGAAATATCAGTTTTTGACTTTGTCCACAATCTTTTCCCACTATTAGATAGTAGTCAGTTCGGGCCATTTCAGCCATGATTCTTGTAAGCACATTTCAGTTAACCATCCTAGCACGCCTCTGTTTATATGTATTATCGCAGACTAAGTGATTAGGCTGGCCATGGTAACAGCTTCACCTCTATGACATCCAATTCTTGACTGACATTTTACTGCAGGAATACAAACCACAAGCATTGGCTATTTGGCTCATGGCAGTAAAACGTGTCACCAATGGCGAGCTAACAAAGCACAAGAATCAACTTCCATAAGCAATAACTAATAAACCATACCAGTAGCAACTGAAATAGCAAGCATTTCAGACGCCATATCACAATGTGGCGAAATTGCAGAGGCAACGAGAAGGACAACGAGATAAACGAAAGGAGCAGAGAGAGAGAGAGAGAGAGAGAGAGGAGCCAAGAGGCGACCTTGTCGGCGTCGATCCTGTCGAACTTCTTGACGAGCTCGACGACGCGCGCCCTGACAGCGCCCTCGGAGAAATCCCGCGGCGGCCCACCCTCCTGGCCCGCCGACGCGGCCATCCCCCGGTGGCCGGGGGCGACGCCGACGACGCGGTACACCGCCGGCCTCGCGCCACCACAGGCAGCAGCCGAGGGCGGCGCGCGGCGGCAGGCAAGACGCAGGTGCCGCAGCACCAGGGTTCTCACCGCCTGCATCCTGCACGAGGCCTTCCGCTTCTTCTTCTTCTTCTTCTTCTTCCCCTGCGCTGCGCGTGCGGCTGCGGCGGCGTGGTGACGGAAGAGGTGGAAGGAATGGAAGATTGGAAGTGGGCTTACGTCTTATGTGGGCCTAATCCTCGGAACCCAACAACTTCTTTTCGCCTTCTCGGCCTCATCTACATTAGTGAAAAGTTAATCTTGAGATGTCACCTAAGATGAGCCACGTCATACATTAATTCATCATCATTGGATTGAGAAGTACAACAAATCCTAACCGTCCCATCCAATGAAAAAACAGAGGAAGCGTTATAAAAAGAAAAAAAATGCCCAGCATCAGATGATTCCATATCCTTCCCTTCGGTCAGGAGGAGAGCAGACAAAAACAAAACGAGAAACTTCCCTGAAAACAAAAACAAAACAAAACTATGAACTGCTATCTATATTATCGCTCACAAACAGAGTTTGGATGTGATTATCTTTTTTATTTTAGTCCTAAATTTTTTTAACAAAATTTTGTATTGTCTTTGCGATTAATTTATCTTTTAACAAAATTTTGTATTGTCTTTGCGATTAATTTATCTTTTAACAAATGACGAGGCATATGCTCTGCGAGTTAAGATGTAATTGTTATTTTTTATTTTAGTCCTAAAGTAAATTGTAACTTACAAACTACTACCTCAATTCCAAAATATAATAACTTTTGGCTACGAATCTGGACAGACAGTTGTCCAGATTCATAGCTAAAAATACTTTTATTTTATAACGGAGGGAGTAATCCTTCAACAAAAGAGAATATGTTGCGCAGATAGGGAAAGCCAAACAGTGGTCAAGATGAATAGAAAATGACATCTCACATTACAAGCGTATTCAAAATACTATAAATGACACCTTTATAAATGCTTAGTAAATTATTTATTATTATAATACTAATTAATCATAAATTAAAATAAAAATATTATGATGTATAGCTAAAGTTACTTTAAAAAATACATGTTTCACGAATACTTATTTAAACGACACACATAATAGAGTGAGGTTATAGTCGCGCAAATAGACTTAATGAGCTAGTAGTAGCTAGTGTTAATTAAATCTTGATATAGATTCATGATGAGAATCTTGCGACTTTTGAATTGAAAGAAAATAAAAAACTGCTTTGAAGCCTATATCCGTACACTATAAAAAACTTATACTGCAAAATTTAATTTAGTTATAAAGATGCAAAATTTAATTTAATTATATAATAAAGAGAAAAAAGAGCTTGAATTCATTTGTGGGTACCTCCTCAGAAGAGTCGGTTCCCTCCAAAAATTAGCGTATGCTGCTAATTGCGGCGCGCACACGGTATTCTTTAGTAAAAGGCGAAAGAATAGTTCGCTTTGTGCTCACCGCGCAGCTGCGTGGGTTCAAGCGGTGGCACCAGGCCCCTATATATAGCAGAGCTCCCTGTGCCCTCCGACTTGGGTAGGCGAGGTGGGACTAAACAAGCAGAGAGCACTCTACTCTCTAACTGTTCGCACCGCGTCAGCTGATTCGGCCCAGATGCAAACGAGGAGGCTTACATGGGCCGCCCAACCTGTAGGCCCAAAAGCGAAGGCATCATGCTGAACTTGGAGGAAACAAGAACAGTAATGGTTTTATTATGTTTTTTTTTTTAAGAAAGCATGAGAAATTGAGAATAGATCTCCTGGGAAATGATCACGGCCAATTCCATAAACAGAAGAGATCTCCTGTTTTTTATAAACCATGGGAAATGATCACGGCCAATTCCAAATCCAAGTGCTACGGCAGTACCATTTCCCATGGCACAGTATATTTTCGTCGCAAAATGAAGATATCTGTATATTTGCCAAAGAAAAGGAACAAAGGGAGAAAAGAATAGACATTTTCACGAAGGTGAAGCATGCAGACATGCTAGTTATTATGGAAAGGAAAAAGTACACCGTCCCTCAACTTCATCGAGTTACAAAATCGTCTCTCAAACCACAAAATTAGATATATGACATCCTTTAACTTATAAAACAGTTCACTTTAGTCCTTCGATGGTGTTAGACCCTGGTTTTATCCGACATGGCAGTTGAGTCAGCGCGTATCCACATGAGCCTCACCTGTCAGGATGCCACGTCATCACCCTATCTCTTTCCCCTCCTATCCCTTCCTCCTCTCTCTCTCTCTCACTTTTCTCCTCTCTGGGCAAGCCGGCCGCCGGGTGGGGGAGGAGGTCGCCGGGGCAAGGCGGGAAAGGAGGAGGTCCGGCGGCGGGCGACGAGGCGGCGGTGGCGGTGGGCTGCGATGCAGCAGCTGGCCGCCGCGCCGGGGTTGGAGTCGGGGCAAAGATAGGCAACTGCTGAGGGAGATAGGAGGCGTTTGGCGGCGAGGGCCTTAGTCGGCGGCCTTGGCAGCGGTGCGACGTTGAGGAGCTCAAAGCATAGTCGGGAGCCGGAGGTCGCCGCGTTTGGCAGCGAGGGTGGCGGCGGGTGGTGGCGGGGCGTCATCGGGAGTGGGAGGTCGGGGCAACGCGAGCGACGGAGATCGCTGCTTTTGGCGGCGAGGACTGTGGTGGTGTGGGCGGCCGTCTGGAGCTGAGAGCCCCTCGTCATGGAGCTTGGCGGCGATGCGGCGTGGATGTTGTCAGGGCGTCGTCGGGAGCCGGAGGTCAGAGTGGCGTCGAGAGACGGAGATCGCCGCGTTTGGGGGCGGGGGCGGTGGCATCGATGGGAGGAGCTAGCTGCGCGCGGGCGGCGGGGGGAGGAGCTAGCTACGCTACGCGCGGGCGGGACGAGCCGCTTGAAGGCCTCCGTGTGGTGCTCGTCGTTGTTGCCGGCGAGGCGACGCATGTCCACGGCGCCGCCTGAGTCGTCGTCGTACTCGGCCTCGATGAACATGATGCCCGGAGGAAGCACATGCAAGATGGCATCTTGTGTGAGCCGCGTACGTAGAAATAGTTCTGTTAATTAATTTTCGGGGAGAAAATGGAGCTTCAAAGCCTTGGTGATGACTGACTGACGTGCTTGTCCAGCTCGGACAGCGGCAGCCGCTTGTAGCCGTTGTTAGCCCAAACACTCACTTGCACACACACAGCTCTCTCTCTCTCTCTCTCTCTCTCTCTCTCTCTCTGTCTCGATGAAACACACACACAGAGGATGCAATGACAGAGGAAGAAGATGAACAACACGCAATGAAACAAAGAGACGCAAGGAAATTTCTTGTCACTGCACACCAGTGAACCACCACACACTTCACTTTCTATTCTCCACACCTTAATCACACACTGATTACATGCTTAAATAGCACACACGCGCAGCAGCACACTAGCCACGTTTTTGCCGCATTGACTCGGCCACTACTCCCAGCGGATATCCACATATAACTTCCTACATGCAAGCACTTACATGCAGATCATGGATTTTCTTGATCAAGCTAACTCATGCACGCACTAATCACTACTCACACAATAAATAACAAGATTAAGTCTAACAGCCGTCAGCCTCCTCCTCCATCTCCGGCCACTTGTTCTTCCTCTCCGGCGCCACCTCGCCACCGGCATGGGCGCCATGCGGGCCGTGAAGGCTTGCCCGTCGTCGCACAGGCGCCTGAACAGGTGCAGGTACTGCTGTGTGACGCCGACAGCAGCTTCAGCGGCGACATGCCGACGACGTCGTCGTCGACGACGAGCTCGACGACTTTCTCGGTGACTTGCACGTACCGGTGGTCCTGCTTGACGACGAGGGACACCACATCGACGTGGCGATCCTTGATCAGGGCGTCGCCGACGCGCGGCGCGCCGAAGGTCACGGCGCGGACGGGGACGTCGGCCAGAGCCGCCTCGAGCGGTACGGTGCCGGGACGGCGTCGATGGTGGCGTAGAGGTTGGTAGTGGCCAAGTACAAGTAGCCGCCGCCGCCGCCGCCGTAGTAAACCTCCTTCTCGTCGGCGGCGAAGGCCTTGTAGTTGTAGGCGGCCTCCACCATGTCCCCGTACATGAGGATGTCGGCTTTGTGGTCTGGATGTTTGTGATTGATCGGCAGTTGATAGTCCTCACCGCCGCCGCCACCACGGATGCGCTGGAGGAAGGTGGCGAAGCCGGCGAGGAGGCTACCCTTGTTGCCGTCGGCCATGTCGTCGTCGATGAGGAAGGGAGAGAAGAGGGGAAAGAGAGATGAGGAAGGGAGAGAGGAGGCTGATGTGGCCACGCTGATATATGGGGCTCACGTGGTCCTACGCTGACTCAGCCGTCACGTAGGATAAAATCGGAATCAACACCATCAAAGGATGTAAAGCGAACGGTTTTGTAAATTGAGAGATGTCCTATATCTGGTTTTGTGGTTGGGGGATTTTGTAACTCGATGACAATTTGAGGGACCTTCGCTGTACTTTTTCCTTATGAAAGGAAAATTTCTCGCCTAAGAGCAACTGAAAATTTTCAGACTTTTTTTAATAGCACCTTGCAGTCTTGCACACCAGACATTTCTATCATCAATGCCAACGCTTATGCAAAGCTTGGAACCCTGTAACTCCCTGTAATCAACTCCCCTCCAGCATCACAGCACAACCTGAATCTTTCAAAAACAGCTATGCAAACCTAATGTCTGTCTCTGTCCGAAAGTTACAACGAACAAGAGAACAGCCCAACACTCTCCAAGCCCCGATACCCACCCCCGACACCGGCGATGTTCCTCCTCGTCGCCGGCCACCCACCATGGGCTCTCCCCTCACCTTTCGTCCCCGGTTCTCGAGTCCTTTCCGTCCAATGCAGCCGCCTTCCCCAGCTCGGCCTCTCTCTCCCGCAGAGAATCCCTTGCCCGTTGGAGGATGGTGAGTTCGTGCCACCTCTTGTCCCAGATCCATCCCAGATTTTCAAAATCAAAAATCCCCAGGTGTATTCAAGACCGGATCCGGAGCTACCCCCCTCCTCTCAGGCTCAGAAATTGTGCTCTGTCGAAGATCCAAGTAAAGATTGCGCCGCGCCCTTGCAGGAAGATGTGTCAGCTGCAGATTTGGGGGCAAATCGAAATCTGTCTATGAAGATCCTCCACCCTCAGAGCAAGATTGTGCAGATTCGAAGGCATTACTCCACCATACTGAAGAGCGACATTCAACCCCACGCCGCGCGCCGTCTGTCGGTTGCTGAACGCCTTAACCCTCCGGTATGGGGTCGCTGGGCTACGCAGCCTCCGTCTAGATCCCTGGTTCCCAGACGTGATGCAGATGTGACTACACAAGGCCTTAACTCACGAAGCTCTACTACCCAGGTGAAGGAAGATCAGTGGAGTGAAGTCAAGCCGAGATTTTGGTGGAGAAAGCAGCAGTCTTTTAACCCTCCCAACAACCAGAAGCCGATGCATTCAAGGAAGCAGCTCTTCCTCAAGCATGTGGTTGGAAAATGTTTTCGCTGCCTCAGCTTAGATCATAAAGTCACCACCTACAGAGAGCCTCTTCACTGTTGGATGTGTCGAGGTTTCGGTCATATCTCTTCCTCTTGCAAATCCAAGAACTATAAATCCCAGCACCCCCCACTCAATCCCCCTCCACTCTCCTCCACCACCACTTTTCCTTCTCTAAGTGTTTCCAATCCCTCCCCCTCACTCCACCACTCCCCCACGACAGCAATGGCTAGGGTGCCGGGCGATCTAGCGGCTCGTCCTGCCCTTATTTCTGCATGGTGGCCTCCACTGGAGAGACTGAGCGATTGCGTGAGCTTTTCACTGCCCGCTCGGTTGTCGCCTGGGTTGAAGAAGGGGAAAGGGTGGAGGCGAGCACATTTGCTGATGATGTGCGCACTGCATTCCGCATCCGCCGCTCTGATATCCAAGTCATGAAGTTCCATCCTGAAGATTTCTTTCTCACGCTCACTAATCATAGTGATCGGGAGGCCATCCTGCAAGAACCAAGACTGATGCTGAGAAATGGCCGTGTGTATCGCTTCCGTCCATGGGACGAGAGGCGCGGTGCTGAATGCGTCGACGTTCGCTTCAGGGTCAGAGTATATGTGGAAGGAATCCCTATGCATGCAAGAACAGATGCAACTGCGGCAAAGATCATCGGCAAGAAGAGCTCCATCCACTACATTGAAGAATACTCAAGGCGTCGAAACTACAACCGCACTTTTGACTATTGGGTATGGAGCTCAGACCCGAGCTCTATCCCACGAGCAACAAGGTTGACAATCACGTCAGCAGACGAGGAGGGGCTCCCAGTTGACACTCCCTTCCCGGAGCTGGAAGCTGTGCATCCTGCCCCTTCTGACACAAAAAAGGTCTCACCTATCCTGTTCTTATTCATATTGACACTTTGCAAGACCTGGTGTCCCGACAGGTCCGCTGCTTCCAGTGGCGTTATGGAGTAGCAGATGATGTTGCAAGAACCAGGGTAATTGCTTTACCCCTCCAAGCCTGCAGAACTGATGAACCCTGAGTTCCTCTCGACACTCAAGGCTGTTGTTGGCCCGATCTTTCGGTGAGTTGTGATAACTACGATTTGGGAGAAACGTTGACGATCCGACTACAACCGTACGAGACGTTGTGTTGCGCCTTAGCGATCGATACACCTCTCCGTGTATTGTTGATCTTGCCGGTGCAGATCAACCCTATTCCTGCAAGCAAATCGAAGAAACAAGCTAGAACAAGATAAAAGCAATCTGATATTACGAATAGGAATTTAATACAAATGATAAGTTGGGGTTCCGAAGAACAAGCAAACGGACGGTCTAGCCGACACGCGCGCTGCAAGCAAGTAGCAATGGCTAAACTTTAATCTATCAAAACCCGCGATACCCTGAAGGGGTACCAAGCTATTTATAGAGATAGGAGGACCCTAGGTCGTCCTCCACCTGATTGGGGCGCACCCCACATGGGCCCCACTTGGGCCGGGGTCCCAGACGAAGTTACAAGCCCATAGGCCCATTACAGGTGTTGAAGCTCCTTGTTTCTTCAGTTGCTGCCGACTGAGATAGTATTTGGCAATGAGGCTTGATGCATTAGAAAGAGGACTCCGAGAGCTTTCCATCAAGTACTCATGGGCTGAAAACAAAGGTCGTATGAAGATTCGGCGGCCGTTTGAAGTCAGCAGTGTAGTAGGTGGCCGAATCGGATTCCAGCACTTGGAGGACTTGAACTTGATATCTTGTTGTTCATCCATGATGTGAGTAACGGATGTATCCGTAGTAGCCATGGTCACATCATCCTCCCCTTCTTCACGGAAAACCGTCCTCGGTTTTTCCATATGGTGCTCGGCGCGTGGTCGATTTAAAACAACCTGTTTCATCCAATCAAAACAAGACAAACTAGAAGTAATATGATTAGAAATTACATGCCTCTCTAGCTTGCAAGTTTTATCCACATGTACAGGAGGTTCTAAATCCGAGCAGATGTAAACTCTATGTACAAAATATATTCCAAGATCATTATATTCGCCAAAGATGTGAAATATAACATTGGTTGGATATGGCAAATCAGACTTAGCAAATAATTTCTCCTTCAAATTATCGAGCTCACAAAAATCATCAAACTGAACATAGCCCAAAGTATTTAAAGAAGATCTCAATTCACGCTCCTCTACTTCATTAGCAATGTGAACAACATGCTTAAAATCAGCGCAGTATGAATTAACAGTAGGAATAGCATGTTCATTCACTAGTTGTGGCATGGATATAAGTGAAGCATTATCACATAACTCTTCTTTATCACAAGGAACAACAAACAAATCAACTTGTGACAAAGGAATCTCAGCAGTTGGTTCCACTAATGGTTGCTCTGCTATAGCATGAAAAGTGGACAAATTCAATTCATTAACAACACACTCACCTTTATTAATTTTAGCACCATTAAGTTTACCTTTGATGCCCTCTTCAGATGATGGAGGTGCCTCGACTTTGAGTGTGATCAATGGGACTGGCGGCTCTTTTATGTCTCTCTCCTCCTTTTCATGATTATGCACTTCCTGCAAATGGTTAGTAATAGAAGACAAAAACATAGCATGTTGCTTCTTCATGTCCTCCTCTATTTTACTTTCAGCATTGCAAGCAAGTTGTAACAAATGAGAAAGAGATGTATATCTTTGACAATCAAGCATATCCTGAATTTCTTTGTTAAGCCCACGTAAAAACCTCAATTCTTTAGCTTCTTCGCATTCATCTAAACCACAACGTAATAAACAAGCTTGCATATCATGATAGTATGAAGTAACAGTTCTGGTATCTTGTTTTAAACATTGCAGTTTGTTGAACAAAATGTCAGCATAATACATGGGAACATAAACATCTCTGAAATATCGTTTTAGGTCTTTCCAAGATTGTGGTATTTTGTTATGCCTACAAAGATGTTTCCAATCATTAGAAGCATGTTTAATTACTAGAGGCACACATAACCTTTTGTTTCTCAGACAAGACATGCTTTTGAAAGTCACTATCAACCGCTAGCTCCCAATTAATGTAAGCATGAGGATCATAGTTTCCCTCGAAATAAGGCAGTACAGATTTGATCTTACCTAGAACATTATCACTTACCTCATAATGGTCATGTTGATCCCTCCTCATGTCTCGACGAAGATGTCGATGTTGAGCACAGCTATCCCCAATTATCTTGCGTATCCCTGCCATTGTTAGTAGAAAATAAGAAACATACACAAAAATATGCGCGTTCCTATTAACTACTAGGTAGTGGCAGCTCAAAAATCACACACACTCAAGCTTTTAACCAAGCTCTTACAAGATCTTACCAATGCAAGTGGAATGGTGACATACACCGACTCAACCAAGCACCCCAATGGAGGTTGGATGTATCGATGCCTTGGCAAACACTTGCGGTATGGCTGTAATCAAATTTGTGGAGCTCTGGGTAGGCTTAAATATGTAGCAAAGGAATAGCAAATGCTCAAATCAGATAATGCAAAGTTGAATAATTGTTCAAAGTCAAGTACCGTGCTGGTCCTAAGCTAGAACATACTAGAGACGCGAGCCTAGACACAAACGATACCACAAGATAGCACTAGGAACAACTCATGCACAATTCTGATATATGAAGTTCAGCTCAATGATAACAAAATGATTTTCTCCTTTTCTTCTTTCTTTCTTTCTCTTTTTTTTTTGTCTTTCCTGCTTTTCTTTTCTTTTTCTTTTCTTTTTTTTTGGTGCGGCTTTTTTTTCTTCTTTTTTTAAGCACCTTTCTGCCTTTTTTTTAACAAAAACCGACTCAAGGACCTCAATGTAAGGTCATAGGGACTCAAATGTAAATATAAAATTTACAGGGACTCAAATGTAAAAGTCCACACCAAAATTAAAAATTATACAAAAATGGAATGCTGAATTTATGTCGGTTCCGTTTTTCCAAACAGATATCCAATCCGACACTCCGAAAATTTTCACCAAGGTGTCTAGCAACTCGGCAGAACTGGTGGGGAGGTGGAGAGGTGGAGGTACGGTGGGAGGGAGTCGGCAGATTGGAAAGGTTCGGTCTAGGCCCCCACAAGTGGAAACCGAATCCAATCAAAAAAAAAATTTTCCCCTTCCTCCTTCCTCACTTATGGAAACTGAATCCAATCCACGAAATTCACTCCCCTTCCTTCTTGCTAGCGCACACATACACGGCAAAAACTAACGCACGGCAGGATCAGCAAACTCTAGATTCAACTCAACAACTTCGAAACTAACCGACAGAAACTTCTGAAAACTACAAAAATAGAACCGTGGCAGCGAGCCGATTCCGTTTTCGTAGGTCCTGACGACAACAGAGACACGGAGGCGACGATGACTGTGGTATAAAACGTGACTAGAACTCGAAACTCTAAACGAACTAGATGCTAAGACCAGCAAGACGACGTGATGATGCAACACAAAATTCAACAAAGCAAAAACTGAAAAGAACAATGCAATGGCACAATATGGCTAGGTAAATGATACAAATTTTTTTGTATGGCTATTTTCTGGTTATGGGTAGATAAAAACTCACCGAGCAACGAAAGCTCTGATACCACCTGATGAACCCTGAGTTCCTCTCGACACTCAATGCTGTTGTTGGCCCGATCTTTCGGTGAGTTGTGATAACTATGATTTGGGAGAAACGTTGACGATCCGACTACAACCGTACGAGACGTTGTGTTGCGCCTTAGCGATCGATACACCTCTCCGAGTAATGTTGATCTTGCCGGTGCAGATCAACCCTATTCCTGCAAGCAAATCGAAGAAACAAGCAAGAACAAGATAAAAGCAATCTGATATTGCAAATAGGAATTTAATACAAATGATAAGTTGGGGTTCCAAAGAACAAGCAGACGGACGGTCTAGCCGACACGCGCGCTGCAAGCAAGTAGCAATGGCTAAACTTTAATCTATCAAAACCCGCGATACTCTAAAGGGGTACCAAGCTATTTATAGAGATAGGAGGACCCTAGGTCGTCCTCCACCTGATTGGGGCGCACCCCACATGGGCCCCACTTGGGCCGGGGTCCCAGACGAAGTTACAAGTCTATAGGCCCATTACAGGTGTCGCAGCACCTTGTTTCTTCAGTTGCTGCCGACTGAGATGGAATTTGGCAATGAGTCTTGATGCATTGGAAAGAGGACTCCGAGAGCTTTCCATCAAGTACTGACGGGCTGAAAACGGAGGTCGTATGGAGATTCGGCGGCCGTTTGAAGTCAGCAGTGTAGTAGGTGGCCGAATCGGATTCCAGCACTTGGAGGACTTAAACTTGATATCTTGTTGTTCATCCATGATGTGAGCAACGGATGTATCCGTAGTAGCCATGGTCACATCAAGAACCTTGCCGGAGCCAGATCATCGGTCAGACGAAGAAGATGAACATGAGAGAAGATCAAGGAGGAGACACAGAAGCAGGTCACTTTGGGACCGTCTTGGTGGCCGTTCTGCTAGCAGAAGCAGGGAGCCGGACAGGGGCGATCGCCCGCAGTACAATCAAGACAATAGAGGGCGGCAGAGAAGCAGAGCTACAGACGAGAGCCGAAGCCGAAGCCGCCATCTCTCGCGCTCTGTAGAGCCGGGAGAAACAAGACTGCGTAGGCAATCAAGAGAGTCTACCCCCGCGGCTAAGGAGAAGGAGATTGTGCAGGTCCAGTCCCCCTACAAAACCCCTCCTCCTTACCGAAATGATAGCCCTGATAGGGGTTCGGCCTGCAACAGAATTTCTTCCTCCGTGACACCTGCTGATCTGACTTTTTCTTCGCAGGATTCGGGTGCGATCCTCAACTTGCTGGAGAAACACCTGGATCCCATGCTCCATGAAGCTTCCATCCGCAACATCGTCTACTCTCCAGACACTTCCTCGTCGGCACCTGCTTCCCCTGTTTTCGTGCTTTCGTCTGTTGCAGGCAACCAGGCCCCGGAGATGGTGGCGAATCAGAGTGTGGCTGCTGATTTCCTCAACAACCTCTCCACCCCGATGCAGCAGCCTCTACTCAAGATGCCGAAGACAAAGAAGCGTCGACCTTGCCTTAATAAGGTGACTTTCTCACCGCAAAGGCACAGCGTACATTTAGCATCTAAGGCTAGGCGCAACTCAAAACTTGAAACAATTGCTCAGGAAATTCTCTCAAATAATTTTGGTCTGCTTGATGTTGGCAAACCTTTTGATGACCGCATAAAAAAACTTTATCTGCAGCAGTACAAGAAACCGTTGTCCCCAGCTGCTATGAAGACCATTTCGGCCTTGGTGGAGAAAGGCGGCTGCAAGGCAATTAGGCTGAACGGCAAGGGGAAGGGGAAGGTTGCGCAAGCGCCTGCAACAACTCAGACCTGAAGAACCATATGAAGCCTGAGCAGCAAGTAGAAGAACATCCATGGACATGAAGATGTGGTCCTTAGTTTTCTTTCCTTGTCATCGCCACCCCCGAAGCAGCGACTTGTTATCTACAAAATCTCTGTGTTTCTGCCACCTCTTCTGGCTGTGTTTCAGAGTTTGTAGTATGCAGTTCCCCACTCTTCAGTTAGCAGGGTCTCGGTCTTTTGTGAAACAGGCTTGCTGCCCCTTTTGCTTATGTCACAGTTAAATTGCTTCATCCTCAATTGGAATGTAAGAGGCCTTAATAGTCAGGCTAAGCAAGATAATGTTAAGTTGTTAGTGGATCAAATGAAAGCAACAGTAGTTTGTTTGCAAGAAACAAAGATGGAAATGGTGTCTGATTCTGTGATAACTCAATTCTTGGGGCAGCGCTTTGTGCAGGAATTTGCTTTCCTCCCTGCAATTGGAACGAGAGGAGGCATCCTTCTGGCCTGCAACCACAACTTTTTCTCAATCTCATATGTTATCCTAAAAGACCACAGTCTGACTGCTTCGGTTACTATGAAAAGTGATAACACTTGCTGGTCCTTAACTGTAGTATATGGACCGCAGGCAGAAACAGAAAAAAACCTTTTCCTGGATGAACTGAGAAGTTTAGAAAGCATGGTGCACCCTGCCTGGCTTTTACTTGGAGATTTCAATCTAATTTATTTGGCCTCTGGTAAAAACAATGACCGTCTTAACAGAAGAATGATGCAGAGGTTCAAAGGAACAATTGACAGGTTAGGGATAAAGGAGCTGGCTCTGAATGGTAGGCGTTTTACTTGGGCTAAAGATGGAGCAAACCCGACACAAACAAAAATTGACCGAGCTTTCTGCAAGCCGGACTGGGACATATTATTTGGATCTGCTTACATGGCTGCTTTATCCTCATCAAGTTCGGATCATGCGCCTCTTTTCTTGGTGGGCTGTGAACAGAGGGAACTAAATACCTCTTTTCGTTTTGAAGCTTACTGGCTTAAATTCCCTGAGTTTTTGGAAGTAGCCTCTGAATCTTGGAATAGACCAATTAGAGGGTCAAATCCCTTTGCAAAGCTCAACTTGAAACTAAAAAGACTAGCAAGAGATCTGAAGAGATGGAGTAAATTTCGGATTGGAGATATCAGATTGCAGCATGCAATCGCAAATGAGGTTATTTTCCAACTTGATGTGGCCCAAGAAGAGAGAGCTCTTACAGACGAAGAGCTTCTGCTGAAATCTACTCTAAAATCTAGAGTTTTAGGCCTTGCAACACTAGTGAAGATAAGAATAAGACAAAGAGCCAGACTAACTTGGTTAAAATGTGGTGATGTTAATTCAAAATTCTTCCATTTGAAAGCAAACTCAAGAAAAAGGAAAAACTTCATTCCGGCTCTAATCACTCCCTCGGGCATAGCTGTAACCACAGAACAAAAGGAGGCTGAACTTGAGAGATATTTCTCCCAGAGATTAGGGCAGTATGTCCCACGCTCCTTAACTCTTAATTGGTCAGAATTAAGTCTCCCTTCCCTTGATCTGTCGGAAGTGGAGGAAGATTTCACAGAAGAAGAATTAAAAGAAGCAATATCAAACCTTCCCCCACAAAAAGCACCTGGCCCAGATAGCTATATAGGGGCTTTTTTTAAGAAAGCTTGGGAGGTGATTAAATCAGATTTGCTACAGGCCATTAACCATTTCAGCTCTCTGAACTCAGATAGACTGGAAGACCTAAATTCAGCAAACATTTGTCTAATTCCGAAAAAGGGTGAAGCAACAAGGGTGGAGGACTTCAGACCCATAAGCTTAATGCACAGCTTCGCCAAGATATTAGCAAAAATGTTGGCCAATAGATTGGCGCCTAAGCTTCATGAACTCGTCTCACCAAACCAAAGCGCGTTCATTCGAAAAAGAGCAATACATGACAACTTCCTGTATGTGCAGAACATGATCAAAAACTTCAGCAGAAAGAAAAAACCGATGCTTTTCATAAAGGTCGATATTTCCAAAGCCTCTGACACCGTAAACTGGCCGTATTTGCTGGAGGTACTACAAAATTTTGGGTTTGGACAAAGATGGAGAAATTGGATTTCAAATATTTTAGGAAGTTCAAGCTCGAGAATTCTCCTCATTGGAATCCCTGGTAAAGCAATATGGCACATGCGAGGTCTAAGACAAGGGGATCCACTCTCACCGATGCTTTTCATACTCGCAATGGAACCGCTACATCAGATTTTCAAAGCAGCTGAAGAAGCTTCTCTCTTGGCAAAGATAGACCCAAGGCGTAGTAGATTCCGATGTTCTCTCTACGCGGATGATGTGGCTTTATTCATCACTCCATCTGAGAATGATCTGATAGCGGTTAAACGCATTCTTTAGACTTTTGCACAGATCAGTGGGTTACATACAAACCCGGGCAAAACTGAGATTTACCTTATTGCTTGCAACAACTTAGACCTCGGCAATCTCCTTTCTTCTTTCATGGGAAACCTAAAGACTTTCCCTTGCAACTATCTTGGCCTTCCTCTGCATACAAAGAAACTGAGAAAAATTGATTTGCAACCTCTCTTAGACAAGGTTGGAGCAAGGATACCAGGATGGAAGGGACGCTTTTTCACGTCAGCAGGGAGAGATGTCTTAGTAAAATCAACTCTTTCAGCAACACCAATTTATCATTTTACCTGCTGCCATAGATGAAATGGGTGTTTAAAAGAATTGATCGTTACAGGAGAGCTTTTCTTTGGAAAGGTGACGACCCGGAGAAGGTTAGTGCAGGCAGCAGCCTTGTCAACTGGCAACAAGTTTGCAAACCCAAAGACTTGGGCGGTCTTGGCATTCTAAATTTGGAAAAGTTTGCTAGGGCCCTGAGGTTACGTTGGCTCTGGTACAATTGGAAGGAGGACCAAAAGCCATGGGCAAATATGGATCTTCCATGCGATGAGATGGATAGGTGCCTTTTCAAAGCTGGAACGAAGATAACTGTTGGAAATGGTATCAAAATATCTTTCTGGAATGATAACTGGAAGGATGGACAATCGCCAAAGGATATAGCACCAGCAATCTATCGATTAGCAAAAAGAAAGTCAAACAGTTTAAAGAAGGAATTAGAGGACAATCACTGGCTTGCAATGCTCCACCCGATCACTTCTTTAGTGGAAATTGAAGAATTAATTCAACTGGGAGGTTTGTTACAAAACGTTAATCTAGTTGCTGGACAAACTGATGACATTTCCTGGAGATGGACAGCGAATGGACAATATTCAGCAAAAAGTGCATACCTTGCACAGTTCCAAGGATCCAATGCTTTAATTGAATTTACACCTTTGTGGAGCGCGTTTGCGGAACCAAAACATCATTTCTTTGGATGGCTTATCCTTCATCAACGAACTCTCACTGCTGAAAATTTGCTTCGACGTCACTGGCCATGTGATTGGATATGTAGTTTGTGCAATAGTGCCTTTGAAGATGCAGCCCACCTTGCAAAAGAATGCCCTTTCACAGTGACCGTGTGGACGCAGATTTGTATTTGGATGAATTTTCAGCTTCCTCAACATCATTTGCAAGGAAATCTATCAGACTGGTGGAGCAGTTTCTGCACTATTTCGCCAAGACAAAACAGGAACAAGGTTCTGGGAGCTCTCATCACAACATGGTGGAACGTTTGGCTAGAGCGAAACAGAAGAATTTTTCAACAGATTTCAAAGAATGAACTCCAAGTCGCCATTCTGGTGAAGGAAAATATCGACCTAATTGAGCAATCTAGGATCTGACCCCATCATGATCCCCTTTTTAAAGATGTTTCTCAATACTTTATGTTCTAGCTGATGCTCCTTCCCTCCCCAACCCTATGTTCACAGGATTCTTGTTTGTACTTTAACTAAACTTTTATTCCTTCTAATATATCCAGCAAATCTCCTGCCGTCTTTAAGTTTCAAAAAAAAAAAAGAAATGAACTTTCATAACATCACAGAGTAGCATCTAAATCATTAACATTACTGTATTTTGCGAATATTCATATAGCCTCAACTCTCAAATGTGCACTACAATGTCGCCAGTAGAGACAGACAATGTCTGGGAGATATGAATACTTGCTTCACTAATAGGCAGCCTCATCCAACTACATGTCAGGGGACGAATTCTACAGATAACGATACCACGAGCAGGGTCCAGATCTCACTCAGGTGTTTCTCTTCTTGTGCGTCTTCCACTGCTTCAGCAAGTAACTTGCTGCCTCTGGCATAGGGGCACTCCGGTTCTGCTTGAAGTTCCACAGCTCAGGGACAGGATACATGCCACTGGGATTGTATTCATTCATTTCAACAAGGGCCTTAACGACAACGTTGCAAGCCTCATCCCCATATTGCGCCCTCAAAGCCTGCAGCTTCCCATCATCTTCCTTGATTATTTCCTGAATCATTGGATAAAAAAATTTCAGCACAGATTAGCTGTAGAACAATGGCTACCTTTTTGTAATAAATAAATTATTACTATGTACATATTTGATATTGGACTAATAAATCTCATCTGGCATCTAGTTTTTGCCAACGGTAAATAATTATACAGAGCAAAAATTGTTTCAGTTCAGACATGTAACATTCAGAAATATTGTTACTATATAATACAGGAGTATGAATTATGTATGCAAAGTTAACATTGTAACTTAATCTCATGCATCCACAGTGATAATTGACGAATTACAAATAATGTTGCTAAAATTGGAAGTTCATCCCCATTCATTATATAGCAGCAAACACAGATCCAGAGTGAAGAAAGCTCAAGCTAAAATATTAACAGTAAACTCCAAGGTAATAGTTATGTGAAGTATGAACCGGTATTTTAACCTTCTCTTTTGTTCCTCAAAAATCCTGCTTGAATGATTTTCCTGAAAATGATACCATACACAAAAGCTATATTTTAAAGTCTAAAGGAGAGTGTACTGCCCTCCCCTGTTCCTCAAAGGCAGAATTCAGCTATTCAATATTCAGTAGCAACTAACATTCTTCTTTTTTTCAGGGGAAGTAGAAAAGTAGCAGCATACAAAGTAGCCACCATACGTACCATTTTAATCAGAAGAGTTCAGTAATAATTAATTACGAGAAAATAATTTACAGAATATAATTTATCAAATGCTACAGAAGTAACCTCACTATTGGAATAAGAGGCCAAGTAAGCAATCTAATGCTTATTGTCGTCAGAAAATTATGGTAATAATTTTAGAATACATACACAAAGGCATAATTATAGGGTACGATTATGGGAATGCATACCTTTGTCTGTCCAGCAGTCTCGATAACTTTGAAAGGATGCCATTCTGGTTTTGTTATCTCATCTTCCCATTTTGAACAAACAAGTGCCAATTTCATCTTATTATTTGGCATTTTATTTTTGCATGCATTATAAAAGGCCTTCTGATCAAGCTCACCCATTCTCTTCACACCTATAATGGATCGAACTCCTGCCATTTTTTCTAATCCCTGCACAGCAAGTGAATGGTCCTCGGAAAAGGATGAGCGGATAGCCGGATACATGAATTATGACAATCATAGGTTCATAGCAAAGTAATAGCGATAAAACGTATACATTTATCAGTTCTTTCTTGGCCTTTCTTGGCCTCTTTCAGCTCATCAATGGTCCTTTGATTCTTAATAATCAGGGCCTGGTTAAGAGAATCCATGGACTCCATGTCATCATCTTTTTCTTCCAGCTTTGTACGCAACTCATCAAGTTCCTTCAATGTTCCATCTTCCTCAGATCCCATCATTTTCATTACCTCTATCTTTCCTCTCAACTGTTCTTTTTCCAGCTCAAGTTTTTGTCTCCAATCCAACTCGAGTTCTAACTCGACTTGTGTCGGTGACATGGGGCCGGGGGTATCGTGACTAGAGGCTTGGGTAGCCGCGATCACTCACGTGGCCCGACCCCCTCGGGGGGGTCGGGCCCGACGGTGACGTGGCCACCCCTCTCTCTGTCTCCCCGAGGGGTCAGGCCGCTCCCGTTTCGGCCCCGAGGACTGGGGCACCCCGACCCCTGTGGTGTTGGCGCCACGTGTGTGGGTCAGATGAGCACAGCGGCGCTCACCTAACCGCATTTATAGCGGGTTAGACGAGCGCGCCACGCCGCATTCAATGCGGCGCAGCGCATGCTTATCCGGTCTGTGACCAGTCGCGGTATGTGACCGGTCACAGACCGGTCAGATCGCGGGTTAGGTGGCAACAGGCGGCCTGTCGCACGCCTCGTCCCGTCCCGTCGGAATGATGAGAGCTTCCTGGCTCTCGTCTCTAGCCGGAGCTGGCGTGCTGACTCCTGGAGTTGGTATGTCAGTCCCGGTCAGATCCATTCCAGGCTTCAGCGCAAGCATGGCAAGAAAGTCGCTGGCCATTGAATGAAGGTTGAAACGGGCGTCCACCGGGAGAGCTGACGAGCGGAGCAGGAGGCGTGTGTACTGCTTGTCAGAGGTCATTTCCGGCTGTAGATGAGCCCTAATTGTAAAAAGCATGTTTCTTTTCTTAGGCAGCTAGAGGCCCATGTGGTGACCCCTAACCAGATAAAAAAAAGGAGGCCCAGGCCTAAGAGGGGGGAAGAAGGCAGGCCACTGGATCGAAGAGCCTGAACTCTCTCTCGCTCTCGAGCTCTCTGGCTCTGGAGCTCTCTGCATTCCTTCATACACAGATCCACCAGAACACAGGAGTAGGGTATTACGCTTCTTAGCGGCCCGAACCTGTCTACGTCACCCGTGTCTTGTGCGCTTCTTCTCGCTGACATTCCTCAGATCGAGGGCGAAGAACCTCACTTAGCGCCCCCGGCCGAACCGGCAAAGGGGGGCCTGCGCGGTCTCCCGGTGAGGAGCCCCACGCTCCGTCATCTGGCGCGCCAGGTAGGGGGCGCGCGTGTCTTTCGAAGCCCTCGTCCTCTTTCGTGTGCGCCAAGCTTCGCCCGCTCAGCCCAATGGCCGAACGGGCAGTGGCGCACAACCTCTCTCCGAAAGCTAGCGGTGACGACGGGGAGCAGAACCCGCGCCGTCGGGCTCGCACCCCACCGTCCCCCTCTCGCCGAAATCCTGGGCGGGGGGAGGCGCTCAGGGAGGTCGGAGGATCCGCGACTTCGCCACTCGCGGGCGACGGGGGAGGACGGCGAGACGGGGCACGTCGCCGCCTCGTCTACGGCGATGGCGGCACGCCCCAGGGCGCGCTCCAGGCTGCGGGCGCGCTCCTGTGTCACCCACCCGTCGTCCCCGATCCAGAGACTCCAGCCCGACGTTGGCTGGATGACGTGGCCGACTTGGTCATGACGGCGCAGCAGCGACTAGGCGCCGGCGGGCGGTCCTCCGCCACCGAGGCCTCTGGCGCTGCCGCCGCCAGCTCCAAGTCGTCGAGGCGGAGGGCGCGGCGAGCGGCGGCCGTTACCCGCCGTTCGTCCGCCATTCCCTCGTCAACGCCTCCAACCCAAGAAGATGTGTGTGGGGGGCCGGATGCCCGCCTCGATATCGAGCGCCGGCGCGACGCTCGTCACGCCGCCCACGCAACGGAGGGCGCTTCCTCGTCCGGAGCGCCACTTCGGTCCGGGCACGGGGGCCGGCCCCCCGTGTCCCCGGTTGGCGGTGCCGGCTGTCGAGCCTTTGTGGCGAGCCTTCGGAACGTCCGTTGGCCCCCAAGGTTCCGGCCCACCATCACCGAAAAATACGACGGAAACGTCAACCCCGCCGAGTTTCTCCAGATCTACACGACCGGGATCGAGGCCACCGGGGGTGACGACAGGGTCATGGCGAATTTCTTCCCCATGGCCCTGAAGGGTCAGGCGCGGGGTTGGCTAATGAACTTGCCACCCGCGTCGGTCCACTCTTGGGAGGATTTGTGCCAACAGTTCACCACGAACTTCCAGGGCACATATCCGCGCCCAGGCGAAGAAGCGGACCTGCATGCGGTACAGCGAAGGGACGATGAGTCTCTTCGCTCGTACATTCAGCGGTTCTGTCAAGTCCGCAACACCATACCGTGCATCCCCGCACACGCGGTGATCTACGCGTTCAGGGGGGGCGTGCGGCACAACCGCATGCTCGAGAAGATCGCCTCCAAGGAGCCCCAGACCACCGCGCAGCTTTTTGAGCTCGCGGACCATGTGGCTCGCAAGGAGGAGGCCTGGACATGGAACTCCTCCGGTTCTGGTGTGGCAGCTCCGGCCGCCCCCGGGTCCGCCGCTCGGTCAGGGCGGCGGGACAGGAGGAGGAAGAAGGGGTCGGCCCGTTCCGACGACGAGGGTCATGTCCTCGCCGTCGAGGGCGCTTCGCGGGCCCCCCGAAGGGGGAGGCCTGCGAGCGACAAAAAGAAGGAGGCCGACGCTCCCAGCAGGGAGCGACCGACCGGCAAGTGGTGTACCATGCACAACACCTCCCTCCACGACCTCGCGGACTGCCGCGCGGTCAAAAGTTTGGCTGAGCGGACGAGGAAGTGGGAGGAGGAGAAGAGGCAGGAGCGCCGTGATGGCAAGACCCCGGCAGCTCCTGCCGACAACCGGCGAGGTGAGGCCAAGCAGAAGGCCACCACCGAGGACATCGACGATGGCGACGATGACCTGGGGTTCCAGGAGCCTGAGGCCACCGTCGCCACCGTCGATGGGGGAGCGTGCGCTCACGCTTCTCGCCGGAGCCTCAAGGCCATGAAGCGAGAGCTTCTGGCCGCGGCCCCTACCCATGAGGCGACGCGGCGGGCGCGGTGGTCGGAGGTTGCCCTCACCTTCGACCAGACCGACCACCCGCCGTGCGTTGCCCGGGGAGGACAGATCGCGATGGTGGTTTCCCCCACCGTTTGCAATGTGAAGTTGGGGCGTGTCCTCATAGACGGGGGTGCAGCCCTCAACATCCTTTCCCCCGCAGCCTTTGGCGCCATCAAGGCCCCGGGGATGGTGCTCTGGCCGTCCCAGCCAATCATCGGTGTGACGCCGGGGCACACCTGGCCGCTGGGTCATATCGACCTCCCGGTCACCTTCGGTGGTTCCGCCAACTTCCGCATGGAGCGGGTGGACTTCGATGTGGCGGACCTTAGTCTGCCCTACAACGCGGTCCTGGGGAGGCCCGCGTTGGTGAAGTTCATGGCGGCGGTCCACTACGCCTATCTCCAGATGAAGATGCCGGGCCCCGGTGGCCCCATCACCGTCCATGGCGACCTCAAAGTCGCGCTTGCTTGTATGGAGCAGCGCGCGGACCACCTTGCCGCGGCGTCCAAGCCCGCGGGTGGCGACGAGAGGCTCAGCACCTCCGTCCCGGCCGCCCCAAGGCAGAGGATGGTCACGTGCGACGAGGTCCCAGTCAAGGAGGTTGCCCTGGGCGACGGCCCGTCCAAGACCACATGAATCGGTGGTCTTCTGGACGACAAATAGGAAGACGCGCTCGTCTCCTTCCTGCGGGCAAACGCCGACGTCTTCGCCTGGAGATCGGCGGACATGCCCGGGGTCCCCAGGGAGGTGATTGAGCACCGTCTCGCCGTGCGGCCGGGCGCAAGGCCGGTCCGGCAGAAAGTGCGGCGGCAGGCCCCGGAACGTCAAGCCTTCATCCGCGAGGAGGTGGCGCGACTTCTGGAGGCCGGATTCATCCGTGAGGTCATCCATCCGGAGTGGCTGGCGAATCCGGTCGTCGTTCCCAAGGCAAACGGCAAGCTTCGGATGTGCATCGACTACACCGACCTTAACAAGGCATGTCCTAAGGACCCTTACCCCCTGCCACGCATAGATCAGATTGTCGACTCCACCGCGGGGTGCGACCTTTTGTGTTTTCTAGATGCATACTCTGGTTATCATCAGATTCGCATGGATAGGGAGGATGAGGAAAAAACTGCATTCATTACCCCCATAGGAACTTATTGTTATACGACAATGCCTTTCGGGTTAAAGAATGCAGGTCCTACTTTTCAACGTACTACTCGAATTTCTTTGGGTAGCCAGATAGGACGCAATGTTGAGGCCTATGTTGATGACTTGGTTGTGAAGACGTGCAACCAAGAGACCTTACTCTCGGATCTAGCGGAAACTTTCGAAAGTCTCCGCTCCGCCCGCATAAAGCTGAACCCCGATAAGTGGGTGTTCGGCGTGCCTGCGGGCAAGCTTCTCGGGTTCTTGGTCTCTGCCCGAGGCATCGAGGCCAACCCCGAGAAGATAAGTGCTATAGAGCGGATGCGCCCCCCAGCAAGCTTAGGGATGTGCAGTGCGTCACCGGCTGCATGGCCGCCCTAAGTCGGTTCATATCAAGGCTGGGAGAGAAGGCACTACCCCTATTTAAGCTCCTCAAACGCTCCGGGCCGTTTACCTGGACGGAGGAGGCTGAGCGGGCCTTCACTCAGTTGAAAGCGTACCTCAGTTCTCCCCCAGTCCTGGTCGCCCCGGAGCCAGATGAGCCGTTGCTACTCTACCTGGCGGCAACCCCGCAGGTGCTCAGCGCGGCGTTGGTCGTGGAGCGCGACGAGGACAACCCTCACTCCGTGCATCCCCACCCTGTGTCGACTCGACCCGGGAGAGAGCAGGGAGGAGAGGCCCCCGAGCCGAACGGCGGCCCGAGGCCCCCGACGGCCGGAGCTGGCCCTCCGCCTGCTTGTCCGACGGTGCCAGGCGCCCCCGACCCCCAGGATGGCCCCGGGGCCACCGCGGGAAGGCCGCGCCTGTCGCCCTCTGACCCCGAGGTCGTCGGCACAGAAGCCGAGTGCGCCCCGCGTGGCCTCTCGGACGAAGAGCGCCGTGGAAATGCGGCCCCTGGCGAAGAGGATCGGCCCCGCCGAAAGGTGCAGCGGCCCGTCTACTTCGTTAGCGAGGCCCTCCGGGACGCCAAGACCCGATACCCCCAGGCCCAGAAGATGCTTTACGCTATTCTGATGGCTTCGAGGAAGTTGCGCCATTATTTCCAGGCGCATCGGGTCACGGTGGTTACGTCTTACCCCCTCGGCCAAATCTTGCATAACCGAGAGGGTACTGGGCGGGTGGTGAGATGGACAATCGAACTCTCTGAATTCGATTTGCGCTTTGAATCACGCCACGCGATCAAGAGCCAGGCCCTCGCCGACTTTGTGGCGGAGTGGACCCCAGCTCCCGAGCCCGTCTCCGCCCCCGAGGCCAGCTCGGGCCCCTCGCAGCTGCCCCACACCGCCTACTGGGTGATGCAGTTCGACGGCTCCCTGTCTCTTCAGGGCGCCGGTGCGGGGGTCACGATGACCTCGCCGAGTGGAGACGTCCTCAGATACCTGGTCCGCCTCGACTTTCGGGCGACCAACAATATGGCGGAGTACGAGGGACTCCTTGCGGGACTCAGAGTGGCAGCTGGACTGGGGATCCGCCGCCTCCTGGTGTTAGGCGACTCCCAGTTGGTCGTTAACCAGGTCTGTAAGGAGTACCAGTGCTCTGACCCGCAGATGGACGCTTACGTGCGCCAGGTTCGGCGTATGGAGCGCCATTTTGACGGGATAGAGCTTCGGCACGTGCCCAGGCGGGATAACGCGGTCGCCGACGAACTCTCAAGGCTCGCTTCTTCGCGAGCCCAGACCCCACCGGGCGTCTTTGAAGAAAGGCTTGCCCAGCCGTCGGCGCGACCCGACCCCCTAGGGGAGACGGACGCGCCTGAACGGCCCCCGAGGCCCGTCGGAGTCCAGGCCTCGGGACCCGAGGGGAGCGCTCCCAGCTCCCCTAGATTGATTGCTTGGATCACTGAGATCCAGGCGTACCTCGTAGATAAGACTCTACCCGAGGACCGCGAAGGGAGTGAACGCGTCCGGCGCATCTCCAAGCGCTACGTGCTGGTGGAAGGGACCCTCTATCGGCGCGCGGCTAACGGAGTCCTCCTGAAGTGCATTCCTCGGGAACAAGGCGTCGAGCTTCTCGCCGATGTCCATGAAGGCGAGTGCGGAGCCCACTCCGCCTCACGCACCTTGGTTGGCAAGGCCTTTCGCCAGGGTTTCTATTGGCCGACGGCTCTCAACGATGCGGTCGACCTAGTCCGGCGGTGCAAGGCGTGCCAGTTCCACGCCAGGCAAACCCATCAGCTGGCCCAGGCCCTGCAGACCATACCTCTTTCGTGGCCGTTTGCTGTCTGGGGCTTCGATATCCTGGGTCCGTTCAGGCGGGCCCCGGGCGGGTTTGAGTATCTGTATGTCACTGTCGACAAGTTCACTAAGTGGCCCCAGGCTTATCCGGTCATCAAGATCGATAAGCACTCCGCGCTTAAATTCATCAGGGGCATCACTGCTCGGTTTGGGGTGCCTAACCGTATCATTACGGATAACGGCACCCAGTTCACTAGTGAGCTCTTCGGTGACTACTGCGAAGACATGGGCATCAAGCTCTGCTTCGCCTCCCCCGCCCACCCCAGAAGCAATGGCCAAGTGGAGCGCGCCAACGCGGAAATCCTCAAGGGCCTCAAAACCAAGACCTTCAACATCCTCAAGAAGCACGGCGACTCGTGGATCGAGGAGCTGCCAGCGGTGCTCTGGGCGAACCGAACCACGCCAAGCCGAGCAACCGGGGAAACGCCTTTCTTCCTCGTCTACGGCGCGGAGGCGGTCCTCCCATCTGAGCTCACCCTGAGGTCCCCTCGGGTCACCATGTATTGCGAGGCTGATCAAGATCAGCTTCGCCGAGACGACCTCGACTACTTGGAAGAACGAAGGCGGCGCGCGGCCCTCCGAGCCGCGCGCTACCAGCAGAGCCTGCGGCGCTACCATCAGCGCCACGTCCGGGCCCGATCACTCTGCGTCGACGACCTCGTCCTACGCCGCGTCCAAACGCGTGCTGGACTGAGCAAGCTCTCACCAATGTGGGAGGGTCCGTATCGAGTGATCGGCGTCCCCCGGCCGGGCTCCGTTCGGCTGGCCACGGGCGACGGCACAGAGCTGCCTAACCCGTGGAACATCGAGCACCTTCGTCGCTTCTACCCCTAGTGGGGGTCGGGTGTCATGTCTCGGGCTCGGGCCAACCCCGCACCCCCCCCCGGGCGTGCAGGGTTGGCCGGGGGCTACCACATGCATATACTCACCTCTTTTCTCTCCCGTATTTCAATAAAAGCATTTTTCGATTTCCTGAGGACTGTGCCTATGCCATCGTTTCCTTTTGAAGAATCTTGGCTTGAATTAGCATGCTCGTGCTCGACCCTGCCCTCGGTGGCCCGGGCCGGCTAAAATCGCCAAACGGGGCCCAGAACCGAGCCGTGCCCCGGGGCGTGGTGAACTCCGGGGGGGAATCGGCAAAGGCCCACAATCGGGTCATCTATAACCCTCGGTCACCATGCTCCTGGCCTGGCCAGTCTCGACACGCGGATCTCCCCAGGCACTAGCCCCGACCCGCGCCGCTTGAGGTTGGGACCTGGGCACGAGCCCTCGTTCAAGCCAAGACACAGAAGGACCGCGGCACAGACCATCCTCGTCTCATACACATAACAAACATAACTGACGTAGAAATTTCCTCTTTATTTGATTACAGATTAAATCAGTCTATACAAGAAGGGGGCCCGAAGGCCTCGGAAGAAGAAGGAGAAGTTATTAAGATTGGCGGGGGCCTGGGGGCTCACTCCGGCGCCCCCGGGCCGTCGGCCTCGTCGCCGCTGTCGTCCGCACCGTCGTCACCGCCCTCCTCGTCGGAGTCGAGCGCGAACGCGAGCCGAGGGGCCGTACCCTCGAAGCTGTGGACGATGTAGTCGGCGGCGTCCCGGACCCGCGCGCGCGCGCCATCCTCGGTTCCGGGAGGGAACTCTTCCAGCGCTGCCCACGGGGAGAAGTCAGGGTCCCTGGCCTGGTAGCTTGCCAGTACGAGCTCCACCGCCCCCCGGGCGAGGTCCCTCGAGGATGACTTGATCGTCTCCTCGAGCTCCTCGGGGAGCCGCTGGAGGGCCCCGGCCATCTCTGAGAGGCACTGGGCGAGGCCCCCCTGGTTGGCGGCGTACTTCGCGTGCCGCCCGCCCCAGAGACCCGCCTGCCGCCCGGCGCGGTCTAGACGGGAGACGGCGTCCCGAAGCATGCCGGGCCCTACCTCACTCGCCAAGCGGAGGGCCTCGACCTCCCCGGCGGACGAGTCCAGCGCGCCCTGCAGCTTGGCGATGGTGTGTTCGGCGGCTGCGAGGCGGGCGGCTAGGTCGCCGTGGCCCGCGGCCGCCCCGCCGCTGTGCGCTCTCGCGTCCAGCTCCTTCGCCCGCGCCTCGAGCTCAGCGGCCCGCTGATCCAGTGCGGCCCTCTCGGCGCGGGCGCCTTCCAGTTTGCGGCGTGCCTGCTCCTCCCGCGCTGCCTCGCGGAGGAACAGGCTGTCCGCCAGCCGCTGCGCCGCGGCCTCGGCCTCCTCGAGAGCTCGCTCCCGTTCGGTGAGCGCGTCCTCGTGGAGGCGGAGTGCGGACTCCTCTTCGGCGCAGGCGGCCTCGTGCGACGCCAGTGTTGCCTCCCGGGTGGCGACGGCGGCCTCGCGGTCCGCCAGGTCTCTCTCCTTCACGTCCAGGGCGCGGGCACGCTCCTCCAGCGCCGTGGCGCGAACCTCAAGGGCCTCTTCGCGCTGGCGGGACGCCGCCTCTTTCTCCGCCGCCCGCCGTTCCCGTGCAGCGGCGGCATCAAGGACTCCCCGGGCGGCGTCGAGCTTCTCCTCTAGCTCCGCCGCCCGGCTCCCGTATTGGAGGCGGAGGTCGTCCCGCGCCTCGTCGAGCACGGCGGTGGCGATGAGGGCAGTCTCCCGCTCCTCCTCCACCTCCCTAGCGATCTCCACCAGCTCCCTACGACGGGCCTCGAGCTGTGAGGTGTGCCGGTGGTGCGCCTTGCGGCCAGCCTCCACCATGGCCTCCACCGAGCGCCGCCCCTCCTCGACGCGCGCCCACGCCGTGTCGAGCTCCGCCCGCTCCGCCTGCAGGGCCTCCATCTGGGCACTTAACCCGTCCAGCACCGTGCTGTTCGCGGCGGCCAAGGCCTGTAGGAAGGGCTCCACGCTCAGTGGGGCAGCGGAAGACGTGCCGGACTCGGGGGCGTCCCTCGAAGCTGGCTCGTCCCAAGTGTCGCCCGAGGGGTCGGGCCCGAGCGGCACGCCCGCGGCCTCGTCGTGGGTGGCCTCGGAAGTTGTCGTCCCCTCGGGCGGAGTCGGGTCGGGGGTTTGGCAGGCCGCCTGGCGTGCGCGCGCCGCCTCTGCCTCCCGGACGGACTCCCCGGCCCGGCGGAGTCTGGCCTCCTCCCGAGCGGCCTTCTCAGCCTGGCGAACCCGGACGGCCTCCTGGGCAGCCTCCTCGGCTTCCCGGAGGCGGTCCGCGGCTTCTCGCCGGTCAGCTTCCCGCCTCCGGGCCTCCGCTGTCGCCGTCTCCTCGGCCTCAGACCGGCCGGACTTGGAATGGCGGGGGGGGGGCGCGACGGGATCTCGCTGAGGCAGAAGAAAAACCAGAAGACAAAAAGAAACGGGTGAGTGAAAACTCGCCTTGGGAGATGGGAGAATAAATACGGCCGCGGTGGGCGCGGGGACGAACCTGCGGGGAGGTCGGCTAAACGACCACCTCGGGGGCGAGATGAGGTTCCCCCGGCATGGCACGATCCCCCCCATCTTGCGGAGCCGTTTCTTCTTTCGCTCCCCCTCGGGCTGCGGCGTCGGCACGGCACCCTCCGGGCGTCTGCTGCTGGCACGCACCGCCCCGCCCCCTCGGGGAGGAGATGGGGGAGGGGTGCCCTCCTGCTTCCTCTTCCCCCGGGCGTCGGCAGGGCGGCTGCCCCCCGGGCCCCCGTCGCGGGGCCCAGAAGCACGACCCCCTCCCGGGGTAGATTGTTCCCCCCTGCGGCTCCCGCCCTCGCCGTCGTGGCCTCGGGGGGCCCGCTCCCTCGATGCCCCGACCTCCTGCATGATGGTCAGGATGTTGGCGCGCTCTGGATCGCAGCAGAGGGGGAGGACCCCTTGGGGGATGAGGGATGCCTCCACGGAGCTGAGATTCAGCACCCGTTGGACCACCATCCTGAAGTCCTCAGGGTCCCATTTGCGCCCCTGGTGGGTCCTCATGATGTCCTCGGGCCCGGTGTACTCCCAGGCGCCCCGGGCGCGCCGCTGAAGCGGCGCGATCCGGCGACGAAGGTAGTCGCCGAACACCATGGCCCCCGTGAGCCCCTGGGATCGCAGACCCGCCAGGCGGTCAAGAACGGCGTCGTAGCCGTCTCCCAGATCTACCGCCGCCCGCCAGCTGGAGGCCTGCGCCGGAGGCTGGCTCGGAAGTCGGAGGCGCGCTTCGTCGGCGAGGGGGGTGTAGAACCAATCGCTCTTCCAGTCGTCCCACTTTTTGCGAAGGACGCAGGGAATGTAGCGGTTCAGCACCTGCCCCCGCGGCTGGAAGTAGCAGCCACCGACTTCCGTCGGCGGCGACACCGGCTGTACGGTGAAGAACCACCGGAACAGCCGGAGAGATGGGCGCACCCCGATAAACATCTCGCACAAGTGCGCAAAGATGGCCAACGTTATTATCGCGTTGGGGGTGAGGTGCGCCATCTGGAGATCATAAAACTCCAGAATATCCATGAAAAAAATAGAGAATGGCGGGACCAGCCCCGCCATTGCGAAAGAGAGGAAGAAGACGGACCGCCCCGGGTAGTGTGGCGCCAGGCGTCCCTCGCCCAGCGCGACCACCTCCTGGCCGGTGGCAGATTCCGGCATGAATCGGCGCGGCAGCCCGGCCTGCCTCTCGCTCAAGATGCGGGAAGGCGGCAGCACGCTACCCTCGAGCGGTGCGGAGCCCCGTGCCATGACGCCGGCGGAGGAGGAGCTTGAGAGCGAGCGAGTATGGCAAGGGTAGGGCGCAGGAAACGGAGAGTCAGAACACAAGTGGCGAAGGCAAGGGGAAGAGTGGCGAGAGGAAGGAAACAAATCCCTTCCTTGGCGTCTTTGTACCCTTGCCAACGCTATGCTCGGCTCCTCGCTTCCCGCGCCCACTACCTCGCCCCTTCGTTTCTCGCGCCCACGCCTCCACTAACCCCACTCGCCCGTTTGCGGCGCACGCGGCAGATGTGCGCCCGTGGCGTTTGAGATGGGGTAGATCGTGCGCGCATTAACCGCGTTCGCCAACCGTGAAAAACGCCATCATCATGTCCCCAGGCGAAACAAACCGACTCGTACCGATTCGCGCGCTGCTCGAGTAATGTAGCGGTCTTGAAGAGGCCGCCCATTATTGTCGATCGGTTTCTCCCTTGCCGATGCGCGCGATTTGCGACCGTTGGGTTTCTGCCCACCTGTGGGGACCGGCCCCACCTGTCACCGGGCCTAAGGAGTGGCATCACGCCCGAGCGCCTCCCTCGAGGGGGGCGGTTGCCCTGGCGTGATGCCGGGGGCTACTGTCGGTGACATGGGGCCGGGGGTATCGTGACTAGAGGCTTGGGTAGCCGCGATCACTCACGTGGCCCGACCCCCTCGACGGTGACGTGGCCACCCCTCCCTCTGTCTCCCCGAGGGGTCGGGCCGCTCCCGTTTCGGCCCCGAGGGCTGGGGCACCCCGACCCCCTGTGGTGTTGGCGCCACGTGTGTGGGTCAGATGAGCACAGCGGCGCTCACCTAACCGCATTTATAGCGGGTTAGACGAGCGCGCCACGCCGCATTCAATGCGGCGCAGCGCATGCTTATCCGGTCTATGACCAGTCGCGGTATGTGACCGGTCACAGACCGGTCAGATCGCGGGTTAGGTGGCAACAGGCGGCCTGTCGCACGCCTCGCCCCGTCCCGTCGGAATGATGAGAGCTTCCTGGCTCTCGTCTCTAGCCGGAGCTGGCGTGCTGACTCCTGGAGTTGGTATGTCAGTCCCGGTCAGATCCATTCCAGGCTTCAGCGCAAGCATGGCAAGAAAGTCGCTGGCCATTGAATGAAGGTTGAAACGGGCGTCCACCGGGAGAGCTGACGAGCGGAGCAGGAGGTGTGTGTACTGCTTGTCAGAGGTCATTTCCGGCTGTAGATGAGCCCTCATTGTAAAAAGCATGTTTCTTTTCTTAAGCAGCTAGAGGCCCATGTGGTGACCCCTAACCAGATAAAAAAAAGGAGGCCCAGGCCTAAGAGGGGGGAAGAAGGCGGGCCACTGGATCGAAGAGTCTGAACTCTCTCTCGCTCTCGAGCTCTCTGGCTCTGGAGCTCTCTGCATTCCTTCATACACAGATCCACCAGAACATAGGAGTAGGGTATTACGCTTCTTAGCGGCCCGAACCTGTCTACGTCGCCCGTGTCTTATGCGCTTCTTCTCGCTGACATTCCTCAGATCGAGGGCGAAGAACCTCACTTAGCGCCGCCGGCCGAACCGGCAAAGGGGGGCCTGCGCGGTCTCCCGGTGAGGAGCCCCACGCTCCGTCAACTTGAGGAGCCCCACGCTCCGTCAACTTGCTTCCTCAAAGCCTCTTCTTTCTCTTGCTGCAAAATTCAGTCTGTGATAATGTATTTTCTCCAGGAAGAGAGAGAAAAATGTGGAAATAAATACCTTGTGTTTCTCAACAAGCCGCAAAAGCTCTTCATCTGCCTCCTTCTGCTTTAGATTTGCTAAATTAAGAAGCTCATTCTCCTTTGCATTCTATGAGAGTTTTGAACAACATAAATATACATCAAGATCAAGCAATAGTGACAACAACATAAATAATTCATATTCCTCGAAAAGATCTAGAAATACCTTTTCTTTCTCTGCTACGAGTTTTCCTCTGTCAATATTAGTATTTGTAGCCAAATAATTAAGTTCCTTACATCTCCGGTCAATTTCATGTTTCTTAGCCTGCAGTTCTTCATACAGATTTAGGTTTTCATCAATTATTCTCTTTGAATCTTTGCAAGCATGCTGCTGCAGTTCTATTATATCTGGTCACAAAGAGGAAAAAGGCAAACCCAGAAAATACAGTGAGTACATGCTAACACTATACGGCAAAAGGACAGTGACTTATACAGATCGTACCTTACACATTTAAGAAAACAAGTAGGATATTTTATACTTTGCCCTATGCTATAAAAAAATTAAACATGACCAAGATATATATGTACGTACTTCTATTATGTTCTTCAAACAATTGATCTTTCTCTTCCATCATCCTTTCAAGTTTTAGGCCATTTTGGTTGTTCATAAGCTTCAACTCTTCTAAGTATTTGTTCTTCTCTTCGATTTGGCAAGCATAATGACCCACATGCCTGCCCATTTTTCGCTGGCCTTCATGTTCCAGATCACATACACCTTTAAGCTCTCCATTTTTCCTCAAGTACTTTCCCGTTGGCTCAAGAGAGTTATAGTCATCACTTCTTGCAACCCACCCAAAAAGATCATCTCTTCTACAGTTTATTTTGTTCCAATCAGTTTTACCATACCTCTCCACATTGAAATGCTTTTCAAAAGCCAATGCATCCTTCATTCCATTCCAGTTTTCAGCAAACTTCACGATAGCATAATCTGCATTGTCTGTTGAATTCCAAAGGATAGTTACTTGGAGTGGTTTGAATCGTGAGAATTGTGCTCTTAGCCTCTCCTCGCTTTCCCCAACAAATCCTTTCCCTTTCAACTCAGTTGGCAGATTAACCAGTATACCCATCCATGGCCATACATACTTCTCTTCACTCCCAGGAGGTTGATGCTCAACGGTAGCAAGTTGTGGTGATGATTCCAGTGAGCCAGCTAGATCAACCTTCAGATAGCGAGCAAGTGCTAGGTGTGTCGCCTTAACCTTCGCCTTGCGCTTCGAAGCAGCCCCTACTCCTGAGGCATGCTGCAGAAGATCCTTGGAGCTGTAATCCTGCTTCTTCTTCCCTGGGCAGAATGGGCAACGAAATGTGTTGTTGCCATGCTTCACTTTCACTTTTTCGGCTCTCAGTTGATTATAAGTCTTTTCCTCGTGCACACCAATATCTGAATCACTAACATCAGATTCTTCTGAAGAGCTATGGTCCATTGGAGGCAAAGGAAGAATGCCCTGAGGATGAATATACACATGCAGAACAAAAAGGAGAGCAGGAGGAAGTCAGCGTGTTATCAACTCGGGGGGCGAAAATTGGTAATATGAAAAATAATGTAACTAGTTACATAGTACTACAGAATGGAAAGATAGCTATTAATTTAATTTCAATCATTTTCGCCCATCAATGCTAAGGTAGCTCCAAAAAATTGATAGCTGAGCTGAGTTCATTTATGTGCTTGCCTATTTGGAAGAAGCATCGATTTTGTTTGGTATGTAAAATTAGTGACATTGAACAGTCAGATAGTCCAAGAAGCCATTCAAAATGTTCATTAGTAAAGGAAAAATGCTACATATTTCTACCATGATCAGCGCAGCATAAAGCAAAAAAGAATCATGCATATACTACGGTACATAAATTTCAAAAATAAACTACGGTACATAAAAAAAATTGGTGAAACTCTTTTCTCATATTACTGCTCGAAAGGAGAACTCCGTACAAATCGAATTGGTTGGGTACACAAGCACGATAATAGAACATGTCATCAATCGACAAGATAAGCCAACCAAGAACATAAAAAGACAACGCAGAAGAAGAATCCCAACTCCCCAACTGGTTCTACTCTTTTTCCCAGTTTACTTTTTTCTTTTTTTTCTTGACAAACAACTGGCTCTGCAACGAGTTGAGGTGAGAAGTAACAACTTACCACAACAATTCTCGCGGAGATCGACACTCGACCAAGCAGATGAAAACAATCTCAATCCATGCCTAAAGATCAAAAGTATATATAAAAAATAGGCATCAGGTTAGGGTTTTTCCCCTCGCAAAACCCCAACAACTCCCAGGCCAAGCAAAAAAAAAAGGGAAAAGAATGCAATGCGAACCTCCGCGGAGCTTCTTGCGCTGTCCTGGATCGCTGCTCCGCTCCTCCGAGCCTCCGAGCGATGGATCCCCCCTCTCCCTCACTCTCTCTTATTATTACTGCACAGGTAGAGTGGGTGAAAATCGAAAATGAATTCGGATGCGATCGAGAAGGTGAGGAGGAGGAGGATCGCCAAGAATGGAAACGCGACGCGGGCCCGCATGGCGTTGGGGGGTGTTGGCATTTTGTCTTTCAAAGGAAAGTTGAGATCTGGACCGTCGGTTGGACAGCCGACGGCTGGGATTCGGCGAACCCCGTGATGCTTATCCAACCCACGAGACCAGCAGAGTACTCGTACGGCTATGTTCGGGAGGCAACCTCCCGACATTGAAAACAAAGCACGTTATTACAATGAGATTAATTACGTCTACAAAACTTGAAAATAAATTAATATGATTTTTTAAAGCAACTTTCGTATAGAATTTTTTTGCAAAAAATACACTGTTTAGCAATTTGAAAAAACATGCGCGTGGAAAACAAGATAAGTGAGTTGGGAAAGAGGGAAAAAGAACACATAGCAGCAACAGCTGAGGAAGAAGAAAGGGTGGAGTGTGAGACCAGCGCCGTGAGAGTTACTACTCCGTAGTAAATACTCCCTCTATTTATTTTTTTTATGTTAGGTGAGAAAGAGGTACTCCAGTAACAAACCATTTTCATGTAGACGGGTGGAAATCGTAAATGAGGAATAAAAAGACAGTGGTGGTAGCGGATCCAACATAAAATTTTAAATTCTAGAATCTACAAGGCACTGTAAAGAAAATTATGTTGTAGATTAGAATTTATTCAAAGCATTTTTGAAATTTAGACTGGATTTTTATAGGCCCGATTGTGAAATGAGTGTCAGGCATTGTGAGAAAAATACGTCAAAGAATTGTGCATCTTTGCATTAAAACTTTGAAAATAAGTAAAGTATTACAAAATTATAGCCCTGAGAGACTATACTTATAAAAAAAACACTACGCCATGTGCCCACACCACCACAACACCTTGAGAAACGCAAGGCCACGACCAAGAATCTCCAAAACGACGTCTCAAAAATATTGCGATATTAAAAACGCCACCATCGTCTATCCCAAAAGAATAATGTTTTCACCTAGGGGAACCAATAAAAGAGGGGGAGGGAGGCACTTCGACAACACCATCAAGAGGGTTGCGACATCTAAAGACATCTCCGGTGTGACCCAAGAATTGTGCTGAGTTTCGCCTAGAACCAGCCTGCGCCCCTTTTGCCGCTACCTCACCAACCACCAGCTTTGTCAACACGTGACCGCCATTGTAGTGACTCCCTCCCATTGGCTGGTCTCCATACGATCGTCCCGCTACCAGCACGACCACGACCACTCAATGCCACATGTTGGTGCGACCATAGCCATGACCAAACTTGTGACCAACCACGGCTGTACTACAACGACTAATTAGCATTTCTCACATGCCACCACCTCCAACGAGGGAGAGGTGACCACCACTGCTCACCACTATGCGTCGGTGGCCTCGTTCTTCCTCTCCTGCTGCCTTCACCGTCTCGCCATAGAGCTCCCCACAACTAGGTAAATCGCCCAAGAAGGGGAGGAGCTCCAAGGAGATGAGGATGCATCGGAGACAGAGGGCGACCCGCCGTCATCACTGCCTGCGATAGTGGTGTTGTGCGGCCAAATCCAAGCTCGGGCCCCCAGATCCAGTGGCTACTCCACCAGCCAACACTTGCTACACCGCCACAAGTACAGGTCAGCGCGCATCTAACGGCTCAGGGCTCTTTGTCATAAATTATATAGAACAAAAACTTAGTGAAGCACTAACTAAAACTAATTAGAAGGCATGGACAGTTTGGTTTTATGCGTTTATGTGTTGCTCAATAAAATCACAACTCAATAGCTCACGCTTGTTTGCTTGCGCGTCTTGCATGTCGGCTCTGCGCTCGAGCCACGTTTGTTTTCTCTGCTTGCTTTAGTGGCCCACAAATTCCTAATAACTAGGTGATTCACCGTGTTTTGCTGCGAAAATTACTAAGCAATTTTCAAGAAAATAGAACATATCTACTTTCTTGTATATACATATATTTCTATTAGCATATGTATATAAAATTGATTGAATGATGGTTGGAATAGTAAATATGATCTGATATCTTGATTGTATTTTTTTCCAATTGACTACTTGATTAAATATATAGCATTTATATGGGGTGGTGATTAATGGTGTTGTTTAAGGGGACTTTTATCTAACGGTTAATACTGGAAAGACTTGTCGATCCAACGGTTGAAACTATTTTGATGACGTGGCTAAATGTGGTGCATGTTTGTGGTCACTTATATATAGAAAGTATAGATCAGTGGTTAAATATGCTGGCCAATAGGGCCCAGCGGTTAGGAGGTAATCCGCAAGGCCCACGACGACTCCGTGAGGGCTTGTGAGCTCAGGACATGGAGCGCGCTGCTCGCCAGACCCTACCACTCGCGCTAGAGCCTTCACTCGGCCATCACAGCTCAGCTCAGCTCAGTGCTATGGGATCTCATTGAGAAGATTGGCTGTCGAACACAGCCTACGTATATGTGATGTTTTTAGTATGACAAAATACAATATTATAATTCTGGGTGGCTATAGTCAGAATAAAAGAAAGAGAAGCAAACTAACGCTAAACTTAGGTTGTGAAATGGGGTCTCTCAGCCCCGACACCCACCCATTCGCCGGCGTGCGACGGCGGCCACCAGATCCCCTGTTGCTCGTCTACCACTCTCCTCCCCCATCCTTGAGCGCTTCTCCTCTAGCTCTTCCCCACCTCCCCAATCCCTGCCCCAGTTGAGCGTTCCTTTTCCCTCGTTGGAAGATGGTGAGATCTTTGTTCCAGAGAGTTTAGATCTTGCTGCTCTGTCCCCGAAGAGAGCCGTCACCCTGCGTGACATTGCTGCCGTCTCCTTGGATAGGGTTCCTCCTAGCCCTTCTATGGCTGAGCGAGGAAAATCTGCTGCCCAATCACGCTTGGTTTTTTCAAATTTCCCTGAGCAGATGGCGCCAAAAGAGGCCAGATCTACAGCACTGAATCGAGATCCTCCCAGCAGCCCTGCTTTGCTAGTCCTCTCGAGTAAAGATTGTCCTCTTTACTCTGCCGTACTGAAGAACGACGCACAACCACCCGCGGCTCAACTCGTCCAGTTGCATCCGCCATCTCCGAGTAAGATTTTGCAATCTATTGCCCCTTCTTTCGATGGACCAAAATGTGACAGTCAACTACTTCCTGCTAGTCAACGTAAGCTGCAGGGGTGCCTTAGGCCCTGTTTAGATGGGACTAAAACTTTTAAGTCCCTATCACATCGGATGTTTGAAAATTAATTATAAATATTAAACGTAGACTATTAATAAAACCCATCAATAATCTTGGACTAATTCGCGAGATGAATGTATTGAGCCTAATTAATACATGATTAGCCTATGTGATGCTACAGTAAACATTCTCTAATTATGGATTAATTAGGCTTAAAAAAATTGTCTCGCGAATTAGCTTTCATTTATATAATTAGTTTTGTAAATAGTCTATATTTAATACTCTAAATTAGTGTTTAAATACAGGGACTAAAGTTAAGTCTCTGGATCCAAACACCACCTTAATCCGCCGCTCCTTGGCCAAGTTCCAAGACAGCAGAGGCAGATCCGGGGGAAAGGGAGCAATCAAGCTTTGCAGCATCGCCTACACTTCCCAGATCATACAGAGCAGCTAGAAGTTAAGGCATGGCAGGTTGTCAAACCAAAGTACTAGTAGAGGAAATGTGATGTAACAAATCCTACCGTCTTCAAGCCCGCCAACAACTTGCAGGAATAGCATTCAAGGAAGTTGCGTTACCTTAATCACATAAGAGGTAAATGCTTCCGTTGTCTGAGTTCAAAGCACAAGGTGCAGGATTGCAGAGAGCCTCTCCGTTGCTGGTTTTGTTTTGGTTTTGGCCACCAATCCACAACCTGCAAGTCGAGGCTCTATAAATCCCAGAAACAGCAAGCTGATGCACCCAACTCGCTTGACTTCCCACCCCTCCCAGCCAGCAGAAATAAACCCCCTGAAGCTCCCTTGGTTCCCAACATCTCTACCCCGCCCGACATGGCTGGCGTCCCTAGTGACCTGGTCTCAAGGCCAGAATTGAGCTACTGCATGGTGGCTGGTACTGTCGAAGTCGAGAGGCTCCATGTGCTTTACACGGTGCGCTCGGTGGTGGCCTGGACAGGTGAAGGGCAACATGTTGATCTCAACACCATTGCAGATGATGTCCACTCGGCTTACCGCATTCATCGCAACGACATCCAAGTCACCAAGTACCATCTGGAAAATTTCTTCCTCACGTTCACCATCCATGGTGATAGGGAGGCAGTCCTGCAGGAGCCAAGGTTGGTGACCAGAAGTGGACGGGAGTACTTCTTCCGGCCATGGGATGAGAAGAAGAATGCAGAAGCAGCGGATATCATTGAAGGTGTCCCAATGCACGCACGAACAGAGGATTCAGTGGCCAAGCTCATTGGTCCTTGGTGCTCGGTGCACTACATTGAAGAAGACACGCGTCGCCGCAACTACAATCGCACCTTTGATGTCTGGGTGTGGACGTCGGACCCAAGCTCCATCCCGAAGGTTTTGCGTCTCACTGTCACTAGACCAGATGAAGAAGGTCACCCGATGAACACTCCTTTTCCTGATCTTGAACCAGAGCAGCCAGCACCAAGGGAGCCGAAGAAGGGTCTTACTTATCCGGTCATCATCCACGTCGACTAGGTCCAAGACCAGGCTGCGCGGCATTACAGGGGCTACCAATGGCGATACGGGGAGGTCGACAATGCAGCAAGGGCACGGATGGTCTCCAGGCCGCTTGAGCCCTGCAGGGCTCTTACAGCGCCTGAGAGACGTTCGGATGATGAAGATGACCACGGCGATGTCTGCTCAAGAAGGAGGCATAGAAGCAGATCTCTCTGGGACCAGCTTGGTGGTCGCTCCTCCAGTAGGAGCAGGGAGCCGGAGTGCCAAGGGAGCAGAAGGTACAATGAGGAAAACAGAGGAAGACAGAGGATGCGTGAAGAGGATATCAACATAAGTCACAGCCGGAACCTCTCTCGTTCAGTGGAGCCTGGAGAGACGAGGATTAGAAGACAATCTGCGTGACAGCTGATCAGCGAGGCTCTCCCTCAGCGCCTGCTATTCAAGCTCCAACAAAGGTCACCTCTCCTTGCAAGCCACATAGATGCAATAGAAGCGAGAGTCCTGACGCAGGCTACACGCCTGACCTCTCCATCACTCCAGTTGTTTCTTCCTCACCTGATTGGGTTCCATTCATGCATGTCTCGGGTGCTGTTCTCGATCTGCTGGAGAAACACCTGGACCCAATGGTTCATGAAGCTGAGATGGCTCACTCCATGTACTCCCCTGACACTACTATCCCACGCCCTGTTTCCCCTGTCTTTATCCTTTCAGCTGCAGGGCAAGGCTCTCAGGCGACAACTAGAGGAAAAGGGGAGCAGACTGCTGATGTTTTCTTTGCTGAACTCTCGACGCCGGTGCTGCAGCCTCTGTTGCCGGTGCCTGGACACAAACAGCACCGCCCTTGTCGCAACAAGGTGACAATCTCTGCACATCGTCACAGCGCACGCCTAGCTACCAAAGCTAGATGAAACACAAAACTAGAAACAATTGCACAGGAGATTCTTGCAAATAAGTTTGGTGTTCTTGATGATAACAAACGTCTTGACACCCAAATTAAAAATCTTTACTTGCAGCAGTAGAAGAAGCCTCTTTCTCCTGCAGCTGTGAAGACCATCGCAGCCCTGGTCGAGAAAGGTGGCTGCAAATCAGTCCGCCTGCGTGGAGGAAGGAAGCTGGCGGCTGTCTCGCCGGCGTGAAGAACCTCCCACAGTGAAACAGTTGTGCTTCGCTGACCATGCAGTGGAGAAGATATTCCATCCCAATGGAAGCTCTCAGCACGCTGTCTCTTTGTGTTTCTACCAAATGTTTTTGGCTATGTTTCGGAGACAGTCGTCTATGCCTTCCTCCACCAATTTTTCTCCTAAAAACTGCATGTATCTCCAGTAGATGTGTCTTTTGCTTATGTCTCAACAATCATGTTTCATCCTGTATTGGAACATAAGAGGGCTCAACAATCCAGCAAAGAAAGACAGTGTTAAGTTGCTAATTGATGATATGAAAGGTTCAATCGTGTGCCTGCAGGAAACAAAACTATAAGTAGTTTCAGATTCTGTGGTGCTCAGAACTCTAGGTAGTCGTTTTGTCTCTGAGTTTGCTTTCCTCCCAGCAATTGGAACCAGAGGCAGTATGCTGCTGGCCTGTGATGACAATTTTTTTAGCCTCTCAGATGTAGTTCTTTAGCAGTATAGCCTTTCGGCAACAATCACAATGAAAATGGAATCGATATCTTGGTCAATCACAGTGGTATATGGGCCTCAATTAGAAGAGCAAAAAATTGAATTCCTGGAGGAACTTCAAGAACTAGAAGCAAACATGAGACCGGCTTAGTTGTTAATTGGTGATTTCAACCTAATCTACAAAGCTGCTTACAAGAACAATGATCGTTTGTATCGAAGAATGATGCAGCGTTTTAAGGGTGCAATTGACAGATTGTGTATAAAATAACTAAACCGGAAGACGTTTTACTTGGGCAAGGGATGGGACAAACCCTACACAAACTAAAATTGACAGAGCCTTCTGTACACCTGATTGGGATACCCTATTTGGCATGGCCCACATGTCTGGTCTTTCCTCTTCATGCTCAGACCATGCGCCCTTGTTCATCGTGGGCTGTGAACAAAGAGAGATAAACATGAATTTTCGTTTTGAGGCTTTCTGGCTGAAATTGCCTGACTTCATGGAAACTGTGGCTAAATCTTGGAACAGGCCAATCAGATCCATCAATCCTTTTGCAAAACTTCACCTGAAGTTATGTCGGTTGGCAAGGGACCTCAGGAGGTGGAGTAAATCACATATAGGTGACTTGAGACTGAGACTAGCCATTGCAAACGAAGTGATTTTCCAGCTCGATGTCGCCCAGGAGGATAGAACTTTATCTGACGAGGAACAGTGTTTACACAAAGATTTAAAACTGGAAGTTCTTGGTCTGGCTGCCCTACAGAAGATTAGAATTAGGCAGCGCTCGAGATTGACTTGGTTAAAAGCTGGGGATGTTAACTCTAAATATTTCCATCTAAATGCAAATTCAAGAAAAAGAAAGAATTTCATTCATTCTCTAGAAACACCAACAGGAACTGCGGTAACAACAGATCACAAGAAGGCATAATTGATTAGATTCTTTAACCTCATATTGGGGATTCCTTCCAATAGAACAAGCCGACTAAACTGGGATAGAATAAATTTGCCTTCGGTTGATCTCTCAGACCTAGAGGCAGATTTTGATGAAGAAGATATCAAAGAAGCCGTCTCTAATCTGGCAGCAGAAAAGGCACCAGGGCCTGATGGATTCATTGGATCCTTTTTTAAGAAAGCTTGGGAGGTAATAAAATCAGATATTATACTTGCAGTCTCACACTTGGGTGATCTCAATTCAGACAGACTTCAGGATCTAAACTTGGCAAACATCTGTTTGATTCCCAAAAAAGAAGAGGCATTTAGAGTATATGACTTCAGACCGATCAGTCTTATGCATTGTTTTGCCAAGATTCTATCCAAAATTCTAGCAAACAGATTGGCCCCCAAGCTAAATGAACTAATCTCTCAGAATCAAAGTGCTTTTATCCGAAAGAGGGCGATTCATGACAATTTCTTATACATTCAGAATATGATTAGACTGCACTCCCGACAGAAAAAAACCTTCCCTCTTTATCAAGGTTGATATTTCAAAAGCGTTTGATTCAGTTAGCTGGGCATACCTCCTAGAAACGCTTCAAAACTTTGGCTTTGGACAGAAATGGCGAAATTGGGTTTCAAATCTCCTTGGGACCTCATCTTCGAGGATTCTGCTTAATGGCAACCCAGGTGAACACATCTATCATGCACGTACGTTAAGGCAAGAGGATCCTCTATCACCAATGCTTTTCATCATTGCGATGGAGCCGCTACAACATATTTTTAAAGAAGGTAAAAATGTAAACATCCTTGCTAATCTTTTTGGCTGGCAGAGGCATTTCCGTTGCTCTTTATATGCCGATGATGTGGCTCTATTTGCAAAACCTTCAGAGGATGAACTCACAGTGCTTAAAAGAATTCTACAGTTCTTTGCTCAGATAAGTGGGCTGGACACAACATGAACAAAACTGAAATTTACCCAATATCCTGCTCAGGGCTGGACCTCGATGGAATCCTGACTTCTTTCCCTGGAAATAGAAAGTCTTTCCCCTGTAAATACCTTGGCCTACCACTTCATACCAGAAAGCTAAGGAAGATTGATTTGCAACCACTGGTGGACAAAATAGGATCGAGAATTCCAGGATGGAAAGGCATGTTCTTCACATCAGCAGGAAGGGAGGTTCTTGTTAAATCAACACTGACCTCTACACCAATCTACCACCTTGCAGTTTTGCCACAAAATAAAGGGACAATTGCTTATTTGACCCCGTTTTGAATTGTAATTGCCAATTTGACCCTACTTTTTGAACTTTGCTTATTTGACTCTCCTTTTCGAGTACGAAGCCTCCGTCTGACCCCCTTTCGATGACTCCGTTAGGGTTCGATTTAAAAAAAAAGAAAATGTTTCAAGAGTTCCTAATGGTGAAAATACCCTCCAAACCATATTATGACTCTCTCTCTCTCACTCGTGCGTGACTCTCGCGGTCTGACCTCTCTCTCACTCGTGCGTGCGGCGGCAGCGGCGAGCTACGCGTGCGGCGGCGGCTAGCTAAGGGGGCGGCGGCGGCGTCAAGCACAGCCCCGCCAGCGCCCGCTCGTTGTGGTGGAGGGCGGCGGCGGCGCTCTGAGGGGGTCTGGGTCGGCGGCAGCGGCGGTCTGATGGGGTGCGGGGCGGCGCTGATCTGAGCGGGCGGCGGCAGCAAGCTGTGGGGGCGGCGGCTACAACGGCGAGCTATGGGGCACGGCGACGGTGAGCTGTGGGGCGCGGGGCGGCAGCGGGTGCTACACGCGGCGACGGCGTCAAGCAAATTTTGTCAAAATTTTACAAAATCTTTCATAATTGTCTCAAATTTTGTTTAATTCATTTTGTCAAAATTCTGACAATTTTAAGTCAAATCTGCCAAAATGAATCAAATTTCTCAAATTTATGGCAAATCTGTCATAATTGTGACACATTTTATTTAATTTATTTTTACAAAATTATATCAAATTTAAGTCAAATTTGACAAAATGATTCAAAATTTTCAAATTAATGACAAATCAGTCACTTGAGCAAAAATTATTACAAATATTTCAACATTCTTGAATATGTACACAGTATAACAAAATAGGGTCAAGCAAGCAAACAAACAAGATATAACAGGGTCAAATAAGCAAGGTCAAAATGGACTATTTACCCCAAAATTAACACCATCACCTCATCCAAACAGAATAGGGTCAGACCGGAGCTTTGTACTCGAAAAGGAAGGTCAAATAAGCAAAGTTCAAAAAATATGGTCAAATCGGCAATTACAATTCAAAACGGGGTCAAATAAGCAATTGCCCCAAAATAAATGGCTTTACAAACGTATTGATCGTTTTAGACGAGCTTTCCTTTGGAAGGAAGATGATCTTGACAATGTCAGTGCTGGAAGCTGTCTCTTGAATTGGAACTATGTGTGCAAGCCAAAGGATTTAGGTGGCCTAGGAATTTTTGAACTTGGAAAAGTTTGCGCGAGCCCTCAGGCTGCGATGGCTCTGGCTAGTCTGGAAGGATGACCTGAAACCCTGGGCAAATATGGAAACCCCATGCGATGATATCGACAAAGCTCTCTTTAGAGCAGGAACCATCATCACCATTGGAAATGGAGAAAAAATAAAATTCTGGTCTGACAATTGGTTAGAGGGAAGCTCACCTAAAGAGATAGCACCTTCCATCTTCAACTTATCGAACAGAAAATCCAAATATTTAAAATTTGATTTGGAAAACAACCACCGGATGGCTATACTAAAACCAATTACCTCGGTTGCTGAGATTGATGAACTTGTGCACCTTGGAAGTATGCTGCAAAATGTCACCCTTGCACAAGACTCCCAGATGACATTCGCTGGAAATGGACTGAAAACGGACAATATACGACAAAGAGTGCTTATCAAGCACAGTTCCAAGGTGAGACTACGCATGCTTTGTTCAAACCAATCTGGAACTCGCGAGCTGAGCCTAAGCAAAGAATTTTTGGTTGGCTTCTACTCCATCAAAGGGTACTTACGGCTGACAATCTATTAAAAAGGCATTGGCCTTGTGATTGGATCTGTAGCCTCTGTACAGATGCTTTTGAAGATGTAAATCATCTCGCAAAGGAATGCCCTTTCACTCTTTCGGTTTGGAACAAGGTGTGCCAAAATGGCAGGGGCACATTTTGGTCCCTTCTCAGCAGCTCGCACTAAACCTTTCAGATTGGTGGGATTTACTATGTCACATTTCGCCTGGAGCAGCAAAGAGAAACATACTTGGGGACCTTCTTATAACTTGGTGGAACGTCTGGCTCGAATGAAACCGAAGAATTTTTCATCAATCTCCTATGAACGAACACCAGGTGGCCTTTTTAGTTAAGGAAAATATAGACCATTTGGCACTTTCTAAAAGGTCGGACTAAAGGCCTTCTTCAGTTGTTAAGAGTCTTTTGCGCCACACTCTTATCTTGGCCAGACTCTTTAACGTAGTTGCTCTCTTTTTCTTTTGTCTGTACTGTGACTTTTACTCCATCTAATATATTCGGCAAGTCTTTTGGCTTCAAAATTTGGTTTCAAAATTCAAATTTTAGCTTATAATCATGAGCGTAAACGAAACAATGAGGCTGTTAATCTTGATCCTAAGACCTACTACTCAATCCACTTCTCAACCAAAATGATCTTTTTATATAAACAAATTTAAGGAAGGTTAAAACTAATCTAAATTAGTGAATGAAATGGCAGCATTGCAACAAGATTCTGCATCTCCATTACACGGCCTACTTCTGAAAGGAAGAAAACTCATTGCAGTAGTGGACTCTCCACTCTCTCCTGGATGCCATATTTGACAGATGTCCTCACAAACACACCAGTATCTGTCGTAACAGACGACAAACTTCTGTCTCTCTCTCTCTCTCTCTCTCACACACACACACTTGGTTTCTTTTTTAGTCACAAATCAAAGATGCAAAAAGTGTTCAACAAAGATCATGATTCCAAGCAGGAGGCTTAATGTGACTTATCTGACCTAAACCGGGACAGGATCACAACACGAGGATCATCAGCTGTCCAGTTTGCCCTCCCACTGCCTCACAAACCCTGCATCCAAACAATCGTGATCACGATGCTCCCCAAAAGAATCTTGAGAGTTTTGTTCTTGGATACTAACACAGTCTGTCTCGGTTCGCACGCACGGCCGATCAGCCGATCGTTATTCGTCCACGTGGCACATGCCCCGGTGCAAAGGATCTGGCAAAACCTGAAACTTTCCAAAAGTCTGATTCCGAGTTGCGAGCAGTTGGGTGACAGCCTCAGTGCTCCCAGCTATTAAGATAATGATCTGCATCTGGATTATTCTCCTTCGAGATCATGATGCGGTTTCCCTAAACTGACACTTAGCTGCATCATTTAGCACACTGCAAACATCACATGTGGGTTTGTCTGCAGAACCTGTCTGGCACTCGGATTTAATCGGACAGTCGTTTGTTTTGTGCTGCTGGTTGTTGATCTGAATGTTCTCTGCAGTTTCATGGTCCTTCTGTTGTTCAGACTTCAGACGGCTGAACCTTGTTTTTTTTCCCCGAGTGAATTGTTCAGACATGATTATGTGAACACAAGAACATTGTCAATGTCACTGAAATTCTGAATGTGCTGCCAATTGCTAAGAAAAGAAAATATAACCTGTCTCCGTGACGGCGTCATTTTTACCTTACAGAGTAATTAAGTTTCATAACAGTCGCTGTCAAAGCTGAAGATTTTGTGTGCAAAGTGTAGCATCTCATGTCCTTCATTGTCTGCAATGTTTAATTCCAGGCTAAGGCATCAGCAGGTTCCATGACACTTCCTGTTGAAAAAAAAAATACTACCTCCGTTTTTTAATAGATGACGCCGTTGACTTTTTCTCACATGTTTGACCATTCGTCTTATTCAAAAATTTTATGCAAATGTATAAGATATAAATCACGCTTAAAGTACTATGAGTGATAAAACAACTCATAACAAAATAAATTATAATTACGTAAATTTTTTGAATAAGACGAATGGTCAAATATGTAAGAAAAAGTCAACGGCGTCATCTATTAAAAAACGGATGTAGTATATAGCAAGGAAAGTACAACTACAAGCATCTGTAACTGCTCCTTTTTTGTGCCCTAGGAACCAGCCATCCATGATTGCGTGTAGAATTGCAGGGTTTTCAAGTTTTCAAGTCAGTATAAATAGTAGTAGCTCATAGCTAACCTGTCTTCAGAGACCAAAAACCCCTTCTCTCCCATCTTTCTTCTCTCTGGTTTGTATCTCCTGCAAGAAACCAAAGAGGATGATGGATCATCACCACACGATGCAGATACAATTCCATGACCTGAAGCACTGCAACCCAGGCAGTGATGCAAGGATCACAAGGAGCAGCGGCGTCTCGCAGGTCGCGTTCGTCCTCGCCGCCATTGCTCTGATCTCCTTGGTTTCGCCTTCCTCCGTGGAGTACACCGTGTTCTCCTCCACTCTGCCTGCTCCCCTTCGTGCACTGGGCAGCTTTGTCATGAGCAAGAAGGCGCTGTTCGTACTCTCCAACGCCATCTTCCTCTTCCTCGCCGCCGATTACTACCGCTGCTTCTTCAGCTTATCCCCATCCACAAGTGATTTCACAGCCTGTGGACACACTGGTGTAGGAGACAAACAAGAACAGCATCATCATCAGGTTGGGGTAGAGCCATCTTCTGCCACTGAATCTTGTGTCCCTGATCATTCAGAAGCTCCTTACCGCGACAACGATGACGCATCGGAGGATTGCTCTCATGGTGAAAGAATGGATGGTGAAGGAAGCAGGAGAAATATTGTGAGAACACCTGATGATGAAATGCCATCAGGGGAACAGAAGGCTCATGGAGATATAGCAATGCCGTCGCAACCGGAGTTCTTCAGGCTCGATGAAGATGACGTCATCTTGGAGAGTGCTGTCGTCAAGGAACCATCGTGTGGAACAACAGGTCAGGAGCTTGACAAGTTAGGGATCGATGAGCTGAACAAAAAGTTTGAAGAATTCATCAAGAGCAGAAGAACTAAATGGGAGAAGGAGGAGGCTTCATTGAGTTAGTGGCAAACTGTCAACAAATGGAAACACTACTGATTGAGTTGAGTTTTTGTTTCGCTTTTTTTTCCCTTTTTTTTTTCTTGTAAGTATTTTAGCATTGGCCCAGCAACGCTACTACTAGAGGTTGTTTGTGGTGTGATCGTGTCATGTTTTTGTATCCAGTGAAGAATGATAAGCTCATTTCACAACATAATCATGACCTGTACATCCTCGCAAGCTTCAAATTTGCATTTTATGGAGTTTATAGAAGCACCTTGATATAAGCAGTGCCGTTAGTCAGCCAGGCACCACTGGATATGAGGTCAGCATACTGGCTTGCACTTCCTCCACAATTATATTAAAAAAATTGACCCAAAAAAAAAAAGAACTCGTGAAAAGAACTGCAAACAGTCTGTATGAAACCATACAAAATTTCTCTAACTATAGATGATCACAGGTGTAACATTATGCCTATGTGAAGCACAACCGAAACAGGCAAGTAAAAACAGAATATTACCTGTTAGTCAGTATGCTGAGGTCGGAAGTTATACTTTGATCGTCAAAAAGCCATGCCAGGAAGTTAAGATCTTACTATAAAGTGCTCACTAACTTCAAGTGTACCATATTAGCACTTACTAGCAATTTTTATTTAGAGTATTTCAAATTACATACAAGTGTGCCACATCATCATCCACTAGAAATTATTATTTATTTTTAATATCATGCAAATATGACATATCATTTACAATTTTGTTATATTTCTAGAACTCAATTGCAAGCAATATCAAATCATTTTCTCCACATCATTTTCACATTATTTAAACATATACATCTACCACTTGCCCAACATGCAAGTGTCACATCATCACCCGCTAGCAATTATTATCATAAGTATTTTAAATCGCATGCAAGTATGATATATCATCAGCCACTAAAAATTATTATGCAGAGAATTGTCAATATCATGCAAACATGACATATCATTATAATTTGTTTTATTTTTAGAACTCAATTGTAAGCAATATCAAATTATTATTTTCGTACTCCCTCCGTCTCAAAATAAGTGCAGTTTTGCACTATTCACATTCAACGTTTGACCGTTCGTCTTATTTGAAAATTTTTTATGATTAGTATTTTTACTGCTATTAGATGATAAAACATAAATAGTATTTTATGTGTGGCTAAATATTTTTAAATTTTTCACAAATTTTTCAAATAAGACGGACGGTCAAACGTTGGACACGGATATCCACAGCTGCACTTATTTTGGGACGGAGGTAGTATTATTTAAACATATACATATACCATTTCTATAATGTATAACATGTATTCATCCACATATCCCGCAACAAAGCACGGGGTATCAACATGTTGTTAAAAGGGTAAAGTTCGAATTACCCCCTCAATTATTGCTTTTGTCCAAATTATCCCTTCAACTACGACACTGGACATTTTACACCCAGATATTCAACAAAAGCAGCCGGTGCATTTGCAGTTGCTAAATAATCCAGTCTAACGAAACTATTAGCCGTGTACATTGAACATAGGTGACTAATTACTACTCCCTCCATTTTATATTATAAGTTGTTTAACATTTTTCCTAGTCAAACTTCAGCAAGTTTGTTCAAGTTTATAAAAAGATTAACATCATCTAAATATTAAATTAGTTTCATAAAATCTACCATTAAATATATTTTGATAATATGTCTGTTTTGTATTGAAAATACTACTGTATTTTTCTATAAATTTAGATTAGAAAAAAATTAAACGACTTATAATATGAAACGGAGGGAGTAGCTTGTTTTGTTCATGAAACTAAAACTAGAAACATACTAAGAATCTAATATGCATATGGCAGTGGCACTAATAGTGGAAATCTATTTATGGAAGAAAAAAGTACACCAAAGGTCCCTCAACTTGTCATCAAATTTCAAAATCATCCTCCAACCACAAAATCAGATATAGGACATCCCTCAACTTACAAAACCGTTCATTTTAGGTCCTTCGGTGATTTTGTCCCTGGTTTTGTCCGCCGTGGCGGCTGAGTCAGCGTGGGACCCACATGGGGCCCATCTGTCAGACTGTCCACGTCATCACCAATCTCTTTTCACTGTTTTCTCACCTCCTCCTCTCTCTCACTCTTCACCTCATTCGGGCAGGGCAGCGGCAGGTGGGGAGGAGGCCGGCGGGGCGAGGCAGGAGAGGAGGTGCGGCAGCCGATGGCGGCGGTGGTGGGAGCATGGGGGGAGGCGAAGGGGGAGCATGGGGAGGCCCAACTGCCCGTCTGCCCCGACGCCGCTGCGGCGCGCCGTCGTGGTTGCGGGAGAGGCTGTCGACGATGAGGAACGGCACGGCGCGGCACAGGGCAGGAGGCGAGCGCGGTGGTGGGAGGAGGAGGGCGACCCTCGTCCCCGCCGGATGGCGGGATGGCGGCTGATGGGGACATGGACGCGGTCACGGCTGCTGCGGAAGATCAACATGGAGCAGGAATCCTCCCCGCCGTTCCCCAATCTTGCATCTAAATCGCCTATTTTGTCGTCGGCAGCGGAGATCGGTTTCCGCGGAGCTCGCTTGCGTGGTTTTCTTGGGAGAGGAGCAGGACAATTGCGTGGATGATGTATTGACCGGCGACGGCGGCTATGGCCACGGACGGGTGGATCGATCGATTCCGCTGGAGGACAAAGTCGCCCCATGACCATGAAGATCGAGAGGGCAACCATGAAACAAAAACACACACCAAAAGCTCTCAAAATTCAGAGTATATATCAATATTCAAGATGGGGTATTGGTGGCTGGGTACGAAAACGGCGCTCCCCTGTCCTCCTGGCCGAGGTAGGCGGCGGCGGGGGGAGCAAGGCCCCTAGAGGTAGGCGGCGATCTCGACGGCGAGCAGCAGCAGGGATAGGACGAGGAACACCCGGATGCAGCCGTAGGAGCGCGCCCGCAGCGCTGTGCTCTCCCCCGGCGCGGCATCGGCGTCGGTCCGCCTCGCGATCTGCTCCGGGCGCGCCACCCGCCACAGCGGCCGCCGCCATTGCAGCCTTCTCCTCCGGCGCTTGGCCCCGCGCAACGGCACCATGCTGCAGAGGCATCCCGCACTGCACCGGACAAATTAAATCAGGAAGAGCAAGTTTCTCGCGGGACCTGACGAATCAAGAAGCAGCAGCGAACATGGACACAGGGGAAGTCTCGCCGAGGAGGGATGTCTTACGGTTGCGACGGCAAGCATGGCGGACGCGGCGCCCGTCAGCCGCCCCGCGGCGTGGTACGCCTTGACCGGCAGCACCCACCACCCTTTGACGCGGAGCTCGCGGCCACGCAGGAGGAGCTCCCCGCCGGCCTCCTCCCCACCCGCCGGCGCCCTGCAGAGACAAGATTGAGAGAGAGAGAGAGAGAGGAGAGAGGGAGAGAAGATGGGAAATAAAGGGTGTTGACGTGGCACACTGACACGTGGGTCTCACATGGGTCCCACGCTAACTCAGCCGCCACGTAGACCAAAATCGGGGTGAAAACCACCAAAAGACCTCGGGTGGCCGGTTTTGTATAGTTAAGGTACCTTCGGTGTACTTTTTCCTTTATGGAATGAATGTGTGCGGTGACTTTCAATGTAACTTTCTGGGTCATAGTGGTAGGCCAAGCAGTATAACTAAACGCCAGCCCACGAGCTTGGCTAACGCTGTGAACTTCGCCTGCCTCCACCAAGAGAGCACGCAAGGGAGAGAGCAGCAGCAGCAGCCGGCTAAAGAGAGATACGAGGGATAAGGGCATTTTGGTATAAAAAATAGAAAGTGCAGCGAAGAGATACGTAGGTGAAATATGTTTAATACCTGTAAAATTACAATGTTATTCTTGTTATTAGCTGAGTATTTTTCAAACTGGTAGAGTTACAAACTTACAATGACATGTATCCAATTAACCCGCCAGGGGGACGAACGTAGATGGGCCAGGATTTCGGTACATCCCAGCAAGACCTTACCATGGTTCATTTTTATAACTTCGCTAAGGATAATTGCAAAGTCTAGTGTAAAGTGTTATATAAACAGGGGTGCCCCACACCACAAGGAACGTGCTGCTAATTCCCATATAGGCTAAAAGCCTAAAACGACCCGGCACCGGTAGACTGTAGCTCACAATGAGTTCAAGTCTATATTTGGGCGGCACAATCAACATAACTGCATCCAAGAAAAAAAAATACTCCCTCTGTTTCACAATGTAAGTTATTCTAGTATTTTCCACATTTATATTGATGTTATATCTGTCTAGATTTATTAACATCAATATAAAGATAGAAAATACTAAAATGACTTGCATTGTGAAAAAGAGGAATTACTATCTCTATTTCAGGTAAGACTTTCTAACATTGCTCACATTTATATAGACATTAATGAATCTAGACACACATATGTCTAGATTCATTAACACACACATACATACATATACATATACATACATACATACATATACATATACATATACACATATATACATATACATATATACATACATATACATACATTTACACACATATATATATACATATACATATATATATGTATATATATATACATATACATATGTATATATATATACATATATATATGTATATATATGTATATGTATATGTATATGTGTATATATATATACATATATATATGTATATGTATATGTATATATATATGTGTGTAAATGTATGTATATGTATGTATATATGTATATGTATATATGTGTGTGTTGACAATACTAGAAAATCTTATAATATGAAACGGAGGAAGTATACAGCTGGTAGACGCATTACATCAGGCACAAACGGCATGTTGCACGGAAGCGAGATGCCAGAATACAGAGAAGGGCAAGCAATGAAGCAACACGCAGAGACAAAATTACAGCCTAATACGTCCACTTGTTATTCAAACCTATGACGAACATGATTCATTACATGATGCTCTGCCACATCCCATTGCAGAGTTTTTGGACATCAACAGTTACCTAAGAAATTGCCTCCCAAGTCAGCTACAGGTGTAGGGCTGCCTAAGCGAACCTTGTTTTTGACATTACCAAACAGGGATATGGTTTTTGGCTATCTGTGGACACGGATTAACAATAATTAACATGGGGGCTGCCCATGATGCAAGCACAAGGTTCGGCATACATGCAGGTACAAAATAATAATTAACAGCGGATAATAATTAACAGCGGGTGCTAAACCTACGAGGTTTCACCAATGCTCAGCTCAGGCCACCACCTCCTTGGCTTGATGTTGTGGTTTTTTCTTCTCAGCGTCTTCATTTCCATCCTCGTCCTCATCCTCATCGTCGTCTTCTTTCGACAGCCTGGTTAGCTCCTCTTGGATCATGATTTTGATAGCTGACTTTCGTGGTGTCAGGTCAATCTTGTAGCGATCCTCTACAAGATGAAGATTGTTGATGGAAGTTATGACAAAAATGCTTCACTTCACCAGAAAAAGAAAAAAAAAGACAAGCATGGTTGACATTGAGAGGCATGCTTGAAAGGCTTACCAAGCTTTTTAAGAATGTCACTGAAAGTAGCCTGCAAAATCAGATTGCCAAACATGTCAGCTCTTCTGTAAAGTGTACGGTGTAAAAAAAAAAAACAAGAGAAGCGAGCAACTAGACACCAAAGCAGTCAAAACAAAAGGGGGTATAAACTGTAAACTGTAAGCTCAAGCTACAACACGGAACAAATGTAGAAATGCCTGTCACATTGAGTCAAGATAACTAGTACTAGCTCCCACTCTTTCAGATTACCCGTCATAGCTAAGCTTTAGCTTTTGTATTTTACTAGATCTTGAACGCAAATATGTTTACAGTCATCCAGAATGTTATGGCATGGAACCATACGATGTGGATAAGCAGTACGCCCATGGCAACTGCAGAGGCTTCGAGCAGCATTAACTGCTCATGAGGATTTGGGTAGTGCTGAGCGTTGGTTACATTTCAGCAGCAGCATTTCATGTGTTTGCATATCTCAAAATATGGCAGTTGTACACATATTGTACTTTGATTAGATGCACCTTTCATAGTTAGCTACCATCCTTGGTACTAGTCCTATTTCAAAAGGGCATCTGCAGCTTGGACAGGTTGTTAAACAAAGGTTTTGAGTCTCTCTCTTCTTCAATAAGCATCAGCAAGCCAAGGGCAAGTGCGCTACTATAGTTTCCCAGGCTTACTCAGAGCAGCCTCGAATGTTTCAGCCAATGACATTGGACATCTGTAATTTTGTACAATATGGAATATCCATTCTGAGGTGGTGGCTCTATCCAAGATATCAGTCACAAACAGAAGTGTTTCGAGGACAAGCGGTCATGATCCTCGCATGCTGCATTATCTAGAATCGTCACCATAGGAGCATCTTTGATAGAGACAGCTATCTTTGGCATCTTCTAGGAAGGAATAGATCAATTTAGAAAACAATATTGCGCTGGTTATCCATCAAGCAAAGCCAGCAGTATATGATTATTTCAACTTGCTGCCTCAATAAACGCTTAATCTGTGTCCCTAATGGACTTAAATATTCTCTCTACAACATTTGCACACAATTCCTTTATAAATTAAAATGGACCTCCTCTCCTGTTTTCCCTTGAAAAAAAAAAGATCCTGACTACAAATTCGATGCTTTTTTTTAACGTAAGCCATTCAAGATACTTTTCAGTACTGTAAAGGTCAAAATTCAAATAAATTGATAGCAAACAGTCAATGGTGATGTTAAACAATGTAGTGGTATTTTCAGTACACTAAATAAAACACACGTAACTCACCGTGTTGAAATCAACTTTTTTAAGGATTTCAGTTATGGTTTTCCTCAGCTCGTCCTTACTGGGTAGACCTACTTCTGCTGATTCTCCTTTACCCTTTGTCACCTTTTTACCTTCAGGAATCAGAATGATATGATTAGTTGACTGAGTTGAGACCACACTCCCAATGACATTTAAATAATAAAAATGGAAGGTATCATGTAACTATGCGATAGGAATAACTTAATATCCACAGAAAGAACAAGTAATGACACAGCAAATGATTCATCACTGCACTTGTCCATCAAGTATATGCTTTAGTAGACAAAAATTTATCATAATAATGTAAATTCCAAATCAACAAATGCTGTGAGAATTTAGCACAAGCAGAAAAGCAAAATAAACTGCAAATTATAAATATGAACCCCAAATATAAGCTGCAGCGCAAGTTTCATTCAGCTAGATTTGAGACACCTGAGAACCAAACAAAACAACAGAGAAAATGGAATTCTACTAGCATGTTACAACTAGGAAAATAGTCTAATCTCCATGGGGGAAATAGAAATATGTTGATAACAATTACCAAACATCAAAGAAATGGGAAGATTTCGAGTATTATACAGTGCTGCATGTAAACTAATATAGTATGATGCTACTACAGTTTAAGGACAAAAATTACCTGATGACTTCTTGTCTTTTATCTCCTTTTCAGAGCTTGAAGGACGCTTTGGTGTGACAGATTTCTTCTTCCTAGAGAAGACTTTTGCACTGTCCTCAGGGCTCTCCTTTTCCTTGGAAACTTTTGAAGATGGTGTTTTGCTTGAACTCTTGCTCACTGTCCTTGGAGTACCTGTCTTGTGGCTGCTCCCTGTTGCAGCCTTCTTTTTACTAGCGGTATCTTTTGCATCTGAGGAGTTCTTCTTTGCCTTCTCTTTCTCAGAATCATAGTCATCTTCCTCACTATCTGACTTCATGGGATCCGCATCATCCTCATCTTCATCAGTATCATATTCCAGAGCTTTATTCCGCTTTTTACTTGGAGTTATGTCGTCATCATCATCAAATTTCTGAAACACCGACAATGCAAACAAGGTTACAAGAATAAATAACCACAATCATTAATGTGTCAACACAATAGATCATCACATGTACATCTTGGAAGAGACTAGCAAAACTTCAGTAGTTCAGTTATATAATCAGCAAAAAGACACATGCTGATAAAGATTGCATATATTAATAAGTCACATTAAAAAATTCCAATTAAAAAATACTGTCAACAGGTTGGATCTGACAAACTTGGCACCATACCTTGCTAGAACTCTTGGGTGTGCTTCCTCTCTTGCGTTTCCGAGAATTCGACCCCTAGAAAGCAGAAGAAAGTAGAGCACAGAGAAAAATATGGTAAATTCCCAATCATTCAAGAACTAATAGCAACTGTAAGTGGCGGTGAATATAAACACCCAGACAGGAATATTAACAAAACAAGTTATCACATCTTGATCTTGCCTGATCATCCGAATGCCCGGAATCAGCCATAGCATGAGGTTCAGCAATGAAATCCAACAGCTTTGCCACAATATCTTCCTACATGAGTTATGAACTATATTAGCGACTAGCAAATCACTATTCAATAAGGTCTTGAATTCCATCTCTGTTCTAACAAAAAAAACACATTTGGGAAGGGGGAACAAGACATTATATACCTTTCTGATGTTTGCTTTTGGAGTCGGAATAGCAAGGATCCAACAGAGTTCCAACAACATGTCTTTCACACATTTGTCAAGCTTCTCCTTAGCCTTCGCCCTCTGCTTTTCCTACAAATAGATAATAATAGGGCTCTTTAAGTATTAAACAATTACTGTCAGCTAAATATAATTGAGTTAAATTCATTAAAAATTTGGATGTATTGAAGAAGCTTACATCACTTTCATGCCACACGAAACCAGAGAACTGGAGTATATGACCTTTAAAATCAACAGTCTGGTACATTACACAAACAGTATTTGTCAGTATCATACACAACAGTTTTGCTTAAGCAATCCAAACCAATAACTGGCAATCTTATGGTCACCTAAAAGGTCAAAAACTTAAGATGTCCATCACAAACGGAAAATGAATTTATAGTTGAATAGTATCCTGCCTACGCAGCTTCTATGGTATTTTGATAACCCAATATTGGCTGCAAGGCTTTACACACTGAGAAATTCCTCTTCTTTTTTTTTTCTTTTACTACCATTTGTAACTTGAAAGTTGAAACAGCATGCTAAAAAGTTAGGGTTGTGTTATTTTAGGGCTTCTGGTTCACTTCTTTTGATACAAAACAGCATATGCACTGGAGTCAAAACATAGTGGTGTACCAGTATTGCATATACACCATGCCATTTTAAATTCATTCTTCAGTGCTGGTTAAGTTATATTAAAACCTATTAAGGGAATCACATACTTCTAATGAAGTTGAGTACATAAGTTTGCTTGAACACTTTTAATTCAACTGGAATGGACACTGTTTAGGTGCTAAAAGCTAGTATAGACATCCTGCATCAGCTATGTCAAAAGAAACATTCTCATATGCCATATTTTACCTTGCCTTTCCTGCCAAAAAGAACATTGTGAAGAAACTTAAGATCAGCAGGTTTTTTCCTTGATATTCTGTGCGCCACTGCAAGCAAGTTGCAAAAAAAAATCAGTCCAAAAAAAAGCATTCAAAATGCCACAGAAAAAGAAAGATGTTTAATAGACTGCAGGATGAATCCAAACCATAAAAATAGATATAAGCACAAATCTTTGTTTATATCAACAAGCTATGAATATTAAATGCAGTCAGTTTTGTCAACCAGATTGTGATCAAAGCAGACCATTCTTGAGCAGTTAGATGATAATGCAATTTGACCTCAGCGAGCAAAGAAAGCAACACCATTACAGAACTCATTCGTAGTGACTGATGGCTGCCGAAAAAGTTTACGAAGGGCATTAACACTCATCCACAAAGATGAAGATAAATTTGCACTCATAAAATGAAGATGAGGGCACCAACAAGAAGGGAAACAAGAAAACAACATTGCCTGTCAAATATCACTTTCATATACTCAAAAGATTTAAGTCGCACCAGACATGTTGTCTTTGTTAGATGCAATGCAAATGGAATATAATTAATTAACGCAGTAATTCATCAAAATATAAATCAAATCTGCCCCATCAATGATCAAAATGTTTGGGTTCATCAAAATTCTGCCAAAGAGATCAGATTAGAGTTTTGAAACTGAAAGGATCACCAGAGTCTTTTGGCCTCCTCTTACCGGTGAGTTGTGCATCTAACAAGATTAAAAAAAGAAAAAGGTATGTGGTATTCGTAGTCACCCACCTTGTAGCACTTATAAGGCATAACCAATTGCTTATGTGGCCTAAGCAGTACAAGATTGAGGCAACCATTCTTTGTATGCAGACTTGTCAACCTTTTTTAGAACACTGGAATCCAATTTAGTTCCCTTATAATTGAGCTTCATTAATGGCTTTGTGCATTCTTGCGATTTTATTGCCTTAGGAACAACTCCTTTTTGGATCACATTCAGTACAAAAAAGCTGCAATATTTTTACCATCCTAATCTAAAGTTTTAACATAGATGTCAATGCTGACTTTGTTCACAAAACTTATTCCTAGAAAGAAAAACATCCACTGAGTTACTTAAAATGTAGATAAATAGTTCTTTGAACTAGCAACTACCGAAACTGGGAAATCTGAGCAAGTGTTCAGTTCAGCTCTCAATATCTGATACATAGCATGTATTGTATCGATAAAATAAATCAATCAATCAAATTCCACCAATATAAAAACATGGCTATTTCATCATGCAGGAAATAAGCACTTATTAGTTCAACTTATAGATTGAGACAAAGTTGATCAAGAAATTTCATTTGTCCAGTTAGACTTAAGCAAGTTTCGAGAGACCACATAAGTCCAGCGTGTGTAAGGGGCAGCATTTTAGCGGGAACAGGAGGTTCCTAAAACAGGTCTTAAAGATTCTCAATCATTCTTCATAACAAATTACCAATCCAGATGATGAAGAACAAACGAAAAAGGAAATTTAAAATGGTAAACCAAACGATAAGAGAGGGTTATACCACTTGGTATATCCTTCAACGGAGTACCACGACCCTGCAATGAAAACATTTGACAATGTTTATTGACCTGTCAAACTAAAATAGTGTTACAAAATGAATGCAAACAACAGACCTTCTCAACTACGAAGTTCCTGTTGGGCTCCTTTTCAATCACTTCAACCAACCTCTCCACTGTTTTCCTCTCACGCTGAGGGCGATCAGTACCATAAGGGCTGGCGGTGTTCAGTAAGCTCTTCGCTTCCCTGGATTTGGACCCATCCTGTTTCTTATCCTTACCTTGGCTTCTATCCCTTGCACTTCTTGCCTTCTTGTTCTTCGGTGTTTCCTCCTTATTCTCTTCTACCTTCTTGTCTGCTTCACTGACCTCCTCTTCTTCTGCTTCATCTTTGTTTCCATCCTTTCCACCATCTTTTTTCAGATGTTCATCACTGATATTTGCATTTTTGTCTCCTTCCTCGTTGTCATTATCAGCAGAGCCCTTTTCCTCTGCTTCCTCTTCCCCTTGCTTCTCAGCACCACTCTCTTCTTCTGCTTTCTTTTCCTCGTACTCAGCTAAACCACTTTTATCTTGCTCCTTCAATTCCTCCTGCTTTTCAGAACCACTTTTATCTTGCTCCTTCAATTCCTCCTGCTTCTCAGAACCACTTTCTTTTGCATCTTTCAATTCCTGCTTCTCCGTATTGGTGTTCTCATCTTTATCTTCCTTCTCTGCTGTATCCTTGACATCGGCATTTCCTGCCTCGGCCTCAGCCTCAGCCATCTTGACATCTTCACCTTCTGTGTCCTTGGTATTCTTTTCTTCATTTGCATCTGCATCCTGCGCACCATCCTTTTTCGCATCCTCAGTGTCCAACTGCTTCACATCACTCTCCTTTGCAGTCTCAGCCTCCGCCATCTCAACATCTCCATCAGATGGACCCTTGGTACCATTCTCTGAGCCTCCTTTATTCTGCTCTTCAGCATTCTTATTCTCTACTGCTACCTCGTTGCCCTTGCCAGCTTTTTCTTTAATGTCATTGTCCTTATCAGGAGCAGCAACATCATCAGCTGCTCCTCCATTCGCTACAGCGGTCTCCTCCATTGCCGATGCTGGGTCTTCCTCAGGCATCCCGAGAAACCCTTATTGCACTACCTGCAGACAACCAGTTACCGAAGTAAAGACGCATACTTAATTTTGGGAACCGAAATAACATAAATGGCAGAACAAGGGCACACACACAGCATGTCATACTTAAAATGTGTACTACCATCATCCAGAACAAGTAGTAAATGAACAAGTACCAAAGTGGTCTCGAGGTAACTAGAGAGATGCTAGTAAAAGATAGCCATGGCAAACAAGGACAGCAGAAGAGGAGACCAAATTATGGCCCCTAGGCCATTTCCGCTCCACGAGCTTTCATACACCACTATACTGACACACTCACACAGAACCCTAAAACCTGCGCTTGCGGTCATAACCACAAAATTCCAACCCCATCCCCCGGAACAAGCATAACCTTGAGCGGAGGCCAGCGCGAGGCCAGGTACCCCCAAATCGAACCCAGCGGGAGCGCAATTGAGCAGCTAGGGTACCAAAAGACGGCAGCCTTGACGCCTCCTGCAACTCAAGAAGCACCCCCCCCCCTTGGAGCTCCACCCGGAACCCAGGAGCAAAGCAAAGCGCAACACCCAAAACCCTCGCAGCGGCCAAACCCTAGCAAGCCCCGGACGCAGCTTCCGCGCAGGAGCGAAGCGAATCCCGAGCCGCCCCGGAGCGCGAGATGAGACTCGGGTGGTGGCTGGCTGGCTTCCTCACCTGACCTAGGGCGGAGTGGAGCAGGAGCAGCAGCAGCAGCAGCTAGTCGCGTCGCCTCCTCGGCTTCCTCCCCCCCTACCCGTCTCCTCCACCCTCTCCACCTGCGGTGACTGCGAGAGAGAAAGAGAGAGAGAGAGAGACGGAGAATTATTTCGGGATATTTATTTTTACTTGTTTTTGTTTTTTTTTTTGGGTGGAAGTTTTTAACCCGGGAGGGTGGTTCGGTTCGGTGGTCGCGGTCGGTCGCGTGGGTGAGTCGACTACTCGACTCACAGCCGCGGTTTGTTGCTGCTGCTAGTCGGTCGGTCGCGTGGGTGAGTCGACTACTCGACTCACAGCCGCGGTTTGTTGCTGCTGCTAGTCGGTCGGTCGGGCTCGGACGGGACGGAGGAGATAGGCTGCTAGGGTTTCCAGAGGTCACGCGAGTCGACACGGACGGACGAGTCCGGCCTGCGCCTTGCGCCTGCGCGCAGGGGGATTCGTGGTCGGGGATGATTTGGCTGGTTGGGTGGTTTCACACGTTCACGCGATGCAGGTGGGCCTTGGGCCTTGCCGCACGATTCCTGCGGGGAATAAGTTCACTTTAGGTCTCTCAATGTGTCGCCAGTCCGATTTTCGTCCCTGAACCGCAAAACCAGATACAACGCATTCCTCAACTTACAAACCAGTGCACATAAGGTCCTAAGGTGGTTTAGATGGCGGTTTTCGCTAATGTGGCGCCCATGTGGCTAGTTCGACTTTGTCTTTGTCCTACGTGGCAGTGATGTGGACTAGAAGTAAAAATGTAAATTTTTAAAAAATGTGGGTCTCACATGTCAGTCATACAAAACATAAAATTAGTGGATCCCACATGTCAGTCAAACAAAACATAAAAAATGGTGAGGCCCACATGCTAGTGGGTCACACCCTCCTCTCTATCTCCACGGATGGTGACACTTCATAACTCTCCATCCCGGCAATCCCTCCTACCTCCTTGAGCTCCCTCACCGACGAGCTACCGCTGCCACGCGGAGCTCTTCGGCCGCGGCGCTCACGCGATTTGGAGCAGGTGGTTGGTGGCGGCGGTCACCGTCGCGTCCATAGGAAGCGGCGGTGGTGGTGGGAGGTCCATGGCGATGGGGCTTAAGGAAGCAGCGGTAGCGACGGGAACGGCGGGAGAGGAGGCGGCGCGGCGGCCGAGGGAGGAGGAGGCGGGTGTGTCGCTCTCCCCATCACCATCACCACCACCTCTCCCCTCCCCAGCGTCCGCTCCGCCCCTATTCGCCGATGAGGCAGCTCCCCAGACCCTAGCTCGATCCCGACGATGGCCATGGTGACTACGGGAGCTGGAGGTTGGTCAACGCCGGCGCGCCCATCGACTACCTCCATGCCTACGTCGTCGACCTCGGCGACCACCACGCGCTCGAGCAACTCCGGCGGATGTTGCGCCTACTCACGTCACTCAAGGTCGTGGCCGCTGGGCCGGGGCAGGACCCGGGGCCGCTCTCGCTCCTGCCGTTCGTGCTCCTGCGCATGCCCGAGTTGCGTGGGTGCGACCTCTCCACATCCGCTGCTTTGAGGAGGAGGCGTGGGAGTGGAGAGGAAGGACATGGGGAAGCCGCGAGCGTGCGGGGAAGGAGGAGGCAGGCGCCGCCCCTCGCCGACCGCCGCCCTTTTCCCTCTTTGCGCCTGTCTTCATCCCCCTCGCCGGCCACCAGCCTTCACTCTCTTCGCATCCGTCTCTGCCCCCCTCGCTGGCCGCCGCCCTACTCCCTCTCCGCGCACGCTTGCCGGCCGGCGAGGGAGCTCGACGAGGAAGGAAGGAAGGATAGCAGGGAGAGAGAAGGAGGTGCCGAGCCGCCGACGCGCCGTCGTCTGTGGATAGAGAAGAGGGCACGTGGGTCCTACTATTTTTTTCTTTTTTCTAACTGACATGTGGGCCCCATATTTTTGTTTTAGTTTTAAATTTTTATATTTTGCTTCTAGTGCCACCTCATCGCTATGTAGGATGATGACTAAGTCAAACCAGCCACGTATGTTCCACGTCAGCCAAAACCACCATCTAAACCGCTAAGGGACCTTGCTTGCACCGGTTTTGATAGTTGAGGGACCCGTTGTATCTGGTTTTTGGGTTGAAGGACGAAAATCAGGTTCGTCGACAAGTTAAGGGACTTCAAGTGAACTTATTCCTTCCTGCGGGTATATCATGGGAACCCTAAACCCTTCAGGCCCAACGACAAATGCAATGAGATACTACCATGTTGAAATTTTTTTTAAAACATTTTATTTATTAAATTATTTACAAAAATAATTCTCCGTTTGAAAGTTTTACTATACTAGTAGCCTCACACCCTAGGAAAGAGCCTTTTTTTGTGATGTGTCATACGGTCGTTGGCCCCCGCCGATAGGGGTACATTTTGTAGCGGTCCCCTTGCCGCCCAACCAGAGGACGTTTTTTATGCGAGAGGGGGCCACCTATAAAAGGGCGGCGAGAGTTGTCTGGCTATTTTGCAGATGGCACCCTTGGCAGTAAGGCGGCCTCCTGCAAACCCCAGCCAAGGGGGCTGACATTTTGCTAGCGACCCCCTTGCCACCCTCAAGGAGGATGTTTTTTTTTTACCCTTGGGTATAAAACCCCTTCACTCTCCCCCAAATTTTCAATATAATCACTCAAAATTCAGGAAAAAAAGAAAGGACGAAGGAGGGAGGGGTGAGAGGGGATAAAGGCAGCGACGAAGACCTGCCAGTTTGCTGCCTCCACCGCTGGTTAATACATTTATCTTCCTGTCATTGTCAATTTATGTGGCATTTTAGTATTAGTAGCATATATTTTAGTTAGATCGAAGATATAGATCATACAACATATTTGTAGAATTTGAGACCTAGGCATGCAACATGTTTATATAATTTGAAAGTTAGGGCATAGTAGAAATTGATGAATGTGGCATTAGATCTAGTTAGTATGATTTGAACTTAGTTAACCTACATTTTTTATCAGGCAAAATGTTAAGTATGGTCATATTTCAGTTAGTTCACAGTGAAGGCAATCTTAGATTTGGTCCAGATGGTGTTGATCTGTCGGATTTTAGCAATGACATCGAAGGGCATCTAAAGACCGACTAAGAGAACTTTTTAGTCAATTTATAGTTGGTTGTTGTGAAGATTAGAGTTGACCCAGAAATCAACACAATGTACGTATCTATTGTAGTTAGTCGTGAAACAGAAGGTTATTTCTAAGAACTAATGCTGATAAATAGCACTGTCGCCTAGAGATGATATGTGGAGATGACTTTTGAATAGTCATTGCCCCTTATTATTTTTGTGTTTGTGCATGAAAAGGATAACACTATTGCAATGGAAACATAAGATGTTGAGGGTCCAAGCCATGTGGGGGATTCTGTTGCAGCATTGATGGAAAATAAGGGAAATCAAACAGAGGTGGTACAAGCCATGGGCGTGGCAAATGAGGGGGAGAGAGTTGGAATAATCATTGATGAAATGGAGAGGGAATATTCGTATAACAAGCAACCAGAGGGCAATGCATCGTCTGACGAGGAAGATGATGTAATGCTCGTTGATTGGAAAAAAAAGGACTTCTTGGGGACTCGTTATCTCTAAGTGGGTTGTTGATGGTCGTTAAGTACAAACTTTAACCGTCAACTCCTATATAAAAGAACTAAAATATTATATCAAAACTTAGTGGTGGGGATTTATTACTAACCATTTCCACTAGCTTTGGTAAATATATGTACGCAGGTCATTTATGGATGAAAACACACCCGCCATGCGACAAAATGAATCTCCGACCAATCACAAGTGAGTACAAGGATAAGAGGGCCCACTTAAATAGTCAAAACTGACATAAAGTGGGGCTAAACCATCCTTAACCACCATAAAGGCCCACCTGTCAAAGACTGTAGAAGGTCGGTGGGCAGGGGAGGCTGACCTGGTTCGGCCGAAGCAAACTTGCCACCCCCAGCTCCCCCTTGCACGTGGCAACATCTCATTGGATGTCAATGGCGGTTATGGATGCACCTATCTTCCTAACCGCCATTCCAACTGTCATTGGCATAAAAGGAGGAGGCCTTCACACTTGGAAAACACAACTTGATCTCAAGTAGAGTACAACTCACTTGTTAGCATTACTTTAGTATGTGGGTTTAGTGAGAGAGTGAGGGAAAGCTCCAGAAGGAGTGTTCCAAAGTATCGGAGTTTTCTCTGAGAATTTCTGGAGGAGTGTCGGGTTTGTCGACATTCTTCCAACGGAGTTCCGGAGAAGTACCAGGATTGTAAGTGTTCTTTTCGCTTGTACATCAACATATGCTTCCTTTTATAAAGTAAGTGATTGAGATTCTTTTATGTTGTTTAATTAGTTTACTTAAGTGAGATATATTTTCATCAATGCAGGTTCGTCGCTTAGTTTATAATTAAGTGCTCTGGTACTATGACTCTAGATAAAGAAGAAAGTTCCTGCATAAGGCTAAAGTTGTATCCAATAGCTTAGGCGTGGTGTCTAGGATACTGATTACCTTCGTTTGTTGTGTGCTCCACGAAAAGTGAGGTAGGCGGCAGGTGGTAACAACATTATCATTTGTCACGCTCGGATATTCTATCAAAAATTCTGTACGCTCATGGGTGTAAAACCCTCATCCAGGAATCAGTCAAGGCACACAATAATAAATTGGTGAAAAAGTACAAGCCTTTAACTAATTATTAAACTAATATAAAGTCATTATAAAGGTAGATAGTTCTTCTCAGACATTAAAATTCTAGGCAGCGAAAAACAAAATAAAACTAGCGTAGCATACTCCACTCCACAAGAAGCTTGACTACGACAAGGCCTAATCCTCCAGAGCATCACCTTCGCTGAAGTACTCCTTCTCTGATGATGATTATTGCAAGGTGAGTACATGAAATAATCAGCAAGCCACACAACAAATATGAAAGTGCACAAGAGTACAAAGGATGGCATAATACATGCTCATTTGCATAAACGACATTTAATAAACTTTTTTAAAATTTATAAAATAATAAAGTACTTAATTAAACAATTTTAATCCACCGCTATACAACATACCCGTTGCATAGGTCCAACCATATCTGAACAACCATGCCCGGTTGAACAGACCCTATCTCCAAACCAGGAATTAACCATTCCAAACAAGGATTTAAAATAATTATCACTTATTATTATTTGTTGAGTAATTGAGACTAAACACGAAAGACATTGCTAAGCTCGCCCATAACCACGGGCATGGCTATTCGAATAGTTTTACTCTGGGAAGAAGTGTACAAATTTACCCACAAGACACAGCCCCACAACATGTTGCCATATGTCTTAATACCACCATGGTATCTCGGAAAGGAGCTGTGACAAGATATCTCGCATAACACAATTCAAAGTAGTGCACCATTCCCGAGTCATAGTCACCCCCTTTAGACCAGGGTATGGACTCCCCAGCGACCCCAGTGGGCTTATCTCTGCCACTTCTTAGTCTGACACTCCACCATGAACTATGCTATACAACGCATTTAGCCATTGCCAACGTTGGCTTGTGGTTAGTACGATTAATACTTCACAACAGTAGCTCGTGAACTAATCCTTAATTGTCATGAGCACGACCATCAAAACCATATGCTCACAACCTACCATTATCAGATTTTAGTTGGCAAATTCATTATTTGAACTATCACGATTGACAATCGTGAGCTACCATTAAATGAACAGCAATAAGTGATAGTGCAACATAAGTTATCCCATTAATGCACCGATCTTTCTAAGTAGGGCTAAGCATCCTAATAGCTTTAGCTAAACCGCACATAGTTCTAACTAATCAATTTATGTGCTAAGTAAAAAAAAAATGGCACTAAAGTGCCGGAGTAACCAAGTAATTACTAACAGAACTATACATCTTTTTTTTAAAAAAAAACCACAGAAAACATGAACATGATATAATTGTCCAAGTGATGTAAAGCCAGACTAGTAACTAAAAAAATTATAGAATAAAATCAATAGTTGCACAAATTTATATCCAAAATTGCACAAATTTGTAGTTGAAGTTGCACATGATTGAAAATGGTAACTTCGATGATTGGGGAGTGCAATTTGCATGTAAGGGTTCATTATTAGTCCCTGACTTCTAAAATCAAGACGACTTCCACCTGCAGCAGTCTCTCGCAAGACAGAACTAACACCAAAACAGAGTTTTTTTTTTGTTTGAATAACTAAGGCAGAGTATGGAAAAAAAATAGACTGAAGTATAACTCAGATTTCAAGATGTCGTTTATCGGGTAGCAACTATCTAGCAAATGTGTTGACAGAAAAATGAGTTGGTAAATAAATTAAAATTATGTTTAGCTTTCTTCAGTGGAATCAGCATCAGAATTCCCCATGTCTTCGCATACATCATTCGACGTGTAGTTGCCATCTGAATTCTGAATCTACCAAATCTCTTTGTTATGCTGAAAATGACAAAAGTAATGTATACATCTGTAGAAGTGTCCCCTTGAACAAAATATTAACCATTCCACCTCCCCAAAATAACAAATACACTTCAAAATCACCAAGAATATAGGAGTACTGTCCGTGTAGTTCGTATTCAAGAAACCAAAAACCGCATGCCTGATAAATTTCGACAAAATCAGCAATGAAGCAAAATCCATGTAATCTTGCTTTCTCACCATCCAATAAACCAAAACTCACAAAATAATTTGATTAGCAATAAGCAAAAACCCATAGAATCCCCTTGCAAATGTACAGAATGTCGATCCAATCAACCAGAACTTATCCAAATTCAGTAAGAACTCGCAAAAACAAAAAAAAAAGGGGCAACCTAAAATGATTTACAAAATGCATCATCTACATGCAAAACAAAAACAAAATCACCACCCTTAAATCTGCCAGGAGATCAAAATCGTCTTTGCACGCGGAACCCAAAAAAACTGCATGTTTGGATAATTCGTCAAAATCAGAATCAACAAAATATATATGTTTCTCAGATGAAAAGTGCAGAGCCGTGCTGCCCAGAGGAACTGATGGCATTGATGCTCTTGCACATCGATTACGACTCCAGACTCTAAGCCTCTACTAGCTCCTCTTTCGTGTCTTCACTTGCCACAGTACCACCAAAACTACCAAACCAACAGCACACATCAAGCACCAAAGGATCTTCGATCTAGCAGTAACCTGAAGATATACCACTCGATGTGTGCCACCAAGCTTGCCTCCCTGGCACACAGTTTCCCTCACGCATGCATCTTCGATAATCAAGGCCACCGCCGCCACCATCGACAAGCCTTCCTCGCTTGTTTCGCAATGGGATTATTCTGCTCTCTTCCCCCCAAACACCTCCTTCTCAACCCGTCCAATCAGCCAAAAAAAAAAAGTAGCAGATGCACATAGATGACGACTCATATACCTGAGAAATTGGTGAACGCTGGCTCGTAGACGCCGCCGGTCGCCGGAGTTCGTCTCAGATCCACGGGGAGGAAGTCTGCAGCAAATGTGGAGAGGGGAGCATCTTGATTTACAAGAGGCAGTTGGTGGAAAAAACAACATATGCTACTAGGGGAGCATCCATGGCCCATGGGTTAACGGGTCTGGTGAAGCAGCCTGTAACCAAATGTGCCTCCACTGCGTGCACAGATCTTGAAGCAGAATCTACTGCCAACAAAATCGACTGATGGATTAGAAAAAACTGCAGGTGACTGTAAAATAGCAAAGCTGAAACAAATTTGAGTCCAACTGAAGGATGTTTGTGTGCCATTGTATAGCACTGTATGGAAAAAAAATGGTTGAATTAAGTAGCATTCACGGCAAATTATCTGTTGTACACCTACCAATTGCATCAGAGTGTGTTCTACTACCAATTGAAGCTGCTGGTGTTGTGGTCAGAATAACATAAACTAAAATAAAACACTGGCTAATGTGTTAGTGTATTCAGATTTTGGTTTTCTGAACATCCAACCAACCCCTGTAACAAAGCAAATACCTTCCTAATACTCTACACCCAAAAAAAAATCCAGAAAACAATAGATCAAGAGTTTATTGGATTGCAGTAGTTTATCAGATTGCAGGAATCTGAACAGGACATGTAAATACCTATTCCAGATCCACCTTCCTTCATATTCTGCACAAGAAATTCAGACAAAAAACTTTAGAACATTGATGTTCAGATCTTTCTAGTTCCAGATTTCATATCAGTATAGGTAATGGCCCTTTCCCAAATCACCAAGAAAGACTTCTCCAGAAAATTATATCACTTTCTAGACTCGATTTAGTCAAATTTACTCATCACTATAAAACAGAATTGTTATCTATTACTAGGTACCATCTACCAAAATTAGGACACCACATAGCTAGAATTTTCCTTCAACTTGACACATGTAGCATTTTTAGAACACAAGATGCATATAAATCTTTGTTGGAATAGGAACAAGTTAGTAGAGCAAATCCAAATCAACATGATCCATCAAATACTATACATATACTAGGTCAATAAGTGAAGCATGGTAATTTCTGACATTGATTAAAAAATATGTGGATTGGAATTTAAACAAAACTAACATTTATTTTCATGAGAACATGCATGTTTTAATATTTCAGATTTCTAAACATGCTCTGTGCTAACAAATAAATTATCATCTTTAACAAATGAAAATTGTAAAAAACTAAAGTATATGACTAAAATAAGAACTTCAAATGCCAGCCTGACCAAATATAGATGAAATTTTCAGAAAACCAAATATGTGTCTGAATTAAGAATTTGTAGTACCTAACCAAAGGAAGATCAGCCAGATCAAAACTAATTCATATTTTAGAAGGTTACAAAACTAATAGAACTATTTTAGGAGGTTACAAAACTAATTAAGTTGAACATATTAGTGAACATTTTAGAGTACTAGGATATACTCAGAAGATATTTCTTCTATGGGACAACATCTCATAGAACGAAGGGTTGGGATCTAACTGTACATGATAGCCTTAGGTTCGACCATATGCAATGAAGATGAATCAGGCTTTTATTAGGGAATAGAAAATGAATCAGATTTGATCAAAATAAGCGGATGGGATCTGCAGCCACTGTTCGTTAAGGCGCTAGGTACTAATCTGGCAGCAGACAGCACCTAGCACCTAGATTCTGTTCCAATAAGCTAAGTTTCTGCACCAAGATGAGCTTCTTCATGCTCTGACTTCATCCCTACCGAGGAATGAACACAATCACCTATTATAATCAATTTAAGACTTTCATTCCCCTAAGCAACCAGCAAAAATTCCATCCACTCTTTGAGATTTCCCTAATACTATTCAAGTAATTTGTCCCAGTTATGTATTCTGCTTCATCGGTAACTCCATTGAGGGTTGTTGATCTCCAGGAAACGGCCAAAGGTTGCTAATGCATCATAAAATTTGCGGATCTTGAGATATCCCCTTATTGCAGAAACATCAGACTCTCTGAGGTCGACCTTTTCCATGATTATTTCAATGGCTCTAATGAAGTAATCATCCATACCCAGGTTTAATAGACCTTCAGCTAGCATACGGAAGGATGAGAACTCTGGTATGAACCCCTTATCAACCATCTCCAACATGAAATCAAAAGCTTCTTTAATAGGCCCTCCACCACGACAGAGCCCACGAAAAACAATCTTATATGTCAAAGCATCAGGAGGCTCACCAACCTCTGCCATCTCCCTGAAAAGACTCAGGGCATCTCTGATATTATTCCGTCTGAAGAGAGACTGGAGCACAGGATTGTAAGCTTTTGGAGTAGGCCTCATCCCTTTTATCCGCATACCTCTGAGTACCTTCAAAGCAACCTGTGTCCTACCAGCCTTGCATAGACCGTTAATCAGAGTACCGTACGTAACAACATCCACTTCAAATCCATTTGCAGTCATAGTTTCTAAAATATCCGCAGCCTTTTTTATGTCACCTTGCTTGCAATAATGAGTTAGAATAGAATTGTAAGTGATATTGTTAGGTTGCAACCCTTCACTTATCATTTGATTAATAAGCTCAAAAGCATCATCAATCTTTTTGTCCTTGCACAAACCATCGATGAGAGTATTGAATGTGATTGCATTCCTCGAAATGCCTTGCAGATCCATTTGATCAAAAACTTCTTCTGCTTCTTCTATTCTCATTTTCTTGCATAACCCGTCAATTATAGTGTTATATGTAATTGTACTTCGAGGACAACCAGTGGACTCCATATCTTTTAACAAATCCAATGCTTTACCAAGCTTCCCAAGTGAGCAAAGATTGTCAATCAAAGTATTGTATGTTACTTCATCCGGGGTGCATCCACTGTTCTTCATCTCTTCAAACAATCGAAGTGCAAGATGAGGATCGCCTACTTTGCAGAGCGCGTTAATCAGAATATTGAAAGTATAAACATCTGGAGAGACTCCCTTCACTGTAACCTGACGTGCAAGGTCCAAGGCTTCCTCAAGTCGATTCCCCGTGCATAAGGCAGCAATGAGAGTGTTGAATGTGGTAATGTCAGGCAAACAACCCCGATCCACCATCTGATTCAGAATTCCTTTTGCCTCTTCAAGCTGTCCATTTTTACAAAGGCAATTCACAACGATATTGTAGGTGAAAACATCAGGATCATGGCCCTCCTGAACCATCACATCCATGACTTTGAGGGCATGGCCGACATGATCATTTTGGCAGAGACCATTAACAAAAGTGTTATATGTGATCTGGTCAGGCTCAAACCCATCGGCAATCTCCTGCTGTATATACCCAAGAGCATCCTCCACCCTCCCTAGCTTGCAGTACCCATTAATCAAAACATTAACCGTCACCTTCGTCGCCGAGCACCCCATTTCCAACATCCTGGCTTTGACCCTCAGTGCAGCCTCGATGCTCCCCTCCTCGACAAATCCTTGCATCAGGGTGGTAAACGTCGTCTCGTCAGGCGCCACGCCTCTGCTAGACATTTCCTCGAGCATGAGAACTGCAGTCCTGACCTGATGTGCTCGGCACAACGCCTTCATCAGTGTGTTGAATGTGACAACATCAGGCTTGATTCCCCTAGCACCCATCTCCGAGTACACTGATTCAAGGAGTTTCATTTTGCTCCCCTCCACAAGAACATTGAGAAGGTGATTGTACACCACGGTGTCTGCCTGAATGCCAAACAATGGTTGGAGTTGATTCAGAATCAGGTCGACGGCATCGTCGAACAGCTGCTGCCCCTCGTAGCTGTCCAAGAAGGAGTGGACTACGCCCAATTTCACCTGGTGCCCCTCCCGCCGCATCTCCGCGACGAGCACCTTCATGAGGTCGAGGGCCCCGACCGCGCCGAGCTTGCGGATGATCTCCTCGTAGACCTCGGGGCCGGGCGCGAAGTCGTCCCGCGCCAGCGCCGCGTTGAGCATCCGGAGCGCCGCGTCGGGGTCCGGCTGCTCGCGCAGGGCGGTGAGGAGCTGCTCCTGGCCAGCCGCCCGGAGAGGGCCGTGCCGGGAGGCGCGCCACCTCGGCCGAAGCGGCCCTACTCCGACATGGCACGGGCACGGCGGCGGCGGCGCCCGAGGGGCGGCGCAAACGCGGGGCATTGGGGTTCAGTTCAGCTCAGCTCAGCTACCTGAAAATCCAGCGGAGCCCTCGGGTGGTCGCTCCTTTCTGCGTCAACCCGCCGGCGATGTCGTCGTCCCCGCCTCAGCCTGCGCCATGTCCGGGTCGTCAGGTCGTGGGCAACTGGGCAGAGGAGCAGCTAAAGTAAAGTACAGGTGGGGAAGAGAGCGCATGCACAGGGAGAGGGAGGAAGTGGCCGCAGGACCCGGCGGCGGAGCGACAACTTTGCGGGCGTGCGGCGGCGTGTTCTCCGTGAAGGCAGGCAGAGGGGAACAGGAGGAAGGGATAAGGCAACAGTTTAGTTTTTTTAAGGATAAGTCAGTCCGCCTTTTAGTGGTGTTTTGGGAATCACTCCTTCACTCTTTCCCAAACACCACCTTACTACCATTGTGGATAATACTAGAATATGACTATGGTACTTTAGTTTTTTCGGTTAATACAGGATAATTTATTCAATTGGTCATTCTCAACGGATGTTGTACAGAATGGTTCTTTCTTCAACGCACCAAAATTTGTTGAGTTTCCAACATCCGCTAGAAAGCTTATGCATATTTCTACCTATCTTCAAGGTTTGCCAGACGAAAAACCTCCATTGCTTGTCAAAACACATGGTAAGTAAATTATGGAAGCCTTGAGATGCATCATGCCATGGAATAACTTTGTAGTTTGATAAAAAAAAACAACTAAATGTATTAATAAAGAGGTGAGTTCTGAAACTGAATAGCAGCTAAATGTTTTTTTGCAGCAGGGTGACTGATTAGGGGTTGGTAGAGAGAGAGGAGGTGGAGGGGTGGCGCAGGAGTGGATATGTAACTTTAGAGGGAGACTTGCATCGCGACGATGATGGAGATCATGACCGGGGGAGTGGACTGCATCGCAGCGGCGAATCAGTGGGGACAACAAGACCTTCGCGAGGGAGGGAGAAGGCAGCGGCGTTTTCGGAGTCCGCCGCGCGGAGCCCTCCCTACGCTAGCGATGGTTCGACGGAGGTGGTGGCAGCGGGGGACTGGACGGCATGGGGGAACGGGCAACGACGCGGGCACCTCCCAGCGTTGGCGACGGAGACGGTGGCAGCAGGGGACTGGACGGCGTGGGGAACGGGTGACGACGCGGGCACCTCCCAGCGCTGGCGACGGCGATGGTGAATGCCCTCCCCACGCCAGCAGAAGGAGACGAGCGCGTCGTCGGTTGGATCGGGAACCGGAGTCCTCCCTGCACCAGCAGCGGTTTGACGGAGGCGGTGGCGGCAGGGGACTGGACGGCGTGGGGAATGGGGCAGGGGGAGCGACGGAGACGAGCACGTCGGCGGTTGGTGATGGGGGTGATGTAGGAGGAGGAGGAGCACGATGCAGTGATGGGGCAGATGCGTAGGAGGGGAGCGCGTGGGATCTCACGATCGTACGATTAGTATTACGCGTGTCTGACAGGGTTGAAATCACCGTCACCACTACGGTTTTTTTAAGTAGTAGTATAGATATAGATATGAGCTAACAGTGTGGTGACAAAACTAAGTACTTTTAGCTTACAAAACAAAACAAAAAAAAAACAAAACGATAAAATAATGCAGCTCATGAATATTACACACAAAACGAACAAGAGTGTGCTTTTAGTACTCTGTGTTCTTACCCTAAGTTTCCCAACTCATCTCCCTCGTTTTTCGCGCGCACGCTTTTCAAACTGCTAAACGGTGTGTTTTTTATAAAAGGTTTCTATACAAAAGTTGCTTTAAAAAATCGTATTGATCCTTTTTTTTAAAAAAAAATAGCTTAATCACGTGCTAATGGATCGTTCGTTTTTCTTACGCACTGTTCCGGTTGGGAACATGCTCCAGCGAAGACAGCTAATCCAGCAATCAACCGTCGAGCTAACCAACAAAGCAACCATTGGGCAAAATACCAAAACTACGAATGGGACACACAACCTTTTTGTTGCAACTTTTTTGAAAAAAAAAACACAAAAATGTTACATAACTATATCAATTAAATTTGGTGACCAAAACAAAGAGAATAGTGAAAGGAGAAAATCACAAACAATGCATTCTAATAAAACAAGGTTAGTAGGCTTGCTAACAAACTACACAAAAACTAAGTATAATTAGTAGGTTAATCAGTAGGAGGTACTGTCCATTTACACAAAACTAAGTACAATTGGTATCAAACAAAACTGTCTTATTAGTATCTTCATTGCTAACAAAACTGACAAAACTAGTTACTCTTCACCAACTACCTACAAAGCCATAAATTAGAACTGACGACCATTCTTCACAACTTTGTTTCTATATTATGATTAATAAAAATGGAAAACTATAAGATAAAAATTCAGAGAAGATGTCAGGACCTATAAAATTTAGAGAAGCTGAAATGTGGGCTATATATTCTGCAAACCATGAGATGCAAGCTGTGCAAACAATTGCAGATTGCAAGAAGGCAAATCATAAAAGAAAATATAATCATATAAAGATACAAAGACAAAACTAGTTAAGTAGTGTTTGTAGGAGAGACAAATATATCCATGTAAATTTACAAAATTAAATGCTATTAATCTCCATTGAACAAAACTGAATTGAAGTGAATTCAAGTGAAATGCTATTATGCTAAACAACCAAAACTGAAGATTATTTATTATTGTGTTAAAAATTGAACAAAAGTAAGCCATCTTCAGAAGTAAACGAAACATACAGAACTAGCTTTATCTGTATGATCTAGCATACATATGCATGAAAAATCAGGATCGATCGAGAGAGCCAGGGAGATCAGGTGTCATGGGCATCCCTTGATTAGCTGCTTGTATTCTTGTACTAAGGAGAAGCAGAGGAACTATGTATTCTTGCCGTGCTACATGCTGTGTGGAATCAAACAACAATAATACAATCTTTTTACTGACAGTTACCCAAAAATAAACAAATCAGTGAACAAATGGATCATTCCCTCAATTTGATCCTCTAAACCTAGGGAGACTAATCCCCATGGCTAATCCTCTAAAACCAACCAGACTAATCTCCAAAGGTAAAATTGCAAAACAAATTAGGTAGTGATTTTGCTCTAATAAAAGAAGTGTGAGATCAAGCTCTAATCACACAACCTCCCTATTTGCAAAACAAAGTGGAGACAAACCAGCAGCTCTATCGATAGATCACTTTCGTGTAGTGGCTAGCTGAATCTGAGGTAGACATTCCTCCCCCATTCGAAAAATATTTGCTCAAATAGAAACAGAATCATGTATATAATTATTTTAAACTTAAAAAATGGAATAATATGATATTTTAAAACAACTTTCATATAGGACTTTTTTGCAAAAAAGCACGCAGCTGTTGCCTAAGAGCGTGCTGATGCTGCTGAACAGCGAGCAGTAGCGATGTTTGAAGCAGCCAAACGATCCTTTGTCCCCTGCTTACCTACGGAGAAATATATTTTGCAACACAGTTTACTCGATGATTTAGCCATTTTTCATATTAGGTGTAAATGGATCCACAAAATGCGCTTCTAGTTGGTACTGCACTACAAGGAGTTCTGAAGTGTGACATTCAAGTTCATAGCGACGCAAGAAATAAATACATGAAAGTAAACATTTAGCACTTTGTAAACCACTAATTCAGAACACTCATCCCTGGTTCTTCCTCTTCCTGCATATATTGAGGATTCTCATACAAATTAGAAACGATCAGAGCAGTACCACAGATGGTTATGGTATCAATGATAAAATGGATTTGTACAAAACGTGAGTTGGATACGCTATGCAAATCTACAAAATCGATTCACCCATATCTTGAGTTATTTTGATAACGTTGGTGCTTACCAAGCACTACAGGGAACAAATATTATGATTATGATGCAGTATGAAGCTGTATCAATTATGCGGATACGTAGATTGAAATAGCTACATAATTAAAACATGTGAACCGATGATCACTTCGGTATTTCCAAATACTTGTACTGGTAGTGACATGGTAGTGATCACTTTTAACTAGGAATTGTGCCGTCTATAGGGCTTCTGATTTATTCTCCATTTAGATTGAAGCCAATTTGAATATTGAATATCCATTAGCAAGAAAGGGGTAGCATGTGAATCAGGGATTGAGCTTGGCTGCAGTACCATAATACATAGCTATGTGTATGCTTGTAAGAGCCACTATCACTGAATTAGCCCACGCACTGATGCTATAAGAATAAAACTGACATACTTCAATTCTACATGCTTAATTCCAGTGGACAATGCAAAGACACCAAACAAGGCTGGAATTCTCTTGTGGAACATCAAAGTGGCGTCCTAGTCCTAACACTGACACCACCAATAATGTAGAAACAACCTAAATTGCTTAATCATTTCAACAGGACACAATTGCTTTTACCATCAAAACCAACAGCATTTCTAGACCACAGTCGCCCTACCTAGCATCAAAAGCTGAGGCTCTAGCCTAATTAAATTGCAGATGCACACCCAGCAGGTAATTAATTAAGATGCAGGTGTATGTATACCATGTTTAGGCCTGGTTTAGTTCCCAATTTTTTCTTCAAACTTATAACTTTTCCATCACATCAAAACTTTCCTACACACACAAACTTTCAACTTTTCCGTCACATCATTCCAATTTCAATCAAACTTTCAATTTTGACGTGAACTAAACACACCCTTAGATTGAATTGAAGTACTTGGAAAACTCTGAGGGGAGGAAGGACTGGGGATAGCCCGACTTCGCCCTGACCATGTCGGCATCCTCACCGGAAAGGTCCTCCTCCCCGTTAACATATGGAACAACCGACAACACTATCTTGCTGGCTATGTCAATGGTCACCACCGACATCTTCCTGATCATGCGGTCGTAGTCGCAGGTGAGGAAGTGCATGACGCTCGGCGTGTCCATGCTCACGGTAGGGAACAGGAGAACCTCACGAGGCTCGAGCTCGGGGGCGCCCTCGAAGGACCGAAGAATCTCGTCGGACGCGATCGCGAAGTCTTTGCTCCAGCTCCACTCGTCATCAATGGCGGCCGCCCCTAACGTCGACCTCAGAGTGTGGCAGGTGATGGTGTAGCCTCCTCGTCCTTGTTCTAGGGAGCCCAGGAGCTTGCCGTCGTGCCGGCTGACGTCGGCGAACTTGAGGGCGGCGCCGCCGGTGGCGGCGGTGGTGACGGACACGCCGCGGTACACCTGGGAGAAATTGCGGCGAGATCGTCTGCCGGTAGGGATGATCGAGCTGTCCAGAGGAAACCGGAGGAAGGCGACTCTAGGGCTTGTCCGCAGCACGTCGCAGAGGAGCATGCCTCGGTCGTAGTCCACCCAGCAGAGGTGGTCTTGGAAGGCGATCACGGCGTCGGTGGTCCAGTAGAAGATGTCGCAGCGCTCCTCGTCGCCGTCGTACACGATCGGCAGCTCCATGATATCCCACGGCCGCCGGCCGCCGCCTCCATGATCTCCATCTTCTGCTTCATCTTCGTCTTTGGAGGAGGATATGGCCGAGCGGAGCACGCACAGCCTGGCTTTGACTCTGCCACTGGCGGTTCTGAGGACCTGCAGCTCGGCGACGGCGAACTCTTCGCCTCGGCACAGGATGCCGACGGACCGGAACTCCAACGGATACCGCATGGATAGGTCGTTGCCGTCGCCCTCATCATGGTAGGTACATGGGGGGAGGGCCTTGAGTAGCGGCGAGGGAACTGGGTGGTGGTCGACGTCGCCGTCGCCGGAGCCGGACGCGGTGAAGATGAAGTAGTCCTGCGGGCAAGCCGGGCCGGAGGGGGACTCGACGATGTAGCAGAAGCAGACGAGGACGAGGTTGCGGTGGGTGGCGACGAGGGGGCACGCCACCATCTCCTCCGGGTCCGGGCCCTGCGGCCACCGCACGTACAGGCGGGAGATCGCCGGAGGGTCGGCGATGCGGAAGGCGATGGTGAAGGGGGTCCCGTGGGATCCGGAACCGGATGCCCTCAGTACTGTAGCCCTGGTGTCGTCGTCCCTGCGGAAGACGAATCGCTCCAGCATCACCCAGTTGGGGAAGGAGGAGGCAGAGGCGGAGGCGGCGGCGGCGGACATCGCCATGGATCGGTAGAGATCCTGAGATGGATTGGGGAAGAATAAGTCTACTTTGACTCCCTAAACTATTGAATTTGATTCGTTTCTCTGGATTACAAAACCGGATATCTCGACCCCAAACTATTGAAATCGCTGCAATTTTACTCCCTCGGCGGTTTTAGAAGACTATTTTGCTGACGTGACACTTACATGGCGATGTTGACCTGGTCTTTGTTCAACGTGGCAGCAACGAGGCATTAGAATTAAAAAAACTATGTGGGACCCATTTGTCATTCACACAAAGAAAAATTGTGGGACCCATTTACATGTGGGGCCCACATATCATCCTCTCTCCTCTTCTTCCTCCTCCCTCTCTCTCACTTTTCTCTTTCTTTCTCTTTTTTCCCGTTGCTCTTCTCTTCGGCCGTTTGCAAGGAGCGGGAGTGGACCATCGGCAGCGGCCTCCTCACTTCGCCGTCCCTAGGCCTTGCATGTTCGCCAGCCGCATCAGCTGCTTCGCCTCCTTCGCTATCACCTCTACCTCACCATCCTTCCCGGCACCGTCGTAGGCTCCACAGCCGCTGGGAGCAAAGCATACCGGCACCGCTAGAGCTTCCCTAACACCGACACCGCCGTGACGAAGCGGACGCGGAGGCAGACACTGCGGTTGTGGTGGCAGCGTGGAGAAGGAAGCGGGAGAAGTGCCACATTGACATCGCCCGTTCTGTCTCTTTCTCTGCTTGAATCGCGTGAGCAAAAGCGGGGGGGGGGGGGGGGGAGGGGGTAGGTTGGGGAGATGATAAGGGACAGGGAGGCGGTCAAAGTGGGTAGCGGGGAGGCCGTCAAGGGAGATGGGGAGCAGAAGGGATTGCGGCGATGGTCGAGGGAGCGATGGGGTTGGTGGTGGTGTGCTTCACGGCGGTGACAGACTTCGTGGGTGAGTGGATGCACGGTCGGTGTAGTCACCTCGTCTTCGCCACTCCATCTTGAGGGTGAGCCATTGCTGCGCCTTGAGGCCGCCACTCCGTCTCAGGTGGAGCCCCCTCACGGATCCCTCTCCCCAGCCATCACTGCCAATTGACGATCCTTAAGTACCGAATTCAACCGTCAAAACCTGCATAAAAGCAAATGAAATAATATAAAATGGAACGCCAAAAGTGGCTATTACTAACCATTTCCGCAAGTCTTTGTGAATATTTGTATGCAGGTGAATTATGGACAAAAACCACCCACCATGTGATAAAATATACCTCCGGACAATCAGGACGCATTTACACGGATTGAAGAACCCATATGTCAATCAAAACCACTTAGAATTGAGCCCAGCCAAAGTACAATATGCTAGGGGCCCACCAGGTAGCCTCCCAGCCAAAAGGAGTGCCCAAGAGGTAGGCCAGAAGTTCGACAGAACTCCTAGCTCTGCTGAACCAACTTTGCACCCTCTTGTCATTTGCTTCCACGTGTACGCTCCTGATGACTCCCCGACGGCGGTTATGCGTGGTTCCGGGCTTAATCGACTTCCAAGCCGTCATTACAACACTGTAAAAGGAGAAGCTCTCACTCTCAAGCGCACACAACTCAAGTGTAGTACAACTCACTTTGATATTTAGGCTACTCTCTAGTAGAGTTAGAAATGGGAAGAGAGTGAGGGAAGCTCTGAAGGGAGTGCCCCAAAGTTTGGAGTTCTCTCCGGGGAGTTCGGAGGAGTGCCGGAGTGTCGGCACTCTCTCTGATCTTGTGTTATTTAATTAGTTTACTTAAGTATTCTTATCGGTGCGGGTTCGTCGCTTAGTGTCTAACTGAGTGCTCTAGTACTAACTTACTAAGATTTTGGATAAAGAAGGTAGTTCTTGGCCGAGGCTAGAGTAGTAATTGATAACGTAAACGTGATGTCTAGGTTAGAGGCTACCTTCATTTGTTGTGTGCTCCACGAAAAGTGAGGTAGGTGGCAGGTGGTGACATCCATGTCCGTCCGTTGCATCTCTCCACGTTATGATACATCATAGAGCTCAAGATCAGACTTAGCTTGGCAGACCAGGGGAGGGCCGGTGTCTGAAGCATTCGATAGAGTTTTACCTTTAACTTAGGTTAGCCAGTTGAATCCATAGAAATCCTCTCTATCCTAAGCCTACCATTCGATAGAGTTTTACCTTTAACTTAGGTTAGCCAGTTGAATCCATAGGAATCCTCTCTAGTTAGCCAGTTAAATCCATAGGAATCCTCTCTAGTTAGCCAGTTGAATCCATAGGAATCCTCTCTAGTTAGCCAGTTAAATCCATAGGAATCCTCTCTATCCTAAGCCTAGGTTAGCCAGTTGAATCCATAGGAATCCTCTCTAGTTAGCCAGTTAAATCCATAGGAATCCTCTCTATCCTAAGCCTACCATTCGATAGAGTTTTACTTTTAACTTAGGTTAGCCAGTTGAATCCATAGGAATCCTCTCTACCATTCGATAGACCATTCGATAGAGTTTTACCTTTAACTTAGGTTAGCCAGTTGAATCCATAGGAATCATCCCTACCATTCGATAGAGTTTTACCTTTAACTTAGGTTAGCCAGTTGAATCCATAGGAATCTAGGTTAGCCAGTTGAATCCATAGGAATCCTCTCTATCTTAAGCCTAGTTGTTATTCTTGGTTGAATCCTGTTATTAGATATATACACATACCGATACCCTTGGAATATTCTAAGGGGAAGTATTGCAACGGTATCCATGCGCTGACGAATTTATCTGTGTGCGTAACAAATACTAACAAGCATTTCTGGTGCCGTTGCCGAGGAAAACCCCAACTAACCTTAACCTCATAGCAACTCATTGATAACAATCCGACCCAGGTAGGGTTGGCCGAGGCCCAATAACACCCCAACAGTTCTTTGGCACACCCACTCAGGGAAATGCCCAATCTCCCTAAAAGACTAGTCCAATAGGGGAAGGGTGGTGGCTCTCCCTTTTAAGGTGGCTTCCTCCTCCCAAGCTAAGCAATGTGGGATTATTCAGAGGCTCACACGGTCGCCGCCCGACTTTGGCGTCTTTGCCAGCGGGTAATAGTGAAGAATGTCCTCATCATTCACTTAAGGTTGCCCGGACCCCAACAGTTCTTTGGCACACCCACTCAGGGAAAGGCCCAATCTCCCTAAAAGACTAGTCCAATAGGGGAAGGGTGGCTCTCCCTTTTAAGGTGGCTTCCTCCTCCCAAGCTAAGTAAGGTGGGATTATTCAGAGACTCACACGGTCGCTGCCCGACTTTGACGTCTTTGCCAACGGGTAATAGTGGAGGATGTCCTCATCACTCATGATGTTGCAAACGATCTCACTACATTATGGCGACCGAATCGACCCAAAGATATATGTATCCAATGTCGAAGTGAAAAAAGCCACAAATTTCCTAGGAGAATGACTTCTCTCATGGCGAGAGACGTTCAAGGAGAAGGTAAAGACTATGTTAATCAACCCTCCTCTCCTAGCCAGTAAAGACTACGTTAATCAAACCTCTTCTCCTAGCCATCTCGTGATTGCTAGGGGAGAAGAAGCGTGAGGTGCTCACAAATACTTTATCAGAAACGAGGCATATGTGAGTAGGACATGAGAGTACTGCCATACCGTTATAAGGCCGCCACCATTGACAACACACATTCAGTGTAGTTTTCCCATTGCAATGCACGGGCACTTTGCTAGTCAAAGTAAAAGTAAGAGTAGAACTCATGAGTCCTACCAGGACAAAATCCCTCACGTTCCAAGGTTTTTATACTGTTTTATTTACAATTGTCCAAAATTGAGCTCTCTCTGCCTGTCAAAAAAACAGAAAAACTACTCAACCGTATCCCGTGGAAACATAATAAGTGGATAACGCTTCGATCTTATCCATTCCCCTTCACTCTCTGAGTCTTCGTCTTCCTTCTCCGCCTCTCCTATTTCACCCTCTTTTCCCCCCTCCCCCTCCTCCCTGTTGCAGAGAGCTTCTCTATACAGGCATGGCGGCAACAAAGCAAGCCCCCGAAAACGGATCCCTTCCCCCTCTTCCTCACTGCTAGATCTACCCTGAGTGCACGTTGACTACAAGGTCCTGTTGCCTCCTCCTCCGTCTCATGCTTTTGAGGGCACCCACTGGATCTAGCTCCCATGGAGGAAGGGGGCAACCAGCTAGGAGGGAGGCTATCGGGAAGGAAGCTGACCAGCGTGGACTTCTCGACCTCCTTTTTCTAGGCGCGTTGCCGATGGTGATGGAGGGGCAACCTACGAAGCTTCTAGATCTAGAGCTTTCATTGACGGCGACATGATCGTGAGCCATCATGATCATTGCCGGAGCGTGTGTAGGTACGTCGTGCTATGTATCGGGTCTGATACCTGGTAGGTACCATGGTTAGTACCCATGGTATCATGACTTACCCATAGATAGCAAACCTGATACCTGGTACCTGCGAGGTATCAAGTATCATGGCTGGTTGTGAGGTATCAAGTATCATGGTTGGCTGCAAGGTATCAAGTATCATGGCTGGTTGCGAGGTATCGGGTATCATGGCTGGCTACGAGGTATCAAGCACCACACGCCCTCTCTCCTCTTATCCCTCTCTCCTCTTATCCCTTCCCCTCGACTTGATCCTTGTGTCCTACTACTACTGCAACTTCACGGCTAGGGACTAGTCGACGTTTGAGATCGCAACTACGGTATTTTGCATAGTATGGGGATTGTTGGCTTGTCTTGGCGTGTGTTAGCTTGATCTGTTGTATGTCATGTCTTGATTTGTTGTTGTTGTTGTTGTTGTGTCATCTCTCCCCTAGGGAGTCTTGTATTTATACCAATAGATGTCCCCTTGTCCAAATAGAACTAGGAAGACCAATATGGATACAATCCAGGTAGTCCTTGTCGTTTCCATATAGAACTCTATTCATCCTTCCTTATCCGGATCTCCTTCTATATACGATGTATGATTCTCTATAAGACTTGGTACATAGTGGGTCCTGCCGAGCTTAGTCAACTACTATTAGGTATGTGGTATCCATAACCATGACAAATGTCACTCTCTACGTCGCCCTAAGTGTTGGTTCAAGACGTCAGGGGCGCGATACCAAGGAGGATATTGGAGGAAGAGGGCACTGCTGCTCTGGTTAGCTGCGGTGGCACTCCCTCGACGACCTAGGAGGATCCGGCTAGGGAAAGTAGCGAGGAATCGCGTGGACAGCAGGCGACACGGTTGAAAATATCTATTAATTTATCGGGTGTTTAATTATCCAGTGAAAAATCAGCATTATTTACAATTGTCCAAAATTAAACTCTCTATGCTGGTCTGCGCTAGCTGCCCTCCTAAAAAAAATCAGCATTATTTACAATTGTCCAAAAAATCAGCATCCGGCCACATAAAATCTGAATCGGCTTTCCGTAGGCTAAACCGGGAAACTACTTCTCCCTCCATAATCTTAAACGGAAACCCAATCCTTAATATAAAGTTGGACACATATTCTGAATAATAGTAAGTGTGCACGTGCAAGGCACGTTAAACATTCATGGTTTTACACTAAGAATTGAGTACACCCTATTTCAGCTAATATGAAGAAAAATAAAGATGGATGAGATTATTTATACTGTTTGGAAGGTGCTATATTATTATATCCCTCGTTTTTCTGGAAGGAATGGATCACAAGAAAAATATGTGTGAATGTATGGAAACCAAATAATAGAGAAAATTACAAAAAAAGAAAATATGGCATTGTCATCAACAGAGTTGTCCTCCAGCTTCAATTTAAAAGAAAATTGCAGCCCGATAAGAGGACGAATACTAAAAGCAACTTATTTTATAAAGTAGTATTTCATAGTATAGCAATAGTACCAAGCCAAGCTTTCATATTAAGGCCAAGGATTAAACCACATTTCAATTGGACACAGTATAAGCAAAGCGATTCAATCCATCCATTATATTATATCTTGAATGGGCAGTGGAAATCGAAGAGACATTCAGAATCGCCAACAATACACAACGCATCTAGCTGAAAATTTTGAAAACTTGGCTTACTTACAGTTCCGGATGACTAAGGCACTCCTTTTATCCAATTTATTCAGTTTAACCTGTTGCAGTAGTCAAACTAAAATTAAATTCAAATCAAACCTACAAATATTTATGAAATATCAGTAAAATCCAACTTCTAAAATATATCCAACTAAAAAACATAGTAAAAAGCACATCAATTTTAGAAATTGCTTTGGCATAGAAAGCTACCTGAATGTCAGTTTTTGTGGACGCAATATCAGAAAATGATGGGCAAATGATAAACCATTAGAAGACTGAATTTAGACTAAAAATAAAAAGTAAAACCTATTGTGACCAACCACAACTGCCATCTTAGTCTACCCGTTGGCATGGTCATCCCAAGGAACTCAAATAATAAGTGCTTGCATTATGACATGAACTTGACATTAAGCTTTGTCAAGAGATAGTTCCATGTGATTCCCTTGAAAACTTTAATATATTCAACTTGCTCCTAGCATTTAACTCAGTGAACATTTTGACATATATCCAATTTATCAATACATGAACTATTTTATAAGTATGGTCACTGCTTCAGAATTGTGGAGACAATTGCTGAGAAATCCATCCTCTCTGGCATTTAGCTGTGGAGTAGTTCGGTGATAAAAACATTAATAAATCAACATCCTATATATTTAGGCATCTGTAAATTATAAATTATAAGTAGTGCAATATATAAAATAACAAGTTTTTTTTTAAATTAGTACTACTTTCTTCTGGATGATATTGATCTGGAGCCCTTGCCTCGCTTGTAATCCATCTCCTAGAGTGGCCAGAAAGGAAGAGCCAAAGATGTGCAGTGGTCAGGTGCAGCAGCTTTGCTGCTCTCCCCTGCTGTCAACCATCCATATATACCAGGCCATTATTAGATTTACATGGGAAAAAATAATTAATCCAAACATATAACTTGGCCATAGCTGTATATGTATAACATATGTAACTTGTTTGTCTGCAAATTTAAATGGTAAAGTTTCACAATTTGTTGGAATTGAAAATTATATTTTGTATAGCTCACTTGACACTGATCATCCGTCAGTAATCAGCTCGTTTCAACCTGTTGTGGATGCTACATATTGTATCTCAGCTGAATTGAAATGCCTGACAGAGGCAATAAGATATATTGAGCTATTTCTATAGGAACTGCAGAAAGCACTGCTTTTTTATTCCCTAAAGAAACAGTACCCATTGTTTTCCTTTTGGAAACCTACATTGATATAATCAAATATAGAGAAATATGGAGCAATATAGTTTATTTTACTCCTATGGCAGTAGATGATTTGTGATCTTCAGCTTAGTCTTCAGGACTCACTGTATCAACATATTTTAGTAACAATATAAACCAAATTTAGTAAAATCTAAGTGATTGGTATATGAAGTCCAGAATTAAAAACATCTCCAAATCTAAGCCATCATACCAGTTTCATCTCAGAGTTAATAGGTGCAAAATCTAAACAATTAGAAAATTAGGTTGGACATATCGATAGAGATTAGTAAAATCTAAGCTAGTGCTACATGAAGCCCTGAACTGAACTAAAAAAAATCTCCGAACCTAAGTCATCCTGCCATGTTCATTTCAGAGTTAATAGGAACAAAAATCTGAAAAAAAAATAGAAAATTAGGTTGCACATATCAACAAATTAAGATTAGTAAAATCTAAGCGAGTGATATATGAAGTCGTGAACTAAAAATAGTCTCCAAACCTAGGCTATCCTGCCATCTTCATTTCTGAGTTAATAGATACATACATCCGAGCAAATAGAAAATTAGGTTGGAGAGGGTATTCAATTGAACCTAGCTTTTTAGCAGAAAATGAAAAGGAAAAGAAAAGTTATTTAATTGAAGATGTACTTGCAGCTCTGAAATTAAAAGATATTCAATTGAACCTGACTTTTAGCAGCAAAACAGAACCATCGCATCAAGTGCAAGTTGGGGAGCTGTTCAGAAGCAAAACGCCACAGTTGGAACACTTTGAATTCAGATGAATTTTACTGAATGGAGGCAAACATGTCATGCCAATCGGTCTGGCACTACTGCTGAATCCAAAAGAAATTAATTATTAACTGATCTATAAAACAGATCTTAGCAGCTGAGCAATTATACCTCTAAGTTTACGACTAAATGCTAATCAACTAAAAATCTGTGAGTGTTTCAGTTGCAACGGAGTAAATTAGTAACTGCAAGAACTGAACCTATGGCCAAATGTAGATTGCATACCAGTATTTGTGATTTGGGTTCCAGGTAATCAAATAGTCTACTTTGTCGATAATATAGTGGACACATACATTCAGAAAATAGGAACAACGCGATTTTTTTTAGTTTCAGTGTGAGAAAGAGAGCAGACCTATCAAGCCTCAACAATCATCAGATCATGGAGCGATTTTCTTTATTTCTTAGTAAAGCTTCCTTATGGACAATTTAAGTTCCTGAATATGCCAATCATGACTCATGAGCGGTGTGCCATTCTCAGAGCCAAGAACGAGATCGATGTCACAATATGTAGAACCAACTTTGCTGCAGTAAACTGAAGCAAAGCAAATGAGCACAGATGATATGACGATGCCTGGCAAGCTTTCTATGCTGCGATTCATCCCAGGGAGATGATCGGTACGGAAAACAACAGTTCTACCAAGGTCACTTCGCTATTCTCAGATAGTCAGATGTATTATCATTATTCACAAATCACAACAGCAGCAGGAATCAAGTCTGCCCTGCATTTGGGTTGGTTCCAGAACCGTGCGGTGATTGTTGAAGAAGAGGAAGGGGGAAGCAATGGATGAGTACCTGCTTGACCACCATCGTCGGCGAAGCGAAGAACGTGTAGCACGGCCTGCCCGCTGACCTGAACAGGATGGAGGAGCGGGAAGCCTCGCCGGCGGCCGTCCTGACAACCTTCTGCGGCGGCGGGGTGATCAGCTGAGGAGGGGGCGATGGGGTTGGAAGGGGCGGTTGGAGGAAGGGCGGCGTTCCAGTGGTGGCGGCGGACCCGGCGACGTGCGGTTGCCGCGGAGGACGTTGATGACGGCGGCTGCGGAGGGCTAGAAGGGAGGGGAGGCAGCAGGACGGATGTGAACCTCGCCGTTCCGGCGCCGGCACGGTGCAGCACCCGTCAGCAGGGGAAGGGGGGATGCGGGGCGGTGGGGGGCGGGCGCGTTACGCGCGTAGGAGGCGGCGGCGGCGATGCGGCCCGCTTCCTCGGCAACGACGACGGCTCCGGCGGGAGGCGGCGGCCACAGGCGATCCGAGGCAGCGGCGGGGTAGGGAAATCGGGAGCGCAGCCACGCGAGCGGAGCGGCGCCGGCGGGCGCGCAGGAGGCGAGCGGCGGGCGGCGCCGCGCAGGAGGATAGGTTTTCCCTTTTTTTTTTCGGCGGCGGTGGGTTCTTTTCTTTTTTTTTTCGCTAACCGCTGTTTACCACGTGGAATCGCTAATTGCATGAGTTGATCCAACTTTTAATATAAACCGTTGGATGAACAGATCTATGGGTCAGGAGAGAGAGGTGTTAGATGAACTGGTATTGGCATATATATATATATATATATATATATATATATATATATATATAGAGGTTCATGTAAGTACTATTCTCTGTCCTCTGCTCATAGATTCCTGGGCCCAAGATATGCCCTCTTATAGATTCCATTATTTCTTTATGTCCCATTCAATTTACCTTTGGACCTTTGTAGATTTTCAGAAAATTTCTTTATTCATTATTCATGGATTTAATTTCCAATGTGAATTTGTGGGATGCTATTATTTTTTTTAACCATGGGCCTCGGTGCCTATCATTGTTTATATGTAGCAAAATTTGTTCTATGGCACTAAAACATAAATCTGAATATAGGCCCCCCTGTCACACTTTTTTTCGTGATATCTTTAGTGGAAGTCATATGTACACTGTTGTGATCATATTGTTTTTGTTTGAACCTGCAGTTTGGTGGCAATGATAAGATATGGTTTGCAGACCAGGGGCCTGGTATGCCGCAGCTTACGCGCTGCGAATACAGTTGTCTGAAGAATGTGCACATTACAGGGTACAAAGGGGCGAGATGCCAGATTGAGTTTCTTCTGCACATAGTGGAAAACGCCCCTACACTGGAGGCATTGACCGTAGACACAACTCAGGTACTATATGAAGATTATTATGGCGCCAGAATTGGCAGCAAGTTCTCCGAGTGTTTTGCTGTAGTTTCTAGGGATTTTCTCCGTAGAAAGCTCCCGACAAAGGTGAAGCTCCACGTCATGTAAGACTTGTTTAGGGCTGTAAAAAAAAAAAGCTGAGGCTCGTGAACTGCTCGAGCTGAAGCATCATCTCCTTTTCTCCGTGGAGCATCGCTAGCTCTGATCTGATTCCCATAGTCAGGGATCACGTTTCTGACGGAAAACGGTCGAAAACTATGAAATTTCAAGGTTTCGACGTGGGGTGAAAGTTGATTTCCAAATTTACTGGCTCATCATATCATTGTGCCAGACTGCTGGGTGCTCGTCTTTAGATGTATTTTTCCATATATTTTTTTTCCAAATTTGATGCGGTGGTTTACTGGGAGGAGGTAATGGAAACAAAAAATGATCTCATTGTTAACTTAATTGAATTTGGATATAAATTGAGCTGATTGTCTGACACACCAAGCCAAAAGCCATTGTATATAATGTCCTAAAACCAAATCAAACCGAAACATCATACAAATTACTACTAGCAGCACACAATGGAAATATAGCTTCTTTGCTTCAAATCGTCCAATGAAGATTGCTGAACGAAGATCAATTAGCACCATCAGCGTCGTCAGGCCAGATGGCCACCTCGTGGCGGCCGCCCTCCGTGGCGCACGCCCTGAACATGCCGGTGGTGTTGTACGCCATGGCCACCTCGCCGGCGGCCGACACGGCCACCAGCCCGACCTTGCCCGGCGGCACGCCGGCCACGACGCGCGCGGCGGCGTCCCCCAGGGAGAGGCCGGCCGGCGGGGCGTGCTCCAGCAGGGCCGCGACGTCGCGCGCCACCGTGTGCCGGATGATGGCCTCGCCCACGCCCGTGGCCGACACGGCGCACAGCGCGTTGGCGTACGTCCCGGCGCCGATCACCGGCGTGTCGCCGATCCTGCCGGCCATCTTGTTCACCAGCCCGCCGGTGGACGTCGCCGTCGCGAGGTTGCCGGCGGAGTCGATGGCCACGCAGCCCACCGTGCCGACCCGGCTGTTGTCGTCCTTGGGAATTGGTTGGGTGTAATCCACCTGGCAACAAGCAAGGAGGTTATACTAAAAGTCCTGCTCCCTCTGAAAATCCGATTTCATTTCAAATTTTCTCAATTTGAAATGAAATCAGATTTTGACCGTTAACATGTTGTTTTGTGATGATTTTATCGAAACAGCTCTAATCTTATAAAAATTATTGTTTTTCTGAATCAGGTACACTACTACTAGTATGTTTCTTATTTGACTCATCTTGAACAATAGCTTAACGAAATGGGTGAAGCTCCTATGTGCATTCTTAGAGTGATTAATTTGGACATAATCGTGCATATCCCGTACTGAGTGTATGGGGGAAAAAAATGCATGGTGCACAACAAAATCCGATTTCATTTCAATTTTTTCTCAAATTTATTTAGTCATTTCTGATGCACTTGGCAATATAAATTCAGACAAAGACATGGCAACAAAATGGTAACAGAGGAATAACTGCAAAATGTATGCTTATCGTGCTACATATACACATGTATGAACCACAGACTTGTCAGGGCCATGTGCATCGCTTAGAAATCTGAACAGGTTTGTGGGTGGGGGTGGGGGTGTAGGAATGTGATATCTAATCCAATCACCTTGTAGTAGCTAGGAAATGTGCTAAAACCAAAACTTAGCAACGAGCCAGACAAAACTGCGACAGTATGAACGGCAGATGCTTAATTATCTTCCTAAATATACATATGTATGAACCATAGATTTGTCAGGGCCATGTGCATCAGATATATTTCGAACTTTGAACAAGATTGGGGGAATATGATATCTAATCCAATCACCTACTCCGTAGTTAGGAAATGTACTAAACACCAAAACTTAGAAAACAGACAGACAAAACTGTGACAGTACCTGCACCCTGTTGGCTTCTTTTGCTTGTCTGAGCCTCTCTTTGTTTGCCTCCGTAATAAAGTGGCTTGGATCTTTAGTCTCCACTCCCTGACAAGTGACTAGTTATCACCATATAATCAAGTAAGGCATCTAAGCATAGTAAATTCTTATTCTTTTTTTAATAAAGAAAGTAATGCATAGTAAATTTCATTCTTTTTAAGATTATGGATAGAAATCCAGCGTCCAAATGGATATACTTAATTCCAGGTCTTAAAAAGTACTTCCTCCGTTTCACAATGTAAGTTATTCTAACATTTTCCACATTCATATTGATATTAATGAATCTAGACATATATACATTCATATTGATATTAATGAATCTAGATAAATATATATGTCTAGATTCATTAACATCAATATGAATGTGGGAAATGCTAGAATGACTTACATTGTGAAACGGAGGGAGTAGGTCTCAAAACTAAGGGAAAACAAAACTTAGCGTGTGTTTGGTTTTGGGACTAGGTAGGATGGGATGAAACCATTCCTGATTTTGGGGTTGGGATGATTCCATTTACGTGTTTGGTTTGTAGGATAGGACAATCCCAATTTTTTGTTTGGTTGAAGGGATGAGCTAGAGATGGGATGGGCGCCATTTGCTATCACCGTCAGCGAGAAAGAGGAGAGCGAGCGGAGGTGCGACGATGGCTGGCGGCGAGGAGGAGGAGCGGCGCAATATTGCGAGCAGGCGGACGAACAGAGGAGGAGCACGGACGGGCGAGCAGGGGTGCGGTTGGAGGAGCAGGCCGGCGGCGAGGAGGAGGAGCGGCGCAATATTGCGAGCAGGCGGACGAACAGAGGAGGAGCACGGACGGGCGAGCAGGGGTGCGGTTGGAGGAGCAGGCCGGCGGCGAGCAGGCAGAGGACGCGGATCCGCCTCCACCGCCCTTCCCACTACTAGATCCTCCGTCGCCGTTGCTGAGCCCCCCGCGGTCGCCGTCGCTGAGCCCCCACCGGTCACCGTCGTCCAGTCCCCCGCGGTCACCGAGCCGAGCCCTCCCACGGCCGTGGTCGCCGTCGCCGAGCCCACCGCGGCTGCCATCGCTGAGCCCGCTGCGGTCGCCGTCGACGTCGCTGAGCCCGCCGCGGCCACGGTCGCTGTCGTCGAGCCCACCGGTGTCTACCGCTGCTCCTGAGGGCGAGTAGGGCGAGCGCGCAGGCTGGCCTCGAGCTCGAGCGGGTCACGCCGTTCGCTCATCCCAACTGGGACGAGTTCGTCCGCCAGAATTTGCCGGATCGGTTGGTCCCGGATCTGAGAGGAATATTCCTCTCCAGGGACCAACCCATCCCACTCACCGCTCAACCAAACAACCTCAAAAGTGGGTTCGTCCCATCCCATCCTATTCCATCCTTGCAACCAAACGCACCCTTATAGAAGTTCTCCTAAGCTAAGTGGTGCACACAATACGTGTGATACTCAACTATTTCCATTCATGCAACACACACCTGAACTCATGTAGTGCCAGTTGTCTCTACTAATAAAATCAATCATACGTAGTAATCACGCCAATTGTATTCGATTCGGTCTAAGAAATGTGACGCAATCTTGGAGAAGAGGGTCTTCTTTCTACCATTTCCGAACAGATCATCAGAGCAAGGAACAAAACAGTGGAGTTGACCTGAATTTTATTGCTGATTTACCGATAGTATTAAAATAAAATTCAGAGAAAGAACTTTATTTTACGAGAAGATAATCAGAGCGAGAAATTAGCGATGAGCTAAAGATAATCAGAAATTATCTGAATCTTCATGGAGTGATACTGTAACTGTAATATTCGTGTGCAGTCTGCAGAAAGGCGAGGGGATGGTGGTGGGAGCAATGGTGATTTTATTGACCTGCTCCCTGGCGAAGGCCTCGGCGCCATCGAAGGCGAGGTAGATGTGCGGCGTCTTCTCCATGACGAGCCTGGCGAGGGAGACGGCGTTGACGACGGTGGAGAGTCCGGAGACGGCGCCGCAGCGCAAGGTGTTGCCGTCCATGACGGCGGCCTCCATCTCGACGGTGCCGTCGGCGGTGAGCACGGAGCCCACGCCGGCGTTGTAGTGCGGGCAGTTCTCCAGCTCCCTCACCTGCACACGCATAGATCGATCGATCGATCGATCGATCAGTTCTCCATACGTGTATGTATGATGGAGAAATTAATAAGGTGGGGGCAAGCAGAGGCAAACAGTACGCACGACGAGCTCGACGACGTCGAGGGCAGCGCGGCCGGAACGGAGCGCGGCGGTGGCGAGGTCGAGGCAGCGGCGGAGCGTGGCGAGGCGGGGCTCCCTGCGGTCGGGCGGCAGCGAGCGCGGGATGTCCCCGGCGCCGCCGTGCAGCGCGACCGCCCACCCCATGGATCTATCTATCGCCAGTCGTGCCCGCACTTGATAGATGGGAGGAGTGCGCGAAGCAACAGCGACAACTACTAGTACATATATATACCCTGGATCTCGCGCGCGCGCGCGGAAACGAAGAGAGAGAGAGAGAGGGACGACGCGGCGTCTCCCTCCCCCCTCCCGCGGTCAAAAACAAAGCAAAAGATATAAAATAGGGTGGATGATGATGGATGGGCAATGGCGTCAGGAGGTAAACGTACGTCGATCGCCAACTGCCGCCACTAGCGAAATGGCTAGGGCCCTCGCCGGCCGGTGATGGGTTTGTGGGCGGTGACGACGCCGGCGGGGGGCGTGATTGGTGGTGGGAATCAGGGCAAAAGATCCCACCAGAATCAGATCACGCCGTTGGATAGGGACGTGCCGAGCCGCTGCCCGCTGATACTCTAGTGAGGGAGGCTGCTGCTGATCGAGTCGAGCAGTTGGGTCCTCCCGGTGACGTATGGAGGTGGTGCCGTGGTGGGGTCCCTCCTTGAACAACGGGCCAGCTTTTCTCTCCGCGACTCCAACCTGGCCCCAGGAATCGGTAGCATCTCTTCAAAAACAATGCTCGATCAGCCGGTAATTGAACATATTTATCATTTAAACTACTTACTGCTGGCATTATACTACAATGAAAAAAGAAATTAGAAAAAAAAATTAAAAATAGCCAAAAACGGTACAGTTGAAAACGGTACCCCTATACGAAAACGGCATTCGGTCGATCGGGAATTTCCGTGACCGTTTTCATCCCTGCCTAGCACCACATCCAAATCCAAGGCCATCTTTCTCTAGAACCAACTTTAGGCCCATCTCACCAGTTCACCTCAAGCCAAACTATTTATACTCCATCTGTTTTCATACGCTACCATTAACTTTTACACGTACGTTTATAATTCATCTTATTTAAAAAAATGCTTATTTAAAATTTTAATAACAAAATAAATCATAACAAAATAATTTTTTAAATAAAATAAATGATCAACGTCTGTTTAAGAGTTAACGGTGTCATATATATTAAAAAACACCTTCTATACGTAAACTACAAATTTTTTCCCGATGGACTAAACTACGATATTGTATTAAGATTGGCCATATAGAGTTTACAATAATAATAATAATTTTTAGTGTACCATAAATATATTTTTTTCCAAAACATGGTTGATTATTATAAGAAAAAAAAAGATGATTGCAACCTACAGTTACAACAACAATATAAGTAAGACCTACCAATACAAGTACAATACAATACAAAAGAGGTATCTTAAAACTCCACAAGAGATATGGGGAGGCGAGTGCAGCTACAATGCTGACCGATTTGGAATTCAGCACGTGTAAGAGTATATGAACGAACATTGGGCGCCATCTTTGATCATTTGGTAGATTTGCAAGCCAGCGTCACCGAATAGGTTGGCAGATGATCCAATAATGGGTTCACGTCCTCTGCCTTTGAAGCCAAAGAGTTTGCCGTTGCTGCCATCCACGCCATCCATCCCTCGATCAACCGTTAGGCCCTTCCGTGACTTACTACCAGCTATTTATTTGATAGAATTTACTCTCCAGAAATATAAAGAAAACAATCTCCAGAGGCAAAGCAGGAAAAAATAGCGACACAATCTTCGCTTTTTGGAACCATTGGTATCGATTCATTCAAGAAACAATAAAAATTCCACTGTACAATACCATATTTTTGTTGTTTTAAAAGAAAAGTACGGTCTCATCTTTTCGCTTATGCTTATCAGCTAAAATTTGAATTTTCAACCTAAAATTTAGAGTTGATTTTGGGGGTTTTTTCATCGAAGTTTATTTTGCCTTTGCTTTTACATAGCTAAGAACACGAATATAAAATTTTTATTCATAAATTATTTTTCGTTTTCAAATATGCTGCACAGCTAATCCTTAGAAAAGGCTATAGGAAAAAGCGCTCTTACTAACTTCTATAAACACTGATTCGACCTGGTGTGAGTAAATATAAATTTCTACAAATAGTTAAATCAAATGGTATCAGGAAGTTTTGTGAGGATTTCTTAAGTACGTGTGGCAATACTAACGATCCATCTTTAAATTGGTCCAGTACAACTGATTTTATTAATTAATTGGCTGTTAGTTAACCTTGAAATTGGAAAAAAACATGCAGAGCCGTTGAATAAGATATGGATGGGATGGATGGCAGCAACGGCAAACTTTGCCTTTGGCCTCAAAGACAGAGGATATGAACCCTCCAATAACATAACAAAAAGAGGAGTAAGGCAAATGGAAATAATAATACCCAAGTAAATTAGTTAATTATTATTACATAAACAGATGCAAAGGAGATTCACTAACCGGTGTGAATGGACAATTCAGATGCTAAACAGCAGTGTGCTCCAAACAAAACATGTCCAGTAAATAGATTGTAAAAAAAATCCTAACATTTTGCTTTGTAATTTGTTTTGCAACACAAGCCAAGTTGTGTATCTACAGTTATTCTCATACTGTAGTACTAAATCGCAGCCACTCCGCAATTTGTCCTAGACCGTACATTTTACTTGAAACAACAAATATATTTGTTGTACATCATTTCGCGAAGATATTTTTATTTTTTTTAACCTTTTCTACTTAAATTTTTGTAAATATACTCTCAAATTTTATTTTCAATTCTAAACCATCTGACTACACTAATGTCGAGCAAAACATTATTGCCACACTAATCCCTTGACATGGAACCATTATATGGCCACACCACCGCGTGGCAAAGGTTTTACCACGCCATCTAGGTTGGCATGGTAAAACAACACTGACATGTCCGCCGTGGGTGTGCGTGGCAACGTTATTTTGCCATGCCACCAAGACTAGCCTGGCAAAAAGATTTAGAATTAGAACTAAAAATAGGTTTCAGAAGAGTTTTTTGTAAAATTAAAATTTAAAAAGTTAGCAAACAATAAAAAAAATCCATGCAAATGAGAACCCACGTAAGATATAGAATGTTCTCATCCAACTGAAAATCCTAGGCTCCAGGTTTGTCACCTACAACAAAACCTCCGGACTCACGGCTAATCCTAATAATCCTCACCAAAGACGGCAACTGCAATACTCAGATACTACTATCTCCCAGAGACCAAACAACCTTCTCTCTACGACCTGTATTGACGACCTTAATTACGCAAGAAGCAAGGATATGACGAATTCCACCACTGATATCCACGCCCCCTGCCTTGGCAAATCCACCAGCACCACATCCTGAAGCAGCTAGCTGCCAGCAATATGTGTCTTTTGTCCTGTGGCAAACTAGCTGGAGTTACTTATTAAGGGCAGCTTAACAGATCTCTGTAATCATGTAGTTGCTTGCAGATTTTTCTTCACCTTTGTGCCAGCCCTCAGTTTGCCGTTCGTTTTGAGAGTATCCACAGCTGGATGTCCGCCTCGCAGAATTTGCATCGTCTCCCTGAGTTCTGTGTGATCCCTGCAACAGGTAAACGGTAAATTAAACCTCTGTTATGTTCTGTCGGTCTTTTATTTTCCTGTGTGTGTTATACAGCATGCTCGAGGGTAAATGACATGATATCTGTTGGAAGCATCTATGCAAAATGACATGATATCTGAGTTCGGCTGTTGTAGCATCCACGAACAACTTGTACACAGTTAGCTTTCCAGCACAAATAGCAGGGCTAAAAGGTTCACATATGGAAATTACCAGATGTTTTATTTTTAAAGTTGTACTTATAATGGTTCAAGGAAAAAATGAAACATCCATTTCCCTATTGTTCACTAGCCCCCCCCCCCCCCCCCCCAAAAAAAAAAAGTATGATCTGATCATACTGGAAACATGAAAGGTCTCTTAAATTAAAAGTATTCTGATGATTTCGGTATTTTAACCTTAAGCATTCCAGTTAAGTGCATCAAAGAATACATAAATAGTCTGAGCCCTGCACCAATTAAGCCTTACTTTTTGGTATTGTTATGTTAGAAATGCTATTTACAGATAACTCAGATCTCAAAGGTTGGGTATAAAATGTTGATTGATGCTAATGTGACGAAAGTTGCACTCCCCATCATCATTCTCTTTAAGAATAACTTTTTACAACCTTTCTACAGTCTAAGATGAAATTTTGAATTAACATTAAACTGGTGGGTAAGCAATTCTTTTCTTGAGAAGGTTAAAACTTAAAATGATATTTTTTTATCGTGAATTACACTAATTAGTTAACCATATGTAACTTTGTTCAATTTGAGTATAATTTTACCAATAAAATAATGTGAAAATATCCAACGATGTTAATTGTAACTTAATGATTAAGAACCTTGGCATGTCAACTAACCTTCCTGCGCCATGGTTGAATTTACTTTAGCCTTCTTAGATGAATCATGAATGAAATGAATTCTTTTAATCATGTGTTAATTTATAAAAACCAAGGTTATAGTGATTTATGGTTTTTTGTTCTCTAAGACTCTTCTGCTTGTTTCTTGTGCAAACTACTCAGGAGCCAGGACTTCCTAGGATCGTCATAAGATCAAATATGGGCTCCGATGACAATAAAAGATTTGATGATTTTCATGTCATCACAAACGGACCAGGAAGTGATGCCTATTCTAATGAGGAATCCATCAATCTAGTAAGCAAGTCTAACGATTTCAGAATTATTTTTATACCCACCAAGCCCCATGAACTAATGCACCGCTACCAATTGTCTCTGAAAAGGATTCCTATATTGCACCAAGCACATCCTTCTGTAGCAAAATCTACAACCCCCAATTATACGTGGAGAAAGGAAATGGGACAACAGATTGGTGCCAAACTAGTGGAGGAGACTATCCTGAGAAAAGCAGCATAAATTCAGATATAACTCTCAGCTACATAGATAAGATACTGATGCAGGAGGACATTGATGACAGAGGCAATGAAGATACTGCTCTTCAAGCTATGGAGGAGCCCTTCTATGAACTTCTTGGAGAAAAGTATCCGGCATTCCCTCAGCAACAACCACTTTGTGTATGTGATCACCTGCAGAACCTCAGTGCCAACACTGACAAGTCTAATGGTCACGCATGCAATACCTGGTCTGTCACTAGAATGACAAACATTAGCTCAAGTATGAATTCCAATGGCAACTTTCAAGGGTTTCAGTTTCCATGGAGTTTGTCTTCCATTACTAGAGAGACAGAACAGTTCACTCATCACTCAAATAGAATGGTTGTTGGTCTAAAAGTGGATGGCCTTTCCATTTCCGAAAAGCCTAGCCAGGACAATTGTTCACTTCAAATTGATGCGCATTACATGAGGAAGCATCCATTGTTTGAGGTTCATGATAGAAAAAGTTATCCGTGTATTGAAGATCTTGATTTGTTAGAAGGAAGGAGCAACAAGCAGTATGCTATTTACTATGATGAACCGATTCGGGATGAGATGTTTGACAACGTTCTACTATGTTCTGATCATAAGCCTCTAGATGAAGGTGTTAGTTTGAGCAGAGCCATGACAAACAATTCAAGCAAGTCTTCACAAATTGGACAAGGAAAAACATCAGCTCGGCGAAAGACAACAGGCAAAAGGATACAAAAGAGAGATGTTGTGGATCTAAGAACCCTCCTTATCAATTGTGCACAAGCAGTATCTGTGAGCAACCATAGCCTAGCTAGTGACATACTGAAGATAATAAGACACCATGCTTCACCTACCGGGGATGATTCCCAAAGGCTAGCACTTTGCCTAGCGTATTGCCTTGATGTACGATTAACGGGAACTGGAAGTCAGATATACCACAAGTTCATCACCAAAAGGAGGAATGTAAAGGATATTCTAAAGGTATTCCATGTGTGTCTCTCTACATGCCCTTTCTTAACAGAACTATCGTTGATGTCTCAAAGGGAAAACCACAGGTCCACATTATAGATTTTGGCATTTGCTTTGGTTTCCAATGGCCATCACTATTTGAAGAACTTGCAAAAATAGAAGATGGACCACCTAAGCTTCGGATTACTGGTATAGAATTACCTGAGTCAGGCTTCCGACCATATGCTAGAAGTAATAATATTGGGCTGCGATTAGCTGATTATGCTAAAACATTTAACATACCCTTTGAATATCAGCATATATCATCAAATAAATGGGAAGCCCTCTCTCCTGAAGATTTTAATATTGAGAAAGATGAAGTTCTCATAGTCAATTGCATTTACAGAATAAAGGATCTTGGTGATGAGACAATATCAATTAACAGTGCAAGGAGTAGGGTGCTCAATACAATTAGAATGATGAAGCCCAAAGTTTTTGTCCAAGGAGTGTTGAATGGATCTTATGGTGTCCCCTTCTTTTTAACACGTTTCAAAGAGGTCATGTACCACTACAATTCATTATTTGATATGCTTGATAAAAATATTCCACGAGATAATGAGACAAGAATGATAATAGAGAGAGATATCTATCAATATATTATGCTAAATGTCATTGCATGTGAAGGACCAGAGAGGATTGAGAGGCCAGAGAGTTACAAGAAGTGGAAGGTAAGAAACCTTAAGGCAGGACTGGTGCAGCTTCCATTGAATCCAGCCATCGTCAGAGAAACACAAGATATGGTAAGAAAGGGTTATCACAAAGATTTTCTTGTCGACGAGGAAGATCAATGGTTAGTGTTGGGATGGAAAGGAAGGATACTCTATGCATCATCCACATGGCAACCAAATGATTCAGGTGACAGTGATTAAGAATGCGGGATTTGCTACTTGACTACAAAGAAAGGTTTGACACACAATGCAATCTGCCATTTGCATACTTATAGGGCTCTCAGTCTCAGATTTCATTGTTTGTGTGCAACTAACAGTGCATTGCCAAACTAGTTGCTATACATGTTTTTCAGACACATGTTCATCGTTATGTACTTATGGACATACCTGTTCCTAAGAAGTCAGCATGTTTAGTAGCTTTTTTGGTGATAATAACTGATATGTGTTTTTATCGTATTCATACTTATCTTCAGAGTTCAGACAAGGCTAGTATAAGATTATGTTTAGTATGTTACGGCAACATATGTAAGTTGGAAAACATTTGACCAGCTGTTTATGTAGCGGGGAATATCAAATCCGAATTATGTTTGAGCTACATATCTAAAACTATGTTAACTAGTACCAACTGTCAACACCGTTTATGATACTTCTTTCGTGGGAAAAGAGAAAAAAATGCATATGAATCACACAATCAAGATCCTGTAAATTCTGCAAGAAAGAAAGAGAACATGAAAATGAACAGCCAAATAGGGAATGCAGGCATTGAAAGCTTAGGTCGATCTGCTAGCCACTGTTGGGGATCACATCAGTTATAACCATCTCAAAAAAAAGAAGAGAAGATATTGTCTCTAAAATCACCATAGCTTTAAGCCAGTAAAACAAAGATTAGTTCACGCACTACAAGTCTACAAGTCCAAGAAGCACATACCTTGCCACGCATTCTGTCGAAAAACTGCAGGACGCCGTCCCCCTCCCTCCCAATCCAGTGCGATCGAACGGCCCTCGATCACGAGAACACCTCGTAAGCCTCTAGCTAGCTTCTAGGTTGGCGATGGCGGACGCGAGTCGGAAGCAGGCGGCGGCGCGGCGAGCTAGCGCGTGGTATCGGCGGTGGCCGCGACTGTGAGGGGGGCCTCGATCTCGTTTCTGACAGTGTCATGGCCGCACCCACCTGAAGCTGAAGGTACATACTGGAGTGGAGTGGAGTCTGATAGAGTCTATAGAGACTGTTCTCTTAACAATAGAGGGCCACTATGCAACGGAATCCCGTTTTTAAACGGGATGATACCGGTTAGGTTTTAGAGGGTTTCAGAACATGATACCTCTGAAACCTAACCGGTATCAAGTAATACCTATCATGCATCAGACGATTCCTACCACGTATCAGGTGATACTCGTGAGGTATCATGTGATACCTATCAGGTATCAGATGACTTCTACCACGTATCAGGTGATACTCGTGAGATATCATGTGATACCTATCAGGTATTAGACGATTTCTACCACGTATCGGGTGATACTTACGAGATATCAGATGATACCTACCGGATATCAGGTGATTCCTACTAGGTATCAGGAGCTGAGCATCGAGGCGGTGTCGCCGGCAGCCCCACCCTCCACGCCCCATGTCGGAGGTCGTTGCCGGTGGCTGCATCCTCCGTCATCCACGCCTCACATCAAAGGTCGTCGCCGGTGGTTGCGTCCTCTGTTGTCCACGCCCCACGTCGGAGGTCGTCGCCGGGGCCACGTCCTTCGCCACCACGCCCACACCAGGCTTGTTGCTGGTGGTAGCGTCCTCCGCCGCCATGCGCCACGCCGGGCTCGTCGCTAGCGGCCACGTCCTCCGTTGTCCATGCATCGCGTCGCGTCGAAGCTCGTTGCCAGAGGCTGCGTCCTCTGCCATCCATAGCCACGCCACGCCGGGAGCTCGTCGCCGGCGGCCACGCCGGAGCTCGTCACTGGAGGCTGCATCCTCCGCCGTCCATAGCCATGCGCCGGAGCTCATCGTCGGAGGTTGCATCCTCCGTCGTCCACAACCATGCCACGCCGGGAGCTCATCGCTTGAGACTGCGTCCCCTACCATCCACACCCCATGCTACGCCGGAGCTCGTGCAGCAGTCATGCTTTGAGAGAGATAAGGTAGTTTGGTAGAATGTATAAGGTAGAAGGAGATAGAATCGGTGGATTGGTTGGTTGCTGCCCTATCCCGTCCATCATGGTTGGGACGGGATCTCATCAGATAGCATTTCCGTAACAATAAGATATCTTTACGTAAAAAACAATAAGGTATCTTAACTACTAATACATAAATATATTTTTTATTTTTTTTCTTTTCTCTACCTCATGCAGCAAAATTTTAATTTTCTCTAGTAAATGTTAATAGTCGACTCTAAGCCAATATTATGTATAGCGACAGTGTTTTCCTTTCTTCCCACTCTCTTTTCCACATCACCAAATTATTTATATCAATTCCGCTAATAAATATTAAATTATCACAAAACTATATATTTTAGATAATATATTACAAAACTACATATTTAATAATAACATTATCATAAAATTACATGTTTAAGGGTAAGTATCGCAAAACTACAGATTTAATAATAAAACTATCACGAAACTACAAATTTTGGGGTTTAAATCCTTAACACTAATACTATGTTTGAGTTGTAAATGTCCAAGTTTTGTGATTAAATTGGTATTAAACCTGTAGTTTTATGATAACTTTATTACTAAATTTGTAGTTTTGCGATATTCCACTTTAAATTTGTAGTTTTGTGATAAATTTAGTATTAAATCCATAGTTTTGTAATACACCATGTTAAATCCGTAGTTTTGTAACACATCATGATAAATCTATAGTTTTGTGATAACTAACCAAAGTAACTATAGTTTTGTGCAAAAGTAAATTACACCAACGGTCCTTAAACTTGTAAGAAGGTTTCACCTAGCTCCACAAACTTGCAAACCGCTCATTGAGATCTTTAGGCTTAGTTTATTTTATCATCGCAGTTAAAAGCCTCATTTGACTTTGATCTTGTCAAAGTGGCATGCCACGTGGATGATCACATGGAAAAAAATCCCCCCCCCCAATTTTCTCCCTTTCTTCTTCTCTTCATACTCCACCACTAAATGCATCGGCGGTTGACAGTGGTGGGACTGACTGCAGACAGAGAAGGGGGGGGGGGGGTGGGGGGAGGCAGCGAGAGAGACGATGTCGGCCATCAGAGGCAGAGGTGCCGATGGCGGGGTCAGCCCGGCAAGCAAACGGAAGCTGGGAGGGAGGGGGGGGGGGGTAACGGCCTCATATTGGTTGAAGCTTGGTCAGGTTGGATTTGAGCTGGAGTGGGGGCCCTAGCCAGCGGAGGAGCTCGCAGCCAAAGAAGATGGGTGTCGGTAGATGCCTGCACCAGCAAGTGGCACAATGCTGTTGCTACTCCCTCATCCGCGACCTATCGTGACTTCGTGAGCGCTGCTGCTGCCACTGCTTCTGCTCGGTTGGGATTCCTCCCTTCCAATCCGATTTAAGTGGTGGTGTGGATGGTGTAGATGGGGAAAATGGCATGGAGCTGTGTGGAGCGTCGTGTCGGAGTGCTCGTAGCCCTGGTGCCGCTGGATCCCGTCCCCTTGTGTCGGTTGCGTCAGATCCGACCTGCCCGATGGATAGCGGCGTTGGATCTGCTGTCTCCTTGCATCACCGGCACCCTGTTTGAGGGATTGTGGCTACAGACCCGCAGGGGACAATATGAGAGAGGAGCACCTCGGTCGGGACCGAGCCCCGTGACAGGGTCATAGGCTTGGTCCAGGCAGGCGTCTCGCCTAGCTTCCTCTGGATCCACTCATGTGAAACAAACGCCACCGCAACCACCGAATCCGCTCGCCGTTGGGCCGTGGGTGAAGCCGACAGGCAACACGACATGCACGGTGGAGGCAAAGGAGGAAAAATGAAAATTTTGCCTTGGTATCGTCCATGTGGCATGCCACATAGGCAAGACCATACTCAAACAAGGCTTTGGATTGGGATAATACAATAAACTAAGTTTAGGGATCTCGATAAGGGTTTTGTAAGTTTATGGATCTAGGTGAAACCTTCTTATAAGACGCAATTTACTCTTTGTGAAATTTATTCTAAAGATTATTATACATGCTCTCATAAAGGAAAAAAATTAATAAAATATTGTTTATCGATCTTTCTTTCATAAATATACTGGATGTAGATTGATTTGCATAAATATACCATCGAAATCGTCATTAGAAAGCGTGATACCGAGGTTCGCAACGGGAAAGTGCGATATCGCCACTGTATCGCATTACCAATGCGCGAGAGCATGATGGTCTCGCGCGTCGAATGGGCGAGGAGATTTGAGCTGGCGGTGTCGCTTGTTGGCTATGCGATATCGACGCGGTATCGTGTTTTCATAGAGTGAGAGCGCCACGTCGTACCGATTTGGGATGGAGTAGCGCCATCGGTCTCGCTTATTAGTAGCGCGAGAACGGGATCGCTATCGGGTTTAGACGCGCGAGAGCGTGGGCCCGCGGTGTTGCACGCCCGAATCGCGAGAGCACAATCGATATCGCTCTTTCAGAGTGCGATAACAGGTGTGGAGTAGGTCCCACAGGATTTTTTTTAGTTGGGAGATCCGGCAGCCGTGGTATCGCACGGTGGGAGCGCGAGATTGCTCGGAGAGTCGGAGGGGAGGCGCGGTCTCACACGTTGGTTTTGCGAGACCGAAGCTGATGTGACACTGACACCCTCCCGTCAAGCATTCACTCACACGCATTATCAATAAGCACACATGCAATCACAGTAGCAAAAATGGAACACGTCAATAGTAAACCACTGCATCCGAAAAAGTTTTTCAATTAAGCGATGTACGAAGATTGTCATGAAATAAGCTGCACACCCCTTAATTTCTAATTGCTCACGCGTGATTAATTTATTTTTATACGAAGTTTTCTACGTAATTAACTTAACATTAACACCATTAGGCACGCAGTGGGGCTCACCTGACCGCTCTCGCGTTCCTCTAGCGCGAGACCGCGCCGTCGCAGTCAGGGGCCCACCGCTCTTGTGTTCCTGTAGCATGAGACCGCATGGGTCGCAGTCACAGTTACTGGGCCCACCGGCTCGCTCTCGCACTTTTAGGCCATTCACAGTGGAAGCACCGGCTATGAGGTACCACACAGTGACACGTAGGATGAAGAGCTTCAGAGCCAATTTCTTCATAGTGCAAGCACTGAGTGGGACCCACCGAGTGGGACCCACGGATATCCTTCCCCCCTCCCCCTCCCCTAAAGAATTAAATTTGAAAATATACTGTTCATTCAATTTTTTCTCAGGAATATTCGGGATGCAAAAACTTGTGCAGAAATATACCATCGATGTCGCACTTCCATTGCGCGAAAATGACGTGGGGATGACGTCGCGGACAGTACCGCGCGGCGAAAGCGCGAGACCGCACGGGTAACGGCGCGAGACCGCACGGTCTCGCGTAATGGAAGAGCAAGACCGAACAGTCTCGCAGAAGCCATCAGCGACACTGTCCAATGGGATCCATTTGATTAGTGATTAAGTACTTAATTAACAATTAACTAATGATAATTTGTGATTAATTATCTTAATTAGTGATTAATAAATAAATAATTAATTAATCACTAATTAGGATAATTAACCGCTAATTAAATCGGGGAGGCACGGTATCGATCTTTGCTTGAGCGATAGCGTTGATTGCTTGAGTGGTATCGCTGTTTGCTTGCGCGAGACCGTGCGGTCTCGCACTTTCCCTGCACGATACCGGTCGCGACGTCATTTCCACGTTATTTTCGCGTAATGATTGTGCGAGACCGATAGTATATTTATACAAAAGATTTTGCATCCCAAATATTTTAAAAAAATTGAATAAATAGTATATTTTCAAATTTAATTCCTCCCCCAAAATCCCCAAATCACTCCCACCAAATCCACCGACGCCGGCTCTCTCCCTCTGTCCCCGGCGGCGACACGGATCCAGCTCCTCGTCTGCCGCGGCCAGCAAGCAGGACGGCGCCACCGACGTTGACTCCGGCCGCGCCATCCCGTCGTCGCTCTCTGTCCCTCCCCGCCACGGCCCAGCTCCTCGTCTGCGCGCGCGGATCCGGAGCGCTGGCGCGGGAGGACAGTGGCGGCGGCGCGGATCCGGAGT